ACACTATACGCTGGCGGCGCACCAATGGAGAATAATAGAATGAGCATGTAGTCGGATCAGTTAGCTTATCAGGTCTTCATTTGATAGAAAGTGACAAATTCTCTTAAAAATAATAATTTGTAGGAGGACTTAATTATATAAATACGGGGTTAAGGATATATACACATATAATAAAACTGTAACTAATCGATGTCCGTACATAAAAGATATATGAGAAAATGTAATTATTGCGAGAATGTATCACCTTAATAGAGTTCAAAACAACCATTGTTAGATTTTATATATATATTGTCGTGCGTATATGTGTGCTAATCAAATAAAACTGGCTTAACCGATTTGTGTATGATTTCCACTAAAGCATTGTGGTGCAACCACTAATTCATTCATTCATTCATAATTTAAGAGCTACGCTTTTGTCGGTGGAGCTTTAATTAATAAAAATAATTAAAATTTAATATTTCTTTTATTCCAATCGTACTACAAAAAAGAATAGTTATACCAGTAAAAATCGAGGGCCGAGATATTCTTCAAAATATATTGTCGTACAATTACTTAATAGTATAATAATAATATAGCTATGCTGGGGGGAAGAGATTTGTTTATAATGTGGACCGATCACCCCATTGCTAGCAATATACCATGTCAAGTTGACCTCAACATAATCGTGGTAAATTCAGCGTGATAAAATCACGCTGAATTTACCACGATGGGCTAATTAACCTGACCTCATGTTCATCTTATCATCCTCCACTGGTGCCCCACCAGTGTAAACCGTTAGAGAAGGCGGGGGTGCACCATACCATTATAATCCTTGAAAAAAAAATATAGTTATGCTAGTGAAGTTATAAACTGAGAAACTATATGAGTCGTAATATCAGATGGCATTGATAGTATTGAATACATCTGCCAATTGACCTATATTACTATTATGATCACAGGTCAATAAGGAAAAGTCATCGATCAAGTTTAGACGACATTTATTACGATCTTAGAGATCAATGAATATTAATTAATATTCTTTCTACGGTACTACCGATTAATCTCCGTCTACAAAGTACTAAAGAGTACATATACTTTTTGTTTCTACTTTTGGTTATCGCAATCACAGTTATCTTTAAATAATACTTTAATTATACATAAGTAACTGAGTGGAGAACTCTTGCCTTGCCTTGAGATTTTTTTCTAATAAGAAATTTGATACAAATCTATCTATTTTAGATATATTTCTTTTTGTCACTTATTACGAAAAATATATAATTCTTAATGACTAGTTAAACAAAAAATCGTACCTAAAGCTTACGAAATCTTTATTAATTAAGGCCGAACATTTTTTTGTGACAGTGTCTAACTTTAGTTAATCTAATTTTACTAATTCATTCATTTAGTGTTGTTGCAACATATTTATTTTCTATACAAAAATTGAAAAAGAAATACTTATAATCTCTTATATATGGCTTAACCTACTACGTAGCTATACAATAAAACAATGTACAGGCGTTAACCATATACATAGTTAGATTACACAATTTTTAAACCCACTGTCACATTTGGAGGTAGGTACTGTGTCAAATGTTAGTTTTAATATTACAGCATCGTTATTTTTATTTAAACGAGACAACAATTATATGTTTTAACATTTTAGAGAAGTTATACATGAGAAAAGAGACGAAAAATTTCCTTTTCAGCTTCTGTTAATTAGAAAGATAGTGACAAAATACTTAAAATTATTGAAATTGATTTATTTTTGTTATGTTAAGTATTTTAATACTGACGTACTATTTAGTTTTGTTTATAATTGAATAAAATAAAAAGAAAATTCAATTGATTTTCAAACATATATATGTACCTATAAATCTTTAATGTATGTGTAAAGATATTGACAGTGAGTACTATGGGCTGTAATTTGTATTATAAAAATAGAGATACCTATGATAATTGAATGTAAATTTGGAGTAGATCGCTAATTATAAATAACGAAGTATTCAGAAACTTCGTAACACTTACACAGGAGTTGCATCTGATGCAACTATCTAACTTATTAATATTATAAACGTAGAAGTTTAAGTTTGGATGGATGAATGGATTTTAATGAGACTTATAAAAATATAAGAATAACGAATTTCTCTCGGGTGAAACCGTGGACACAGCTAATCATAAATAGATGTTTAGCTCTAGTGTATGTACTTACTTCGTGAGGCTGGAAGTAGCGTCGCAGACCGCGTCGGCATCGGCCCGGCGCTCCGCAGCCGCGTCCACCATGCCTCTGCATCACCGCGACGGGCATCACTCGCGAGTCGCCACCTCACCCCGTGAGTCACCACCACCACACCGCCACTACCACAATGACATCACCACGCACGTTAGTCGAGCTCCAGCCTCAGTCCTGACACCTGATCTCTTGTGGTTGTTACACGACACCACGTGTATACGATTACAACGTACACTCTTTATACCGAACAGCTTCAAGTCTAGCCACGATATAACGATAAATGTTTTATCTGATATTCTATAAGAGTCACTTCGGTAGAGGAATCTGAAACAAGAAAACATTCGATAAATCCCATAATAGAATTCGACGGTTATTTTTTTACATATTTTTATAATAGCAAAAAAGATGACGGGCTGCCTGATAGAAAATGGTTAACATTTTCTATTTCGTCGAAATAAAATACATACATTAGCAGAAACACAGACGCCCGCGATATGTCTCATATGTTAATATTCTCAAGTCATATGTTTTATAGTTGAACCCAGCTAACAAAAGCTAGCTGATCGCTGAATTGAATGAGACAGAGGAACTGCTATTCACGGAACTGGTACTCAATATGGTAGCTCATTATAACACCCAACAGTTTCTTTAATGGATAATTAAATTATTTCTGTATCTAAAATAGATCTTAAGCTGCGACTTCCATCAGCTCGTCGGGCGGTCTCAACGCCATATTGCAGAAACTTCTAATGCGGCTACTACTTATCGATTTAAAATGTATGTAGTATGTGTAGTAATGTATAGTTTAAACAAACTGATTCTATACATATTTGTTCAAATCTATCAATCAATAAAATCTGAATAATATAGCGAATACAAAAGACATATATTTTATGTTATACACTTTATTGCAGCAGATACATAAAATTACTAATTAAAAAAAAATTCAGTCCAATTTAGAAAAAAAGTAGTATCTTACTACTTATTTGAGAATAGTTTTTTTTTGTAAATATCAACACACCTGATAATAAGATATAACCGTTGGCTATAGAGGGAAAGGGGATTATTAGTAATGTGGACTAATAACTCCAATGCTAGCAATATACCATATCAGGCGGCTCTCTCTAGAAACTATCGTGGTAAATTGCCATTTGGGATGGGCTAACGGAACTGACTTCATTCTCTTTCTTTATCATCTTCCAGGTGCCCGCCAGTGTAAACCGTTATCGCAGCGAGGGCATTAATCCATTATCATCCATAAAAAAATTTTGAATATAGCATAAAAGCACGACGGATATTGGGTCATCAAGTGACGCCTGTGTTTAATTAACCCTATAAAAGAGTATCAGTAAAATGTTTGAATCAATGTATTTAAATATACCTACCTACCTATTCAATATTATTTTCTTACATGAATATGAAAACCTGTTTAAGTACATTGTTTGTGTTGTTGTACAACTCGGTCCCGATTCGCACTTCGCCAGTGTCATTCATATAGGTAAGTATACTGTACAATCGTATTCAGGGCTCATACTTCACATCGCTTTTATCACATTTCTCCTAAAAATGAGCTGCTTAACTAATTTAAAACCGTAGTGCCTTTTGGTCTAGCAAATCGACGGCACCGATTTCCGTGACTGACTGAAGAGCCGGTTTTGGGGAATAATGTAAAAAAAAGAAACAAACACAACCTACAATGCTAAAGTGGAAAAATAAAGGCAAAGTAACGGGCATCAGACTTCAGAAACTCCTGAAATTATTAGGCTTTCAGTTTGTAATGTTGTAGCATTACAAACGCCATCGTAAATGGGGCTACCTACCTACTACATCTCGTTCGCTACCCAGAATATGCTATCAAAATCATGGTAGCAATCTCGGATTATATTAATTTGCTCGCCACCATTGATTTTTAATAATCTACGGATCTACCCACGTTGTTATGGATTGATTTTAAAGCTAAAGTTGAACAAAACCCATACACCTGACAAAGAAAATATAATTTTCTATAGAAGTCCTTATTTTAATCAAGTAGTATCAACCCGCTTTATAATGATAATCAAACATTATTTAGGTACCAGGTAGTAGCGAAGCACCTACTACTGCGTTATGAGATCATCAATAATATGTAATAAATATAAATATGACTCACCGCTTTGTACTCGGCTACAGCAAGACCGTGCAGGTTATCATTATCACTACCATGAACGTCACACAATACATTCATTAAGTACGTCACAAACGGCACACACTTCACCATGTTCATTAAATGCACAAACATTAATGTTTGTATGTAGGTAATTAAGAATTTAAAAAATATGTCATTTTGACAAGTGCTTTTCTTGGTTTCTCAGGATTTGTTTCATGTAACAAGGAGGGAAGCTCGTTTCAAGAGAAGTGAGAGAAAGAGAAACAAAGCAAAATGTACTATTTCTTTGGCTATTGAATTTCTGTAAATCAAACTACTAGCGACATCTTTGGAAAATACAAAACAATACTGATTACATTAGAAAAACTTCTGGACTTGCTCTTGTAGTTATGCTTGTAATGGCGTATATTAGTATTTTGAATATTATTATTCTATAATAAACCGAAGTTTAAATATGTATTCCTGATTAGAAATTGATATACTTTGCGGTGTGTATGAATCAACAAAATTTTAAAAAATCCTCTCCTAAATAATGTATCATATATTTTTTTTAATATGCCCATCGAACCTCTTTACGAAGTTAGACCGTATACATTGAGCAAGTTTTTTTGTGACAATGTCTGCATCTGTTGATTAAAATTTGAAACATAATAAGCTTCTAAACAAGGTCAACAGTTTTCATCAACTCGCTGTCGACGAAAATAATTAAGATTCAGTGTGTATTATGTCTATACTTTCAAAGATTGTACATGTTATCAGTAGTTACCAAAGATACAAGTGTAAGTGTCCGCGAAAATGATCCGTACTTTGTTTTTCGCAATCACAACGTTACATGAACATGGATGACCTAAAATGCGAATACGTGAAGAAAAAAGATGCTTTGGACTGTCACAAGAGGTATAAAGTGAAGATATTATAATGTTTAGTGCATTGATTATTTGCAATCATGAACATAATGCTACCGTCGCATAACAATCAGTGAATCGCTTGGTCACAAAAGTGAAAATGTGATGTGTCAAACCGATTGTTTACCTCGCGGACAGGTGAGCGGTTTGTAGAAGACGAACGCGAGGGCGGCGGGAGGCGGGCGGCATGTCGGGTCGTTCGAGTCCCGTAAACGGCAGTTACGAGGCCGCAAACTCGGAGCCAGCGATGAGGCTCACCGTCCGCAAGGACCTGTTCCCCGATGTGCGCCTACCTAAGCTGACGCCTGTCGTCCCTGATGCGATCATGACGCAGGAAGACATAGTAGACGTATCCTACGTTAAGCTCGAAACTGACTTCGAGCAGAGTATCGACGACATCGCCAATCAAAAACAGCAGGTAGTTAATGGTGCAATGCCTACTGTTAAGCCTCGACATAGAAAGCATAAACAACACTCTAGACGGCATTCTGAGCGTACCATTGCAAATGGATATCTTTCTCCAGAAACTAAACGGAGAAGAAGTTCACCTCGCAATTCAAGTGTTAGGATATCTCCACCGAATATTAAAATGCACACTCGCATAAAAGGTGGCAAGAACTTAAATTTAGTGAGTAGTAGTGAATGTCAAAATGAGGATGAACAGTCGGAACAAGAAGAACCATCGGAAGATAATGATAGTTCTGATGATGAAGTGCTCAAGTGCAGTGTGAAGTTACCATTAATAAATGTGCCACGACAGAGTGGCAAACCTTACAGTCATGAATTTAGTCAATTATCAACAAAAAAGAGTAAAAAGAACTCTTCAAAAGAGCGTAGGACTCACAGTGTAATTCCTTGTAGTGGTAAACCGCGTTCCATGTTGGGTATTTCTAGTTCTCATAGCAAAAAGAAAAAGAAGTCTGAGTGTGCACCAACATATCGGAGTCAGATCGTGGACATGAACACTAATAATATAAAGATTAAAATTAAAAGAACCACCCTTAAAGAAAGTGTAAGTACATATACCTTGTTTTATATTATTCTAGTTTTTACATTTAGAAAGTACTACTAGTATTAGGGTTTTATCATATAGGTGTTTTTGTATATTTTATTATCAGTATGTTTTAGAATCCAGTTTTCTATAAAATAAATATTGTATATCAGCTTAGGTTGTGAATATAACATACTATGAACAGCAAAAAAGACAGAGGGAATGAACAATCATTTTATTATAATGGTATTTATTTGTAATTATTCTATAACATAGGACTGTTTCTACCAGTGATTTTGTTTAATTAAACTTAGGCCAACTTTATGCCTGGAAAATTTTCCTTGCCTTTACTTAAAAATGTATTAATTCCTTCTAATTAAGTTATCATTAATGTTACTACAATTATGATCAGTCTTCTTTGATAAATTGGCTAATATTTATTTATTTGTTGACTATAGTACTATATTGACCGAAAGCATAGAAAAGGCAGACTTGATGATAGATATTGAGACTTCCCTGCTAATAAAGTTTACTTTGGAACAGTAATTCCGAAAATTAAAATAGCATATAAAAAGTTATAAATACATTTAATTAGTATGGGTTACTGTTACATTAAAACATATATTAATAGTTTGTATAAGAACACTTTCACATTTTTAATTATATTTTGAGATGAAGCCTTATGATAAATCCATTTTATTTATGATTTGGATTTTCTTTATTATTCTGTTAGCTGTGCCAGTGGTTTCACCCACTTGAAATTTGTTGCCTATATGTTATTCTGATGTATAAGCTGAATTACTGTAAAGTTTTATCAAAATCTGCACAGTAATATTTGTATGAAAGAATAACAAACATCCACCCTACTCACAAATGTTTATAATATTAATAAAGTTATATAATAATTTTATTAATTTGATTTTAGTTGAGATAATATTGTATTGATACAATTTCAATTCAAGATTAACTATATAATAAACAAATATGGTGAACATTTTTTCTAAGTTAAAAAGTGGCGCCTTCTACCTTTCACTTTTCAACTTGTATGTTATTGTTATTCATGGTTATACTCAGCTTCTGGGCCAGGGAAAGAAATTATATATTTATGCTTCAATGTAAAGATAAAGTAACCTTTATTCTATGTTTCTATAGATTTTTTGCTTTGTATTGTAGGTCATATCTTTTTTTACGTGCAACTCCTCTCTTACATGTGAGTTCATCTCTTTATTTACTTATAAACAAGGTGATAAAGGTAACTTCTATCTAGAAATAGTATAGTCATGTTTTTGGCATCTTAAAGCCCATAGATACTGAAACTACCTAGAATATAGACAATTTTTTTTTTTGGCTAACACTAAAAAATATGATAAGAAAATTCCACTGTTTTCTATCAATTTCTTTTATTTATATATATTTTTAAAATATTGGTATCATAAAAGAATTCCAGAGGAAATAAGATACACCTAATAAGAATTGTATCCTATCAGTATTGCTCATTCATTGTGATTTTGATTAATGATACACTTACATTGTTTTTATTTAGCCTACTTTATTTTATACTTAATATTCTACAATCTGATTTTAACTATTATGTAGTAAAAATTGAAAGAGATTAGTGCTGATTTGAGAAAGTCCTTCATTGGTACTAGTGAAATTTAAAAGTAATGGTATATATAGGCCAATCCAATCCAATTATTCTTGTCAATTGATAAATTTGTAAACCATCATTTACCAACTTGGTTTATATATTTCAGAATATAGCAAGACTAGTATTGCAATTTCATATTATTCTGCGTATATGCTAAATATCTATTTGCTATTACATTGGACCCACGGTAATCCAGTCCCCTTTGTAATCCGACATGGTCTATTATTTATTACTTATTTTTGAATATTTTTTTGACAATCTTCGCTAATACCTACATGATTGAACAAGTTTGAACTTTGTCTTGTATGCATCACCACTGTTGTATTTGACGCGTAGGGTATAGTTTTGATTATGATTGCTTAGTTTGAATTTGAGAACATGTGATGAAGATAGTGGTGCAGTGTCTTCACTATTTACTGTTATTCATTGTGTATTACGTATCAGCTCAGAAGGGAAAGCACAAAACACTGACAATTAAAGAAAAATGTGATATTTTAGACCCCTAAATCGTATCGAATCTTTTAGTAGGTAGACATACATAATGAAGTAAGATTTGTACTTCAGAGTGCATATACATACATACATATATAACATAGAATCGTATCACTGTCTGATCTGTAATTTGTCAGATTACAAGGTATAAGAGTACCAAAGAGTAAAAAAATTCGGACTATAGGGGACCCCTTAGGCCCCATCTATAATCCGACAAATTCAATCGTACGACACTGCCTTGCAAAACGTTTTTCGGATAACAGGGGGTCCACTGTATACATTTTCTTTCAAGTCAACTTCCAAAGTTACACATTAGCAATAAAGTGGATAAAATTGTAGTAGGAGTGACTTTAAATTATGAGATAGAAATGAAGTAAATATCTTAAAAAGGAGTCTCTTAAAAATGATTTTGGACCCAATTTGACATATAATTTGTGATAATCTTCACAGACTGTCTTATTTCTAATTACTGTAAACACCACTGAAATAGTAATTAATTTGAAGTAATGAACTTGTTTCTCCTACATTGAATTTCTATAAAATTATCATAATAGCTTGATAAGTTTTGTTTTAACAAAATACCTTTAAGCCAGCAAAGCAGTAATATGTCTCAAAATAATAGTCATTTAGAGTTTATTAGACAGCAATTTATGTTTATTTATAAAAGTAAGTTAATGTCATGTCAGTTATGATTTACAAGACAAATTATCGAATGCGCAGGATCCTACTGCATTTGGTACTCTTGCTACGAGGCTGAATGCAGCCCTGAATCTTGGATTATAGATGATGTTTTATTGATTATACTTCTAGGTAACACCTACACCAACGTCGATAGCTGACCTTGGTCAAAGGAAGTCTAAGAAGAAGCGAGCTGCCTCACCGTTGGTTAGCGAGAGTTCCGGTGAAGAGTATGACCCCCGTGGTGACAATATGGCTACCATGAGCGTCGCTGCACCTAAACCTCGGGCAACAAGACCTAAAACTCCAAAAGCTCGTAAAAGTAACTCAAGTAAAAGTAAGGGTATGTATATATTTCTTATCTTATAAAGAATAATTTGACAATCACTAATTCACCACCTCATTAAGACTCTTGTTTCAAAATAATAATTAATAGTAGCCTTTTAATCATTATTAAAAATGAAGCCTAATTGAAACAGCTGTAATAAATTTGCACAGGGAGACGCGTGTTGTTACGCACATCTTTGTTTTTAAAACTTATGTACAAAGAAATAGACAATTATTTATTAGTCCGACACTATAATAAGAAAAGGTAGTCTTGCTTTGTAAGTAATGTTTCGGTACTATTCAAGTATATAGCCAAGGTTTCCACTTACCATCAGGTAGGTCGTTAGCTCGTTTGCCATTCCAATTGCATAAAATAAATCTCAATTCACTATGCATATCATTGACACTGCTTGCCTGGACTTAACTTATAAAAAGTCTTGTGTTGAGTAAGTTTTGAAAAACACAGCACTAATCTTGACTATACCTACCATCACTTCTTAGATGCCGCTTCAGTAGCATTATACAGGCAGGCGGCATTAATTACACACGTCCTCACCCATTTATTGTATTGTTTTTAGAATATCTCAAGCCTTTGAAAGTATGTGTACTTGCATATTACTGTACTTGTGTATAAGTATAAATATTATTTTTACAATTATTAATATTTACAGACTTTACCACGGGTGTAACTATAATAGATAATGTGATAGATGAACTAGTGTGTAAATAAATAAAACTTCCCTTTTTAAAACACTATTAAACTTATTATTACTGCTATATTTTTTTAAATTAATAAATATCTTTATTATAATAAATTTTTTATTTCGGCAGCTCAAAATGTAATTAAAATTAGTCATTCAGTATTCAAAATGTAATTAAAGTCAGTCAGTTCGACAATTAATTACCATGATACCATTATTTTAAAATTTTTAATAGTTTTCATTAGGAGCTATACATATATCGTTGTCTTAGATATGACAACAATTGTGAAAAATAACTGTAAATATCTTGAATATTTTTTAAAATAAATAAATTCTATTTATTTTCAGATAAAAGTGAAAAGACTGAAAGAAATAGAGTTAGTGATGCTGTGAGTAAGGAATCTGGTCCCCAAAGTCCATGGGCACACACGATTCCCGAGGAAATTCTGGAAAAGATATTTAACTATGTTGTGTCATCACAGGGCACTCTACCAACAGTTATCAGGTAAAAATATCATAGATATTATAGTATTCTGTCAGAATATCTTTTTAGATTTTTAATGTGCGTGAGTTATATTAAGGTATACTTCGCAAATTGTGGCACGGTGCTTCAGGATAGGATGCATTACGACATTTCAGTAATGCTTTTAACTATACATATCCCATTGAATCACAAACATCTAGCTACTTGCCTTTGTTTAGTATGTATAGTATATTTTGTATATTAAAAATCCACGCTAATTTTTAATTTATCCGTAACAGTAAGAAAGTTACTATAGTATTCATTCTTAACAATAATAATGAAAACATTTCAAACTTTTTTTTTAGATTGGGAAGAGTATGTAAGAAATGGCACAGTGTAAGTTGTAAGCCACAACTGTGGAAGAATGTAGATCTTGCACAATATACAAGTGAGAAATGCAAAACAGACTACAAACTGGTATGGCTTTTAGAGAATCGACTATCATTATGTCAAAGTTTAAATATTGGTAAGTCCTGCTATTAATAACATTTACGAATTTGCAATATTAATGTGATATAGCTTAGCTCTTAACGAATTTTTAAATACTGACTTATTATGGTTTAAATGTATGGTGTAGAAACTCGACATATTTTAACAGGAGGCAACAATAGTCTACTGCCTACAGTAATGATATGATACACTCGTGCCAAAAACATATAACACGACTGCACAAAGAAGTCTAAGAAGTTTTATTATAAATACCCACGGAGCTATAAGGGTTAATTAATACTATAATAATGACCCTGGAAATTTCACACAGTACCATATAGTCTCAAGCTGAGCAGTCTTTGTATTATAGGTACTAGACAACTAATATAAATACCTAAATGAAAATATAAATATATATACTTATAAAACTTAACTAGATAACAATGATACTTCTGAATATGAATATTTGAATCGTGTTAGGAATCGAACTCGCGACAAATAGAAGATAAGCGTTGTGTTAAACCGCTAGACGGTGGTCTAGCGGTCGTATGAAAATAAGATGTATTTCTATTATTATTTAGATTAATATTATAATTAATTACTTTTAAAGAGAATCTTCTTTTACACTTCTGACATGCGCCCTAATCGCACCGGTGTTTAATTATATTTATGTATAAAGTTATTATTGTTTGGCTTGTACAAATAGTAAGAATATGTTAGTAAATAGTAATTTTTAATATTTCAGCTCAATGGAAAGTGTGCAATGTATCATGGGTGCTGGCTTGTGTGGCTGACTACTGTCCGGAGTTGGTGGAGTTGAGCGTCGCTGGTTGGAGTCGCATCACTCCCGAACAGCTCTATGAGCTTATTCAAGGGCTACCCAAGCTTCAACGGCTTGATCTCTCGCTTACGGTTAATATATTTTACTTTTATTTAAAATTTAATACTCAATCTTTTACTGTTTGAATCTGAGATTGAGAGAAAGTGAAATTAAATGAGTATTTATTGCCTAAGGTAGTACATAATTTGAGGTTTTAAGTTCTTTATTAGTTTCTCCCATTTTGTCATCGCTACCATGCAACAGGCAAATGTAAATATTTTTATAATTAAACAGCCATTATTTGTAAGTTAATATTGGGAACCTAGATTATTTACAATATGAGCATGTCAATTATTTGTTAATTAAATATTTGTATATTATACTTAAACTTTATAGAAAAGAAAAACATTGAAATTAGAATTTATACTATTTTCTTTGTTCTACTATTTTCGTCAATTTATTAGTCAATCAGGACCAGCCTTTTTATGAATTTATGTATTATCTGTACCTATTTTGGAACATTTAAAAAGTAAGTTTACGTAAATATACGTTAATATATATTTTTATGTATAATTGAAATGTCAAACAAGCTGACGGCTCACCTGGTGGTAAGTGGCAACCGTACCATAGCAGCCTCCATGTGTTGCCATTCCGAACTAAACTGTTAATCCTACGTACTCTGTGATTTCACTGCCAACTGAAACATCTCTTTACGGCTAAATGGGTGAGACAGGTGCTTAGGCTGACGACTTTAGACTAATTCTACCTGTACTATTTAATAATAGAAAACTATTTTATTTTCCACAGTCCGAGACAAGTTCAAGTACATGCCTAACGGCAGCTTCTATGGCTCGAATAGCAGAGAATTTCGGATCACGTCTAACGCACTTAAATCTCGCAAACAACAAGTTCACGGCGTTGTCGCAGATACTATCATCTGTCGCGGTATGAATAATATTGTTTCTTTTAGTTTTATAATTAACAGTGTTGCATTAACCAAGTTGCGTTCTTTAAATATAAAGAATTAAAATTAAATAAATGCAAGATCCCGGGCATACTTGGAGCGCTGCATAACATGCATCCTATACAATATAGAACAGAAATACGCAAACTCTACACCAATATTACCAAAGGATATATTGGAATTAAATAAATTTAAAACATCTGTTAAATCATATTTATTGGGCAATGCCTATAATATATATCTCTAACCTAGTACTCAAATGACAAACGTGCTTGGCAATATGTATGTATGTATGGAATTTTCTTTTAACGTTATATATTGACACCTACATAAAAAATATATTGTAAATCTACTGTCTTCCTTTAAAAAAAAATCGATTGAGTTTCTTGCTAGTCCTTCTGAATTGAATCAGGATACTGAATTGGACGGTAGGGAAAATATATTAATATAAAAAGTATTTGTTCATAAGCGGCTAAAAGTTGTAAAGGTATTTGATTTGAATAAAATCCGGAAGTTGAAAACAAGAAATAAATGAAAAACATATACTGTTACTACTCCACCAATTGCTATTTGGTATTATAAAATACATCTCTTTTATTTACAGTCCCATTGTCTGAATCTCGAAGTTCTGGACATATCTGGTACACTCGCCACGTCGCACCCCGCCTCTGTGCCGCTTGAAGCGCTGCAGAAAGGTTGTCCCAAATTACGAGTATTTAGAGCCGCCAACTCACAACTTGTACTGGCTTCCGCTACTACTTCGCAACAGGTAATGTCCTAATTCCATTAGTATTAGTACTTTCTAAAATTGTTTTACAAACTGCTCAACTAAATCATGACAATTGAAATGAAAATGTAATTTAAGTAAAACTTAATTTGTAAAGCTTTTTATGGGAATCATGTAATGTTCTTATTATTATCTTAGTAATGTTTATTGGAATAAGAATTTTGCGTAACTGTTTGGTTGCTAATTTAAACCTAGGAACTATATACCTATATCAATACTGAGATACATGAGCAGTCATCAGATGAACATTCAATTAAAGTATGCTAAAGAACAGATTAAAAACTTCCACTTGCATGTCATATTGTAGGGAAGTCATATAAAATAATTTTCTAAAACGCTGTATTCTTCGAAGGCTATAACAGAATCATGATTTTGTAACCATACTGTATACACATAAATATACATAATAATGATACATACAACAACACCTATTAGTCATAAGTCATAATGTGTGCGGCGTGTCCGTGTCTTTTTTTTATGGATGATAATTGAACGGTGCACCCGCCTGCGCTAACGGTTTACACTGGAGGGACACCAGTGGAAGATGATAAGATGAATATGAGGTCAGGTCAGTTATCCCATCGTGACAAATTCACCAAGAATTTATCACGATGGTTTCCAGGGGGAACCGAATGGAGGTCAACCTGACGTGGTATATTGCTAGCAATGAGATCATCAGTCCACAATATTAACAATCCCCTTTTCCCCCCGGCGTGTCCGTGTCGTCAGATGGAGGCGGGCGGGTGGTCGCAGCTGGAGGAGCTGTCGATCGCGGGGTCTGCGTCGACGGAGCGCGTGGGCGTGGGCGAGTACCGGTTCGGGGACGAGGCGCTGGGCCGCCTGGTGCGCGGCGCCACCAGGCTGCGGCTGCTCGACCTGCGCGGCCTGCAGCGCCTCTCAGACTCCGCACTCGTGCGCGTGCCCGCCTGGGACCTGCAGCATCTCTTCCTTGGAGGTAATCCGACAATGACACTCGCGGCCACGCACACGCAGTCCCAGACGACCGTCACAGTTGGTATATGACATACTGCTTTACCTACCCATGGATGCGTTTTCTTAAATGTATTTGTATAAATTTTTAAGTGTATTTTCTTAAATTATTGTTTCTGGTACAGTAGAATATATGTTCTGCTATTATTTTAATTTTTTTACTACATTTTTTAACAACGATGTTGGTTAGTGTTACACCAATCAACATTGTTGTTAAAAATAGACTTTGCCTGGGACCACCAACTATTATTGATATGTATAAATATGACAAATATGTAAAATTTATTTATATTAACATCAAAATGCTAAGAAATAAATTTCAAGCTTAAATCTTTCCAAATGACAACACTTTCAAACCCCTACGGGTTGTAGGGGTTTGAAAGTATTGTCGCCTTAAATTATTTTTTCGCCTTAAAAAGTAGCCTACGTCCTTTTTTTAAGGGTCTAGACTATCTATATATTATATATTTATGTATCTATATAAATATCATTTAAATCGGTTCAATAGTTTTGACATAAACGCTCGACAGTTCTTTAGTGCCCCATCTTCAAGGTCTGTTGCATTTTAATAATAAAGTAAAAGTAAACAATAGTATAATTTGAATCATAGCTCATTTTTTTAAATATATAATCTTAACGTACATTAATAATTTGTTATCTTTGAAATCACAAAAACTATGTTATTTATATATATATGTGTTGTATATGTGAATCCTAACTTAATGCTTAAATCTCTAGGTTGCAACGTCACCCGTCAGAACAATGCTTGCTTAGAGCTGATCTGCGAAAAGTGGTCCCACAGTTTGATAGAACTAGATCTATCCTGGGCATCTGCGACGCAGGTCCTCGACGCCGCAGTTTCAGCTCTTGCAGATTCACCTGACAGTAAACTGAGGTAAATAAATAGATTCACCGTCACTTTGCTTACTACCGGAATATCATATTAATTGACTACCTAGATCGAAAGTAGTGACAGTCACAAATAACACACACTGACCAAAGCCATCACTAAAACACTTACGTCGTGCTAATTCTCAAAGACTAATTAATTTAATTTAATAAATTGGTTTGTATCCAAAAATCTGAGGGCCATTCCTCAGCCTTCCAACCCCAATAGTTAGTTAAAGTGTAGCTGTAAGTGATTGTACAACCAGCGGATAGCAGTAGCTCAGGCAGAACGACATCTTCAACATCTCTAATGGCGTCTGTAGTGTAACGGTTTGTCTTTGCTTTGGTTGAATGATTGATGATATTCATTAGAGATTAGCTATTCATATTAATGCTCCAGAATGTCAACACATGAATGGTACATGATACACTATGGGTATCAACACATTATTACATTAGTATCACATTATTTATTTCTAATCTTCATGTATATGCAATTGTAGCCTATAGCTACGATTGCCGCTATCCACCAATTGGGGCATCATATTGTTTGCCATAGTTATTTTTAATTTAAATAATGTATATTGTTTGCCATTCCAATAACATAAAAAGTTAGAAACTGAAAACTAGTGTGTCTTATATAAATTTCAAATATCATTTTAGTATTTATTGTTGCTTTATTACAGAACATTGAATCTTTGTGGGTCATCGGTATCTTGGGATGCAGTAAAGAAAGTGCTTCTTAGATGTCGCCTTGTAGAATCAATCAATCTTAGTTCATGTCGTGCTCTACCGAGAGGAATGAAGAGACTATTTACAGGTAAAGAATTACAAGATCTTAAGGACAGTTTAGATCCGGAAAAGGCGAAAACCAAAGATAACAATGCTGAGAAGGAAGTAAAAAAGAAAGACGCAAAGAAGACCGAAGCTGACTCAGGGTCAGACACTGAACGCAACAAGTCTCATAGTTATGATGATAAAGAAGAGACAAAGTTGCAAGGAACTTCTCCTGTGTTTCAGGAACCAAAAAATATGCCAGATTCATATTCCAAACAAGGAACAGCACAGGAAACTACTAAATCATCACCAGATAGTAAAGCGTCTGATTTATTAGCAAGCAAGGAAGGAATAGACACGATAACTTCAGCTATGTCTAAACATTCTCCTGGTGATTCTACCCCAAAATTACTTAGTCCCATGGCTCAATCTAAACCTGATTCTTCATCCACCCCTAGATCAGAACCACTTAAAGCAGATCTGGGAAGCCCTTACTTTAGTCCTGCCTCAAAACCAGATAGCCAAGTACAGAATAGTCCTGAAGTACAAAACGAATCATTAAAAAGCAATAATTCTTGGAATTTAGGTCAGTTCAAAAGTACATCCACTAATAAGTCAGAAGCCAGCCCCTTAAATAGATTAGAGAGTCATGGTAAAATAAGACAAGGCAAAATAGTAGAACAGTGTAGCCCTACAACTTCACTTGAAAATAAACCTAGCCCAGAAACTGTTGGTCTTAAACAAGACATAAAAAATCCTAACAATTGGAATTATGGAAGTCCTATGCCTAGACAGGAAAATCAATTTGCCTCTCAGAGAAGTCCTTATTCTGCTCAACCAAGTCCTGCTCAACCTAGTCCATATTCTACTCAGCCCAGCCCTTACTCTACTCAACCTAGTCCATATTCTTCACAACCTAGTCCTTACTCTGCGCAACCAAGCCCTGATACAAGTCAAATAGTCAAAACGGACCTACAAAAATCTGGTGCATGGAACACTGGTAATTACAGTCCTATGCCAAAACATCATGCACCATTTTCTCCTCATCCTTCGACTCATACTAGCCCTGACCCTGGGCTCAATGTCAAAAGTGATATTAGAAACACCCCTAATAAAACTCCCGGTCAATATAGTCCAATGTCAAGGCAGGATCGGCTTCATCACAGTCCTTATTCACCCAGACCTAGTGTTGAAAATGTGGCTTATATTAATAAAAAGAGCCCGGGCGTCGGTAGTTATAGTCCTATGAAGCGTCCAGAATGTCATTTGCCAAGCCCAGACACCGGTCCAACATGTAGACCTGTCGTGAGTGGGAGGACACAGGATATGTACAATCGATCAGTTGCAAAAGTGCCAGAAATTATGCATAATAATGTTGCGGCGCCCGAAGTTACCAATTCATGGGGTATGGACAGATTTAATCTGACCAATCCTACTTCTAGTATAGAGTCAATGGTATGGGGGACGTCGTCGTCTTATACAGTTGAACCTCCAATCCCACCGCGCGTTGACAACATTCCCGGTATGCTCAACACTCCTCCAGCGCAGTCTTGGAATAATATGCCAGTTTTTGATAGTGGAGTGCGAAAAACGAATGAAGACATTAGTGACGCGTGGACTTTAGGTCAATTCCGTGTGGAACCACCTCACCAAGTGCACAATACATATGTGGATCAGAACGTTAATTTTGACTCGTTAAGTGGTCACATGGGTCACCCGGCTCATGTGTTACAGAGCTACCTGGACGATAATTATACGGAGCCGTCACGTGTGGACTGACGTCCCCGTGCATATTCGCCGTCACGCCTCTGGTCTGACTTCCAATATTACGGCGAACGACCGACGTTGATACTACTTCGTACAATTTGTCCCTATAGTAGGGGATTAGGGTGAACTTGTAATTAATACAAATTGAACAATTATGTTGTAGAGATTGTAAATAAGATTGTCTAGTTAGGTTTAAGAGTAATAAAGCTAGAAATGCATTAAATTTATTTTGCAGTGTAGTCTACAGAAGATAAGAGCAAATTATATTAGACACTAGTGAATTCATCGATGAAGTTAGATATTGTTGAATTATACTCATGAGTTAGAAATTAGAGTGAGTCTTTATTTGAATGCCAAAATCTGTTTACATAAACTGAGGCCAAAATGAATATTTATTCCATTTTTATTTGTTAATATTGACTTTTAACATGCAATATTTATACTTAATTGTATTATAATATATCTTTACTGTTTTTGTGTTCATAAACAATATTATACTTTCTAAATCTTTGTTATAACGTGCAGTAAATAAACATTCCTTTTTATACATTTTCAACTTTGTATTACAGTGGTTTTCAGATTATGAAGTGCAAATGTGTGAGATGTTTGCATATTGTTTGTTAGATGCACTATAGATTGTTAACTATGAAGTTAGCAAATTGTTGAGTGTTATTTTGTTGCTGTTTTGCCTCAAAACAGGGCAACTTTGTGGTTTTAATTTGCAAATCATGAATTCTATCATTAGTCATAATAAAATTATACATCAAAATCAAATCGTACAGTTATAAAAAATACGTCATATTTTATATGTATAAGGGAGCAAATAATAACTGTTAGATTTAATATTAACATTAAAGAGATTACGAAAGCTCGCTATTTATAAATTGTATAATTTACGCTTAAAAATGTTGTAGGCAACAGTTACTGGGCATTTACCGTAAGAAGGCATCAATAAAGTCACAAATGGCACACATTTGTGAGTGTGTATTCACTGCCTAATGTGACATCACATATTTTTTCATTACATGAAGTAATGAATTAAAACAACAAACAAAACAATTTAAATCATGTTTGTACAGATGAAGTTTTTTTGTTATAGGTCAAATTGTAATTAATGAGGTTTTGTAATCTGACAGCACAGAATTTAGGACCATGCTAACACTTGTCTGACAATGTCACATTTTGTCGACAACCTCCATCCCCTTCAACGTAAGACGTCACTAGGGATGCACCGATAATTGCGCATATAAACCATATATAGTACATTTGATATGCTAATATTACTGATCTCTTTAATATTCTTTCATTTTCAAACTCATAATTTTCATTCGAGTAGTAGCCCTTGCTATATAAATACTAACGACAAAAGACAGTCAAGTCGAAGTTAATGTTCTTAATAAAACCCTGTTCTACCAAATGCACACTTTATAATTAAATTTATGTATTATAGAGAGGTATTTTGTTGCCTATGTTTAGGTAATAGATATTTTTTCTTAATATCTTATTTGGTTTTGATTAGATAGTAGTTCATTAATAATATTATATACTACACGTTATTACAAAATAACATTCAACAATAAGTTAATATAGTAAGTACTTTTTTGAAGTTAAACTTAAATGAATCAAATGACATATGAATCAATATTGATATTGCTTTACTATAGCGCCTATGATTAGATGTATCATTATCATATTTTGCGGCAGCTTTTGTATTACCTGATTTTATTTTAAAACGTTTTCGTCTACTTTTGAGATCTTTAATTTATTAATTTTATGGTATTGATTTATAAATGACATAATCTGATGGCCATAGCAGGAAATATGTTTATAAAAGTGCTTGGGAATGCGTTTTAGTAAGATCTGGATTTAGCATAACTTTTCTCAAAAGGTAATAAATCAACAAATTGTTATTTATTTCTATGTGGAACAAGTTATGTCGATAAATCATTCCATAATAACGGTAATATATTAAGATGCCGGTTAGCATAATAATCTAAACCATGAGGCAATAGCTCCTTTTTATACATAAATACATCACATACATAATAAAACACAATCCACTTTATATGAAAATGTATTTTATACACAACTGATAGCTTTCAGTCATATAGAATTAAGTCACGATTCAACCCCATTTTAAAGTATTATTTATCGACGTTCCACTTCAAGATTTAGTTTTATTAGAGTGACCTCTTAAAATTAATATCTATGTACACAATTACGAACTAAAATAGTTTTAACTCAATAATATGTATTAAAAATATATTGATGTAACAAACTTGAAATTTAGGAGATCACTATCAAAATATATATATAACGGTGGCATGGGGTGTGACTTGTTGCTTTATTCTATCACAAATATTAATTAGGAACTTATTTTATATGTGTACAGATTGTCATATTTATTTTGTTGGATTGATTGAGACTTTCATCTTGAATTTATAATTTGTAATTATTCTCCTCTGGAAATCATGAGTTCAAGTGTTATAATATCATTTAATATTTTATTAATTCATTTAAAAGTATTATTATTTATTTTAAAATAGTTTTTTTTAACGTATGTTTGTATATAACCGCATTTCCTGGGTAATTCATGTGTTGTTTTAAGGTGTTACAGAATACCTTGGTAGCAAAATTAGTGGTGTTATTGAGAATACTCGAGTGTTTCGTCTTCTAATCACAAATAGATTATACAATCTGTAAAAGAAAATCTACTGCTATACTTTTTGAATAATTTCTACCATTCTCATAATAATTATCATATACTTATTGAATATAGCCCCAAATAATAAGATATAAAAATTGTTTTAAAAAATAGTCGAAAGGAATGTACTAAAATATTATCCTTCGACTAATATTAGTTTACTACATGAAAGCTTCAAATATAAATTAATTCAGAAACACTGTTTTAATTTGTTTTCACTGCTCTTTGTAATAGATTTGTGTAATAAAGAATCCGCTTATATTTTGAAGTTAGTAAGTATTTTGGCAGTTATTTGAAAACTAGTTTTGAAATTATCACTATATGTCATTAACGTCCCACTTAAGAGCCTTTTCTATAAAAGTACAACCCGGTGGGTAGGTATGTATGGGGTTTATAGTTCGTTGCTGTTTTTGATTCTCTTGCAGTGCTATATTGTGCCTTGTTTCCATAGTCCAATCTTACATACTGACTAGTATGAAATTTAGAACAATTGTACTCACATTTATATTACATAAATGCTTGAACTCATGTTAACTATGTATATGCACGTATTTCAAATTATAATAGCGAAGTACAAAATGCTTTGTATTATGTTACATATATACTTCACGTTGTATTTGATGAGTCCAGAGAAAGCCACCAAATAATTGTTTCCAATAACTGCATTAGCCTTATATAATGCCTAATGTTTAACTGAAGAGAATATTTTATAGTTTTATTAACTTATTACAAAGTGAAGAATATTATCTACTATACATAGAATGTATAAAATACCTATAATATTAGACAAATATTATGTTAAAATAATCGTGTACCATAGTATGTATAAAATAAAGTTGACTAATATCTGTAAGTTCTGTTATGTAGAGATTTTTGTTTGTAATATTGTTACACTACTGCATGGACTTCTCACGTGTGGTCCAATTTTTATAATCTAACCAATAAAATATCGATGTGGTTGTACATTTACATTTTGAATAGAATTGTACTCTATTTATTAAAATTCTTTTGTTGAAACGCACATTACCCGTAATATTTGATGTTAATATTTATTTATAATTCTGCCAAATCAGCCTCATAAAACATCCCCTTAAAAGAAACACTGACCAGTAAAAATATTATATTTTTACAACAAGCTTCAACATTTTACAACAGTAATATATTCCATTGCGGTAACAGCTATACATAGCTATATTAATTCTAATATATGTTATACACATTTTATAATTGCACAATAAAATTATCAAAGCTTTCAAGTTTTGAAAGCCGTTATTACGTTGGCCTTTGCAAAATAATAAGTTCATTTACTAACAGCAATATGCTAAAGGCCCATTTAAAACAATATGAGAAGACGGTTGCTATAATTAGTGAACTTATGGTAAATAACAATTATTGGATTGCAATAACAATTTAAATTACTTAACGATGAGGGCGTCTTATTTTTCACGTCATGTCCTTATAAGATTATAAAAGTACCAAAAGCCTAAAGTTGGATCCTCATGCTTTGAAGTTTGCTTAAATAACGGGTTTCCTATCAAACGACCATCTTACTTATCTACCCCTTTAGGGGTTTAAAATATTTCATCATAAATTTAATCAACTGTCAAAATTTCAAGTTTCTGACCATGTGGATTGAACTGTGCATTAATGGATGATCTAACGTTATTAAAAAATAGGCGATATGGTATAAGGGTGCAAATTTAGAATTGTATGTATTTTTTATGCCGAATCATAAAAAATAAACTAAAAATCCTTAGGCGCATGAAAACTCCCATTCGCAGACCTACTGAATAAATGAACATACAAATTTCATATGAATCGGTCAAGCCGCTTCGGAGGACTGCTTTTGTTACAAACACTGTGATACGAGAATTTTCTATAATGGATATACAAATAAAATATTGTTTTCAATTTAATGAGGACCAGGGTGTTTTGGTGTCGTGCCATGTTTACTTATTTTCAAAAGACGTTTCTAAAAATTTTACTTTTTCAACGCAAAGCATAAAGTTATCATCCTCCCATTACTTCACGATTAGCAATAAATTACGTTGGCGGTTATTTCCCGTCCCCAAGGATGTCAACAGCCGGATGGTTTGTAGATAACAGATTATTTTTATCTGGTACGTTGATTAATCAATACGAATACAGGTTCGTTATATTTAACCAAACCAAAGCGATCAATAACTAAATTTACGAGATTAAAGTATCTCGAGGTAATATTACCAATAAGAGATACAGGATTATTCATAAAGCGAATAAGAGAGGCAAAAGTCAGTCATTCATTAAATGAAAAACATTCAACAAGAAAATCGAAAATATGTAGTTTCTATACTTTCAAAATAATGCGGTTACTAATGTAAAATTCAATAAATATTATGAGAATTTTCTGGTGAAGTACTTCAGTTTCATGAATTTTCTACCTGAGTAATGGCTTGTACTTTAATTTAACTAACCCTATATACATTAAATAAGATACAGCAAAAGTCTTAAGAGATAACCGACCAAGTGTTTGCAAACTTTACCATGAAAATTAGCGTTTAATGATATAAAAGTAGCATATATTATTAAGAAAGCTTAAACATTAATATAAACGTTTTAAAAGTTAGTCATAATATTTTATAACATCAAACTTAATTTATTAGTACATAAAAACACATGAACATATCACACAGCGCCATTTAGCGCCACACGAAGCACAAATTATACTATTCTAGCATGGTTGAATTACATATGAAAATGTTTATTTGTAATGTTCGTTGACAAACGCTTTATATAAAGTGGTATAAGCATACAACTATATCTTATTTCCAAAAAAGACGAACCATCATGACAAGTTAAGTGTACCAACTACAGATGATATTCTGCAATATACATACAAAATTGCCATATCCCAACCAAGTGTATTTTACCGACAACGAGATTTCTTCTCTTATAAAAAAGATATCTGGTTTTCACATCTTCAACTAACCCTTTTAAATTCATGGTTATACAACACGAAGTAAAAGAAAGTAACGCTAGTCTATAGACTATATTCTTATTAATAAATATGACTATACGCAGATAATAAAATAAATTTATATTAGGAATGTAAACAATAAAGTACTACATAATCATATCATATCAATTACCTGGTAACCAAAATATTGTTCTAATGAGAATACTATAGCAATCCAAATCCAGCTTTAGTATATGTGAATCTATCATTATGTATTTTACTGACATATATCTATGATCTAGCCCTAGAAGTTGTTTATTACGTACAGGTATGTTTATCAATTTAACAAATTAATGCATATTAACTATATGACGTATAAAAATAGTGAAACTCGTTTTAAGTTAAAGACAATCAATTAACTATCTTCTTCAGATAAGGGATTCATAAATTAGTGTAAGTCTTGTTCTCCCGGTTTATGAATAGCATCCGTGTAAGGTACGGAAATATGAGGGGTGCTCTCTCATTTCCCTTACGGTTACTTTTTGCGCATTCACAGCTCTTTTGTTATGCTCGCTATAGAATATTTTATGCAATTTTCACGAGCTTTAAGCATAACATACAAAATAAGAGCTCATAACAAATTGAAACAAATCTGAATAACTAATATGTCGCTCGTTGACAAAAAAAAATTGTTATATACTGTCATATTCTTCATAATTAAATTCGTTGTATGAGGCGGGTGCTAGCAAATCTTGCTGTGGGTTTGAATTTTCCTCAACTCTCGACTTCTTATGTTTATGTTTCTTTTCCTTACGATCCGATTTATCGGTGTGATCACCTTTTTCTTTTTCCTTATCTTTAGACTTCTTTTTCTTATGTTTCTTTTCCACCTGTTCAAAATAAAATTAATGTTTTTTTAGGTTAATGAAATAACAAACAAACTGATCGCTCGTCTGAGTCGAGTAGTACCCGTCATCTATAAACAAGAACATAATTACGGAGATCACCTTGATATGGGATAAACCTGGCAACCCGCCTTCCCCTGCGCTATGCTTTGTCATCCATGCCATAGTCAGTAACTATTCTGCAGATATTTCTACTGAATATAGTTTCTAATCTGTACTTCTAAAAACTACTTTTTAGTAAATATACATATACAAATAATGTATTATTTTAAAGTGTTTTAGGTACCTTGATGTTAGTTTCTTTAGCTAAATCAGGATCCTCTCCACCTGTAAACATAAATGTATTTATTATGGGTTAGCCTTCTCGAGGGAAACCAGAGCTGTGCAAAACTGGTCTAATTTAGCACTCAATCACATAAGACTAGACAAGTCATGAAAAACAAGTGAAATCCATTACAATTATGGAACTAAGAAGTTATACACATTGCATTCTAATACAAAATTATATACCGACATTTTTCATGACAATTAGGTGCCATTTATAATAATATAAGATGTAAAGTGTTTAGTAGATTTGGACATACAAAAGAGTTTTAGATATTTATTCTCATAACAAATAATTCACTTAATGTGAGAACTAAAAGCATAAACTTATACAAAATTAAATATTAGAGGAAATATAAAAGAAGGTGTATATATATTATATACACCTTCTTTTATATTATATATAACATTTTGCAAGTGACGTTATATCGTTACAAAAAATATCCCACCTTCAGGGGACCTTCTTGCACTGGAATCACCAGCCCAAATCGGAAAATCATTATCCATCGACAACTGCATGTCACTATGCCTGCTATTCAACACGGATAATTTGTGATCAATATTATCTTTTGAGGCCACAGGTTTTTGTAATGGAATATCGTAATTCTCTTTGCTGATTGATGTATGGCTCATTAACTTTTCTATATTGGCTTCTTTGTTAGGTATTGACGTAAATGTGTGGTCAATTGATAGTTTCGGACCTTTCGAACTTTCTGAGGCACTTGTGTCCACATCAAGATCATCTTCATCTACTGTAACCTTTGGATTTGTCATAGTCCCATCATCACTTAAAAAAATGTTTGATTTAAAAATTCGTGAATTAATATATTACAAATAATTTAAATTCAGTCGTAAGGCAATAAAAGCCGGCTGTATCCCGACAAGAGTATGTCCCCTAAAATAGATTTCCTTTCCGATGGTCACGGGTTCGATTAATCGCACAGTACCAACTTTTGTATTCAGGAGTATGATTGTTTATATTGGGTGTTTCATATATGTATTTAAAAAAATGTATTTAAATATTTATACCACTTATCTAGTACCAATACAACAAACTCTGCTTAACTTGGGACTGTGTGAATTGTCTAGGGTTTTATGATTATGAACATTGCTTATACATCTTTAATAAAGTTCTGTCTTTTAAAATTGATTGGATGGACATGCGGAATTAAAAATCGCGCCTTCATAAGATTAAAATAAAAAAGTAGAAAAAGGTGGTATGTATTTCTACCCTGTAATTTTTGAGAATGATATTTTTTGTAGCCTAACTACAAATAGATCTACTACAAGGAGAGTCATCACATCATTGGATGTTATGCAATATATTCACCAAGTAATATATTGTAAAGGTTTATCCCGTGTTGGTCCTATACTAATTGTATACACCTACCCACCCTTAACTTTTCTGTAAATACAATCTTAACTTTGTAATTACATAATATTCTTAATTTGTACCTGTCACTATCGTATTTGACGTCATGATTGGCGGTGGGCAAGGGCGTGAGATCGTCTAAAAAGCTACTATCCAGCGTTCCAGCATAGAATTCATCCAAAGTTCCTGTCGACGCTGCGTTGGGAGCTGACGAATTGCCCTTTTCACTGAAAACGTTGCCAATATTAATCTCATATTTTTTTATGGTATGATGCACTCGCCTGCGCTAACGGTTTACGCTGGCGGGGCACTAGTGGAGGATGATAAAATGAGCATGACGTCAGGTCAGTTAGTCTATCTTGGCAAATGGCAATTTACCACGATGAGTTCTAGGGGGAACTGCGTGGAGGACAACCTGATATGATACATTGCTAGCAATGGGATTAGCCCACATTACTAACATCCACTTCCTCCCAATACTCATACATATATTATCGCCAAAAGCAAACGGAAATTATTAATATAGTTAATTAGTATGGCGTACAGGCCTACAGCCTGACTATATCAAGACAGACAGAAATACAAATTGACACACTTTTTGTTGATGCTCAAATTTGAACTTGGGTGTACTTTAAGATAGTAAACCATTACGCCAAGACACTCTTATTTACACAATTATTATAACTAAAGTAATATTATTTTCTGTAAGATACAACTTACTTGTCACGATGGGGCCGAGATGGTGTGACATCCATACTAACTAAATGTTTAGATTGTAACATTTCAGGGTTTACATACTGAGTTTGTTGCACTTGCGGATTTTTAGAGCCATCAAGTTGTGACTTAGTGGGATTAATTGCTTGTGCTATCTGTATCATTATAAAAATATGTTAATCATTTGTACAAAAAAAAACAAGTGTACATGTAATTGTAAAATAGTATACCTACATGTAAATGTTGTATAAAAATATATGTTACATATACTTATATATTTGACAATTGTACTTTTTACATGTAGACTACATTTAGTTAGATTTAGGATATATTTATTCTTGAAACATTTTCAACATAATTAACCAATTTCGAAATTATTTGCCTATTTGGACATATAATTAAATAGTAGTTTGTTGTGGTTGTTCATCCCTGTACATTGATATGTACATATTACAATAGGTTTAAATAAACAAATAATTTAACATAAAACAGCTAATTGTTTCCGGTATAGATCTTTGATTTCTATATACTACTACTACGACCCCAAATTAAACAAGAGTAACAATTTATGAATGTTTGCAAATTGACTTCATGAATACTATGCAGACAATATTTAAATAAATAAAAATTCATAATTCAACAAATAAACAAAATAACTAGCTTTATTTTGTTTATTTATTCAATACTGACTTTGGCCGCAGTTTAACCCGCGTTAAATTTCTGTCTGTCTGTGCTTATATTATAGTACTGTAAAGTTTCATCAAAATCCGTTCAATAGTTTTTGCGTGAAGGAGTAACAAACATCCATACTTATAAACTTTCGCGTTTATAATATTAATTCCTAGTGAATACGCGACCTCCATTGGCGCTCGCATGCGATAGGGCACATCCAGGCAGTCCGTACAATATATATTAATATATATATATATTATCTTATGATACTTACCAGTGGGTTCACATTTGGTGGCACTATTGGTTTACCAGCTCCCAACACAATACTCGGTGACCTATCATTACTGGGTCGTAGTTCAGACTGCCCATTGTTTTGTTTCCGTTTATTCGCTAAACGATCTAAGAACAGATTGTAGTGAGACTCCTCCGAACTCTAAAACAAATTTATATTATTTTTTATAAGAGTTACCTAATGTAAATTATTTTTAAGAGCTGATTAACATTAAACAAATAATAAACTTTACAGCATATTTAATAATAATATTAAAATTAGGTACGAAGTGGCCCTTAAGTATGAAAACATCATGACGACAATTTACAAATAAAATATGTATTATAGATATTGACATCATAAGGCAGATAAAAATTTTTGCACAATAAATGCTCCACATAAGCTTATAACTTGCAAATGGTGATCTGCTTCCAAGAGATCATATTGATTATTATAGTATGATAAATATTTATATATTTATTAATATATTTATAGAATATATTTTCTATTCTATTCTATTCTATTTAAGTATACTTCTTATTCTAAACTGTTTGTGACAAAATTAAATATCACATACAAAAACTATTAGGTTTCTTTACTGTTTAGAAGTATATTATATATAGTCAGTAGTCAAAAATTACAGCCCATAGCTATTACAAAATTAATATAATTAACTGACTTGGAAATCATCTAATTCTTTTTCAATTTCCTCCATGTCTTTCTGGTTTCTTTGCAGTTGCTCTAATAAACTTGTTTTCTGCAGCCTAAGAAAGGGTATGCTCAGGAACTTGTGTAACAAACGCAGACCAAAACCATTCCTCATTGAAGATTCGGCATATCGTACCGGCGCCGTCCTGTTAATGTATGATAAATAGTCTATTAACTATTAATGTAACTATAGTAAAAAAAATACATAAATGTTGTTAAAAGGTAATAACTTAGAACATTTTTAGGGGGAAATGAGATTGTTTGTAATATGGACTGATGATCTTATTGCTTGCAATATAACATCAGTAGTAATGTACAGTCAGGTTGACCTCCACACGGTTCCCCCTGGGAAACCACGTCTGGGAAGTCACGATGGACTAAGTGAAATGATGTCAGGTCACTTAGTCCATCGTGACAAATTCACTAAGAATTTATCGCAGTGGACTAAGTGACCTGACATCATGCTCATCTTATCATGCTGCACTATGGTGCCCCGTCAGCGCAAACCGTTAGTGCAGGTGGATGCAGCATTTCATTATCATCCATAAAAAATATATATCAAAATTGTTGTCATTTTAGTTAGCATACCACAGTTTTTAATCAATTAGTTAGCATACCACTGGTGCACCATTTCATTGTCATCCATTATAAAAAAAACCATTATCAGTCATGAACATTTAAAAACTAATTTACACATAACTACAGCATTAGGCTCATGCAGTGTACTGGATATTTTTTGTTTTCCTTCTCTGACTAATAACAACTAATTCTTTACTAGATAGTGACAATGAAAAATTATATTATGTATTATTACTTTCATTACAAATAGTATTATAAGTAGTGAATAGATGCTTATATCTCCACCATATGGCGGTTTATTTTAGTGCCCTATTATTGCTGTGTATAATGAATAAAACAAATAAGAATGAACATTTTATGGCATTTTATAATATATATGCACTGCCATGTTTTATTCTCTGCAGCACATATAGATTGGCTGAAAATGCTGCATAGTATTAAATTCACCAACTATACTATGCTTTTACTTAATATACTATTTTATATTGTAATAATAAATAATAAAGGTAAATAATTACATATTGTAATTAACATGACACAATATAAATGTACCAAAATTTACCTGATGAGTTTAGCATGATGAAGTGCTTGTTCTATATGATGGGGATGAACTTGCCGATGATGTTGCATATCACAGTGATTTCCAAGCACAACTACAGGGAGATCAGCAGGTACATGGGACAATTCCTTCACCACATATTCAAATGTCCTGTAAATGATATACTACTATTCAATATATAGTAGTAAGATGTAAAAGTAAATAGTTCATTTTAACTAATAAAGAATATATGCTCATTGAATACATTGTAATAATATGTATAAGTGTTATATATAATAGTTATGAAATTTACACAAACATTACCTAAAATATGAGCAATCAATATTTATTATTAAGCACATATGTTTATTATAACACAAAATATATATAGAGACAACACCATTAATACATTCATCACAAAATTAAGTTAAAAGAATATTATGAAACAGAAACTGTATTGTATATACCATGGTTTTGTAATATCGAACATTAAAATTACACCCGTAGCATTTTTGTAGACATCCAAAAATGAAGCATCTAGCACTGGGGTTTCATAGCCATCTTCAGCTGATTGTGAGGACTGGTTCTCTAATTTTAGTCCCATGGGAGCTTTTTTCTTGGTTCTACCCTTATCAACCACTTCCCACACCTCAACCTAAAATTTTAATATATGACACTGAATTACTATCATGAAAAATGGAGTGGCAATATAGAAAAATTATTTGAACTATTCATACTAATTCGTCTTATGAATATTAAGCTTTTATATCAATTCTCCATCTTTTTTTTTTTTGAGAAAATTTATGAATGAAATTAATGAAATCTTATGCATATTTTCTCTGATTTTTGTCTCAGTTTTCCTTAATAATGTACCTTCCACATAAAATTACTTGATACAGTTCTATGATTATTGACATTAAGTAATTCTACTTAAACAGAAAGGGTTCAGTAACTAGGTCAACTTATTATATGATTTTAATTAAATAATATTATAGGCAAGTCAGCCACTTACTTTTATAATATAATCTGTATTTTTGTAAGTCCAGTGTATAGGCGCTACTTGAATTTGATCAGTAGGTACATAATCTTCAATAAAAGGACCACCCTGTAGTCGCTGAAGAAGGCAGGACTTACCTACGTTTCTATCGCCTTTTATTAATATTTTCACTAAAAGGAACAAAATAATCAATAATAACAATGTTTAGTAATACATTATTTACGTAAGTATTGTTTAGTAATTTAGTTATTTACTATTAAAATGTACTCCTCTAGAAAATTTCTTTTGCAACGAAGAAGACATAGGCATAGGCGCTGGACAGCGATCATCGCTGTTTTTTGCGAGCTTTTTGAGTGCAGAAAACATTTTTGTAAAATTTCCTAAAACCTATTTTAAAGTTTCTACGTAAAAATAGCGATTAAACTGATTTAGCTTGGATGATCGAATGATTTGAGATGTTTACACATTTCTTGGTAATTGATAAATATATTGTAATTAAATTTCTAACTATAATTACATTAAGTATTTCAATATTAGCTATACAGCTTTAGATTAAAAGTAATCAAATTTATTTTGTTTACGTGACTGACAGTGACAGAAAGTCACAGTATTGCGAATGTACACAGTGTACACAACCATTTTTTTTTTTTCATATTCGTCCATCTCCTTTTTAGTGATGGAACAGGCAAAGATCCTTAGACCGTACGGCCTAGTCTACGTTTATACTTCTCCATATTTGAACAAGTGATGAGGCCAAATGCCAATTCTTATGTATGTTTATTCATTATGTTTTCATTCGTGTTCAAAATTTAAGTGTTTAAATTTTTATCGATATAGAGGTAACGTATAAATATATAGGTATATATGTTTCAAAATTAGTTAGCATGTCTTGGATGTCGCGCGGGATTTTTTCCGGTTTCTTGTAAATGTTCAGTAAATTATCAATAAAGACCAAGCGTTAAATATTAAAAGCGGAACATTCGAAAAATATGTGATTTAGGGTCTGACTGCTGTTATTGCACTCTTGACATGCATGTGAATCAATTATTTTCATTCGGCACAAATGACTATTGAATCCAGCGTGACCAAAACGAAGTCGTATAAGGAGTGTGTAAAGTTTCCGGTTTTTATAAACTCTAGATTTAGTGAACCAGGGTGAGGAATTAATATTTTTGTTAATGGAGTAAAACCAATTACCCTTGGTCTTTAGCGAAAGTTGCCACTGTTCGACCCATTTTTGACGAAGTCTTGTAAACTGTAGAAAGAATGTCGGAATAAGGTATGGCAACATCCTTGACAACACCAATGTCATTGTTGGTGATAGTTCTTGCCAGGAAATCTGCGTTTTCATTGCCGAAAACACCAATATGTGACGGTGTCCATAATAAAATAATATCATAACACTCCAATGAGAGGTCATATAATAATTGCTTAATGCTATCTATGATATATTTGGTTTTATAATGTAGTTTGTTACGTTGAAGAGCAGTTAAAACACTCATATAATATTGTACTGTCTGTGACAATTAACCATTTTTTGCAATTGCCCCTATCATCTTTTATATAACAAAGTGCATTTAAAATAGCCAAAGATTCTGCTGAAAAAATACTAAATTCTTTATGTATTCTAGTTCCATGACCGGTTCTGATACTTGGTAAGTATAGAGCAAAGGATGTTCTCGATTCGTTTTTAGAACCGTCTGCAAATATGGATTGATGAGTTGAAAATGTAGATAACTTGTTATAAACTTCTTGTTTGGTCCTTAACTCAGAGTCAATTACAATATTAATATTTAGAAATTTACTTTCAAATGGTCCATGATAACAATTCCAAAATCTATTGCTTTTGTGAATTTTGTATAGCTGATCAATATTGATTGAGTCAGAGAAATCATGAAGTATATAGGGAACTGTTTTAGAATTAGAAAGGGGAAATAAAGAAGTAATATGTTTGAGCTTTTGTAAGAGTGGGTCTTCAGAAAAGGATAATAATTTTAGGATGAATCTTTGTTTTAAGTACCAGAATCTCAGGTTTAATGGTGGTATACAGAACTCTACTTGTAAGGAATTTATAGGGGTTGTTTTCATTGCACCAGTTATGTATCTTAAATTAGTATTCTGAAGTACTTCAAGTTTATGAAGCTCGTTTTGGTCAGAACCAAAACATAGATAGCCATATTCAAAGTGGCTGCGAATCAAGGATTTGTACAGCATTAAAAGGATCTTAGGATCACATTTATATAGAGCTTTGATAATATTAAATGCTTTGGAAGCTTTACTTAGTAAATAATCAACATATTTGTTCCAAGACAAATTGCTACAAAAAATAACACCTAAAAATCTAACTTCAGCAGTAATAGGTAGTTGTGAATTATTATATAATATTTTAATGTTTTTGTAGGATTTATTAGTTTTAGAAAATATTACTACTTTAGATTTGTCAGGGCTTACATCTAAATTGAGGTATTTAAAGTAATCTGTTAATCTTAACAATGAGTTACTTATTATTTCTGTAACTTTATTAATGTCTGGGCCTGAAGAGTATATAACAAGGTCATCTGCAAATTGAAGATTCTTGACATGTGGTCCTAAAATTAAATTAAGTTTGTGTATGTAGAGGATAAAGAGTAGTGGACTAAGTATTCCACCTTGACACACACCTTTATAAGAAAGACGAGGTCCTATTAACTGCTTGTTAACTTTAACAAAAACTTCTCTACCATTTAAAAAGTTATAGACCCAGTTTATAATTTTTCCAGGTATACCAATAGAAACAAGTTCTAGAGTGAGAATGTGATGATTGACATTATTGAATACACCGATAATATCAAAGAATACCCCAATCAAAACTTCATTGCATTTAAGTGCTTTAAATATATCAATATGAAGATGAGTAACACTCTCAGAGGCAGATTTACCTCTACGAAAACCAAACTGGTTTGCTGGTAATAAACAATTACTCTCTATGTAGAATTCTAGTCTTTGTTTTAATAATTGCTCAAATATTTTTCCCATGCAGGAGGTCAGGGTTATAGGTCTATAGGAATCTATTTCATTTGCATTTTTGTTTGGTTTTAAAATTGGAATAATACAATCTTTATTCCAATCGGAAGGAATAAGTGAATCTTTCCACAGTGCATTATAAATACATAGAACAATATTTTTAGAGGTATAAGAGAGGTTTTTAATAATTTATATGGTATGCCATCGAGACCAAATGCTGTATCTCTTCGGGTAGATATGGCTGCATTGAATTCAGAAAAAGTGAAGGGTTTATTTAAATAATTTAATTTGTTACTACTTTCATTAATGTGTGATTTAAATTGGGTCTCTCTCGACAGTGTCAGGAGTATATTTCTTAAGAAAATCAGAAATCCAGTTATTTTTATTTGAAATCTGACTATATACATAAGTTTTATTGAATTTTTTAACAGTATTCCAAATTTTGGAAATGGGTGTGGTGCGATTAAAATTTTCACAAAAATTATTCCAGCTAATTGATTGTTCTTTTTTAAGTATTAACTTTTTTTTGGCTTGTAACCTTTTAAATGTAATATAATTTGCCTCTGATGGGTTGTTTTTAAAATTAACATATGCCTGTTTAGAGTTATCTACTGCAAGTCTACATTTTTCATTCCACCAAGGTAATGGAATCCTTTTATTTTTAAAAGGAATATCAGTTGTAGAGTTTATGGGTTTTGATTTTGATATACAACTTTTGTCTAGAGCTAAATTGAAAATATCAATTAATTTAGTATAACACTGCAGGGGTGAATTACTATAAGTGTAAAGTGTAAAATCTTGTAACAAACTATCTGTGGTCTTCTTATACATGGTCCAATCTATAAGATTGTAATTATGAAATTTGGGATAATCTGAGGATTCTGGTAATCTAGTGCAATTGTTATTAATTACTATTTTTGTTATGGTAAATGGTAAATGGTAGCTACCTAAGGGATCATCAGCTAGTGCAGTGTAGTTGCTTTTTTTTTTGGTTCTGTTTATCGTTTAACGAAAATGCAAAGAGAACTACACCCATATAGCCATGTCTGTATGTTTTTAATATTCTTCTATACTGTGTGCGCTGTAGCATGGTGCGGGTGCGGCGACAGTTACTAATTATACATCTAACAATTGGTACATTTAAGCTAATACAGTTGTTAATGTAATAAATAATTTAGTGTATTACGAATGTGGTGCAGCTACTAAGTTGTAATTTGTAAATCGCTGCAATTTTTAAGAGTCAAACAAAACGTTAAACTATCCCCGCACCATGCTACAGCGCACATGGTATAGTATTCTTAACTATTCTTGCCTGTGACTTAAATGACAATCACAGAATACTTTATTACCGCCTGACATTGTTAAATGGATGTTCGCCTAATAAATGGAGACTAAATGATTAATGTACAAAAATGAGTAGCTACTATAATAGCATGTTATATTTGTATCTCTTTGTATTTTGTTTTATTGAACAAATGGCTTGTTATGTAGGTGTATTATAAAGATAAAGGTTTTCATAGCTTAGTGGCATTAAATAATAAAAAAATATACTAAACATTCTTCACTGCACATAATTTAGATTTTTATTTATATAAATACTTACTAAGGCTTCATTAATATAAATAATATCTTATAGTTTCTGTCAAAGTAACTATGCAACCAAAGTGGCAAATTTATATAGTCGGGAGGCAAAACAGTACAACAAGCTACAATTTAATATGATATAAAACTCGATTACAACTTTAACAAAATTAATAAATTATGATTAAAATAAAAGTATTAATTGGACAACTATTTTATTTCATCAATCCCATTTTGACTTTCTTTTTTCAAATATTTCTTTGCCATCTTTATCTACAGCTGCATAGTATCCCATTGATTCATATTTACTTCTCATATAGGCAATGTATCCCAGTGCTATACCAAAACATGTCAATCCAATACTCATTATGACAATATTCTAGAAGAAAAGAATAAAATTTTAATGTATTTAAAAATAATTACTCACCACTTTAGTAACATACCTGCCTTAACCTACATGGCAAGTATGTTGCTAAAGTTCCAATTTTAATGTTCAATGTATGATTAAGCCCAATGTTCTATATAGAATGAATATATATCTGCAAATATTTCTGTGATCAGCAGGGAAAACTTGATAACTAGAGATAATAACATATCAAAATATATATTTTAATTATTGTAGTTAATTCAGCCATAAAGTTATTCAATGGAAGTCAGAACTGTTACAAAGGATTGCAATCAGTTCGTCTGACACGACAATATAATAGGCGTCTACTGTACAATAAAGTGTCGTAAATAAACTTAAACAAACATTAAAAATTCACTTTTCAAAAATAATTTTTGGTTATCTCCTAAGTTAGCAGTTATATAACATTAGTTGCATAAATATCTTACAGGTTTTGCATATAACTCAAAGTTGATAACCCTGAATGCTGTGCTAGACCTTAAAGATCTAAGTCCATCTCCAGGTTTCTCCTTGTCCTTGCTGGCCATGATTTAGTAGTGTAATGTACAGATGGTGTCTAAAAATATTTATGCACTCCTCTTTCTCAATATCATTGTCGTTTTTACTTTTATATTAAACGTAGTAATTATTTATATATAATTAAATAACTTATATTGGTATGAAAAATTTAATACGAAGAAATTAAAGAAAACGACGTTTAAATAATATTGAAATTGACAATATTGACATGGCAATTTTTGAGTCCAAAATGTCCAAATGAAATTTGTAGCTAAGCTAATAGTTTTTTTTTTTCTACTCCTCCTCCATCTTTGGCTTTGCCTTCGCATTTAGCCAATATCAAAGTTAGGGAAATATACACAGAAATATACGGAATAGAACGGAATTTTGTAGGATAAAGGATTGGTCAGGTTTATGATGTTTACAATGTATATATATTATATATATATGGATATATTTACAATTTTATATTATTATATGATGTACTTGGTCGATGGAAAAACGACTTGTTTAGTATAAATAGTTTATTTTGTTAATATAATATTACGAATGTACTATATAGTTTTTTTGACAATATATATTTTTCATCTTAAAGCGGCGATCGAGTGAGTAGTGATGTGCCAGTGTCACCAACAAACTCCTCCTCACAACACTATTACTAGATTGTGATGCCCAGACAACTTCTCAGTTGTGATAGTCTTGGTCCTGGTAGTCCTTTAGTGAGTAAGTCAGCTTCCATCGTTTTTGTGTCCATATATTTTACTTGGATCACTCCCTCTTTAACACTATCACGAATAAAGTGTAGTTTTAAATCGATATGTTTCGACTTCGATGTGATTATCGGATTCTCACTCAACTTTAGCGCAGCTTGGTTGTCATTAAATATTACAACAGTTTGTTGCGAGATGCCCAAGTCTTCAAATAGTCTTTTTAAGTAAATTGCCTCTTTAGCAGCTTCAGACAATGAGACATATTCAGCTTCGGCTGTTGAAAGTGCTACACACTTTTGTTTTCTTGATGACCAACTAATACATGAGCCAGCATATTTAAAGCAATATCCAGAAAATGATTTTCTGTCCATTTTATCTGCACCCCAGTCAGCATCTGCCAGTCCATATAAATTATTTGAGCATTTCTTTTCAAATCTTAAACCAATAGTTTTTGTACCTTTCAAATATCTGAGAATTCTTTTTGCGCATTTAAAATGTTCTTCATCATAGCTATCATTGAATTGAGATAGATAACTTACGGAGTACATAATATCAGGTCTAGTAGCTACGGCGCAATACATCAGTGTACCAATCAAGTTTTGATACGGTAATTCTCGTTTTTTCTCTTTATTAGGTTTTAATGTCAAACCGGGTTCGATAGGTGTGACAGCAGCTTTACATTGTTCCATTTTGAATTTATTTAAAATAATATCTATGTATTTTTCTTGACATAATTTTATTGAATCTCCTTGGTAACTGATATCTATACCAATTAATCTATTTGGTTTACCTAAGTCTTTCAATTCAAATTTTGTGGCTAAAACATTTTTGATTGTGTTTAGCGTTTTTGAACATGAGTAAGCAATGAGTATGTCGTCTACATATATAGCAACTATGATTTTCACTCCTCCTTTCGCTAGTATGTAAACGCATGGATCTGCTTTCGATGGTTCAAAATGTAATGCTTTCAGTTCATTATCTAGTTTTATGAACCATTGTCTTCCAGATTGTTTTAACCCATATAGAGCTTTTTTAAGTAAACAAATCTTTTCATTATTATCAGATTTTAAATCTTCAAGCATTTTCTTAGCTTTATTGTATATTATCATGTCATTTTTATCTATTTCGTCTATCATAATTTCCATTAAATATTCTTCAAGACAGTCAGGAATTTTCATACTTATATTTTCATCTAATTCGCCATTTAAATAAGCAGTAGTGACGTCCATTTGATTAAGTTGTAATCCTTCTTGTACAGATAAACTTAGTACTGATCTAATTGAGCTTAATTTGGCAACTGGAGCAAATGTTTCATTATAGTCAATCCCTGGTCTTTGGGTAAAACCTCTCGCTACGCTAAGTCTTGCCTTTTTTATTTCTGTATCATTAGGACACATTTTCTTTTTTAATATCATTTTATGATCAATGACTTTTGCGTCTTTTGCTTTTTTCATTATCTCCCATGTACCATTTTTTACATGAGCTCTGATTTCAGCTTTTATGGCGTCACGCCAATCCTTATTTTTTTCTTCTTCACATAGGTATGTCATTTCATATATATTTTCATTGAGTTCTTGTACATTATTCAGAACGTAATCATTATATCGCGATGGTAGTCTTCTCTGCCTACGCGATGTATGCATATTATCTTGATTAACTTGTGAAGTCTGATTGTCATCTGTTTCATTTCGCTCTTCATCACTTGTTGAGATCTCTATATTTGATTGTGTATGTTCATTAGGTATCTCTAATATTGGTGTGGAGCTGGTAGACGGTAAAACAGGTAAGTTTTTATTATTATTATTTATATTTTCCATTTCAATAATTATATTTTTATTTTCATTTTTATTTTCAGGTAGGAGTTTTTCTTCGTTATTGAAGATATCAAAGTCATCACTTGTTTCACTTTCATAGTACATTTTATTTATGAATTTTACATCTCTACTAATATTTACTTCATTTTTATTTGGTATGTAAATTCTGTAGCCTCTTGAACTTTTAGCGTATCCAACAAATACTCCTTCAATTGCTTTCGGTGAGAACTTTCCCCTTCGTTTCTTTATCAGAACAAAAGCTTTTGTACCAAAAATGCGTAAATGATTTGCTGACGGTACTCGTCCCATCCATTTCATAAACGGTGTTTCTTGTTGTAAGGCTTTAGAAGGACTTCTATTTATAAGATAGTTCGCTGTGAAAATAGCTTCTGCCCATAACGAATTAGGAACTTTTGATGCTATAATCATGCAACGGGCTTTATCGAGTAGAGATCTATTTTTTCTTTCGCTTACTCCATTTTGTTGTGGCGTATATGGTGTCGAGAGTCGTCTCACGATGCCATTATCTTTTAAGAATTGTTCAAATTCTTTTCCACAATATTCTGTTCCGTTATCGGATTGTAATGATTTGATCTTTTTATTCCAAAAGTTTTCTACTTTATTTTTATATTCTTTAAATATTTCTAATACTTCATTTTTTTGTTTTAAGAAATATATGCAACAATATCTAGTATAATCATCAATAAATGTCACAAAGTATCTGGAACCAGCCAATGATTCATGTGGCATAGGCCCACAAACATCCGAGTGTATTATTTGTAGAGGTTCATTTGTTTTTATAGCTTCATGACTTTGGAATGGTAGCCTGGTCAGCTTTCCTTTTATACATGTTTCACACGGGTCTAGTTTTCCATTTGTCAATTGTATACCTCTTATCAAATTTTCTTTGTGTAAAACTTTCATATCATTTTCATTTAAGTGACCTAGTTTCTGGTGCCACATAGCATTCTTTTCATTTTTTATTGCATAAGCTGTGTTATTTTTGTCACATTTTAGGTTTGTTTTATTTTAGTAAGTAGTATATCACCTTCATTGTTTTTTATTAATGCCTTTTTCTTTGTAAATAATACAGAATTACCTTTATCAGTGATCTTACTAACGGATATTAAGTTTTCAGATATATCAGGTACATATAATGTGTCAGCGAGATTGCATTTATCACCATCTACCTTAATTGTTACTTTTCCTTTACCTTTTACGTTAGCGGTGTGAAAGTTAGATGCCAACTTTAGCAATCCAGTTTCTGATGATAGGTTTGTAAATTTTTCTTTTTGATAGGTAATGTGTGATGTGCATCCACTGTCCAATACCCAAGAATCTGTATCAATGTTTTCTTTACAAAGTGATAAACATACATTTAATGTTTTTTCTGATTTTTTGTCTTTATTATAATTACTACTTTTATTATATTTATTGTACTTTTTCTTGCTCCAGCAGCTTTCAGTGGAATGGCCCTTTTTGTTACAGTTTTCACATTTTATTTGTTTCAGATTTTTATTATTTCTGCTGTAAAATGCTCCATCGGATCTCTCTGGTTTGTTAACTTGTTTTCTAGCTTCACCTTCTTCGAGTATTTTTACTTTTAAGTCTTCCGGATTTGGTAATGTATCCCTAGATTCTATTGCAATTCTAAAGTTTTCATATGCACTAGGAAGGCTGTATAACATCATAATACTCAATAGTTCTGGATGTATTTTGACTTCCATATCGGCTAGTTTATCGACTATGTCTAGGAATTCATTCAAATGATCGCGAATATCGCTTTGAGAGTCCATTTTTTGTAAAACTAATTTTTTTAGGAGGGTTGCTTTTCTAGCGGGACCTGAACTTTGATAAGATGATTTCAGTTTATCCCAAATCTCTTTTGATGTCTTACATGTTTTTATTTGTTTTAATTCTGATGGAGATATTAGTAATAATATTTCCGATTTTGCCATCATATCGGATTTTTTAAATGCTGCGATAGTTTGGGGACATGCATCTGTTTCTAATTTGTCCACTAACATATTCCCATAAATCGGCTTTTATAAGCACTGCTTGTGCCTGGAGACACCATGTATCATAATTGTTTTTATGTAATGGTTCGATTCTATACGTTGCCATTTTTTATATTATATTTTTCTATTTATTTCATAACTTTGTCGAATTTTCTTACCATACGCTCTGCTACCATTTGATGTACTTGGTCGATGGAAAAACGACTTGTTTAGTATAAATAGTTTATTTTGTTAATATAATATTACGAATGTACTATATAGTTTTTTTGACAATATATATTTTTCATCTTAAAGCGGCGATCGAGTGAGTAGTGATGTGCCAGTGTCACCAACATTATATAAAATAAATGTGGCTAATATTTTATATACATTGGTATCGCTATTATGTAACAAACAATTAATAGATGTAGGAAGTGGGACACGGATCAGAAGGAGTTGGGAAATAAATTCAGAGCGATCATATAGAGGGCAGGAGAAGAACACATGATTAATATCTCCGTACGCTCCACAAGCACATGTAGGGTCAGAAACAATATTAAATTTGTATAGATTTGCTGGTGTACATACATGTCCCAATCGAAGTCTGCAAATAATTGATGTGGTTTTTTTATTAAATTTAAATTTACTAAACCAAGGTTTATAAGGAATAGTTTCTGGTACTAGTCTGTAATTCTTCCCCTTTTCAGTTTCAATTGTCCAAAGCCGATTCCAATCCTCATACAAGTATATTTTTGACAACAAAGCTAGGTCATTACAGTAATTGACATATGGGAATAAATCGCCATCGCGAACAGCATCATTAGCCAGTTGATCAGCTTTTTTATTACCAGATATACCAAAATGGCTTGGTATCCAAGCGAAGTGAACATTTAATTGTAATGATAAGCATTGAGAGAGTAGATCACGAATTTTAAAAATTATCGGAGATTGTTTGTGGGATTTAAAGGGAAAATGTGATAAAGCCTGCAAACTACTAAGTGAATCGGAGAATATTATTGTTTTACATAGTTTAACAAGAAGTACATATTCAATCGCCTTAAGAAGTCCGTAGCATTCTCCAGTATAGACTGAGGTCTCTGGCGGAAGCTTAATTTTTTGATGAATTTTGTATTGTGAATGGTAGACTCCAACACCTACACATTCGCCGTTAGAATGTTTCGAGGCGTCCGTAAAAATGTAGTGCCAATCTTTCCATTCATTATCCATAATATAGTTAAATTTGTCATTGGCGTTAATTTCATCTTTATTTATACCTATATTATATAATATTTGGGGATTAAGTATTAGCGAAGTGTAACTATGTTGGTACAGGGGAAGATATTGAGTCTGATATGTTGGAGATGTAATGTCTTTAAATTTTTGGAAACTTTTCACTAAATAAGGTTGGTCTTTATGAGTCCAATACTTCGAAGAGGCTATCACCTCAGCCAATTCCTTTACTCTAGAAATTAAGAGATTTTTTTTTAATGCTAGGCTACGGAAAAAAAATGTATCACTCAGGTACTGTCTTCGCAGTTTTAGCGGTGGTTCACAACACTCTATTTGTAACGAATTTATTGGGCTGGATTTCATTGATCCAGTGATAAGTCGTAGTGCCTTATATTGAATACAATCCAATTTTTTAAAAGCTGCTGCGTTTGCTGGATTTAATAAAACCGAGCCGTAGTCTATAATGCTTCTAATTAAGGCATTATATAGGAGTTTCATAATAGAAGGATGGGCGCCCCACCATACACCACTAAGACACCTTAAAATATTTAGGTTGCGTTCACATCTCACTACAACGGATTCACAATGTGATACACCTGTGAGTTTTGAGTCCAATACAAGTCCCAAAAACTTTGCCTGATCCTTAACTGATAAGGGGGAATCATCATATAAAACATTAACTACTAATGGAATCCTTTTTCTAGAGTATACAACTACAGTGCTTTTCGATGGGGATAGATCTAGACCATTATTATCTAGCCATTTTTTAAGAAATTGTAATGCTGCAGAAAGGGAATCGCTAATCTCGTTAATTAATCGGCCGGCAACATAGAAAAGCAAATCGTCCGATATTGCAGAACTTTTACACATTTATTTATGGATACTTCTAAATAAATAGTATAAATGTTGTAAAGAATTGGACTCATTACGGAACCCTGAGGTAGCCCCTTCCATACCGTCCTATATATACAATCATTATTATCTAAAGTATATTTAATAAATCTTTCTGTTAACATATTTATAATAAAATTCATTAAATGTCTAGGTACATTCAACATCTCTAATTTATGTTTCAGTATCAGGATATTAACATTATCATAAGCTGCGGTTATATCTAGAAAACCAGCTATTACAGAGTCATTTCTAGAAAACGCTAATCTAATATCTGTGACAAAAATCCCCAAACTGTCAAAAGTGCTCTTACCTTTCCTAAATCCTAGCTGACTATCTGAGAATAATCCATTGTGTTCCAAAAACCATTCGAGGCGATTTTTTATTAAATGTTCCGATATTTTCGCCAATACAGTAGATAGAGCTATGGGACGATATGATGAAGGTTCGGAACTTGGTTTATATATATATATATATTAAAGTTTGTGTTCTCCAAGAACTGGGAATATTACCTGATGTCATAGCTGTGTTGATTAAAGAGAGATAATAATTAAGAGCATCTTCGTCTAAATGTACTATAAAAGAGTATGGAATGCCGTCTTCACCAGGCGCCGAGTCTTTAATAACAGAAAGTACACCTTTTAATTCATTGACAGTGAAGGATGAATTAAGATCAAATGTAGAATCATTATTATTAACTATTTCTGTATTAATAGTTAAAGGATTTACATGGAGCTGTTCTGGAACGAAAGGTGGGGCTAATCTATCTAATATTTGTTCTGCAAGAGTGGGAGAAATCTTTTGTTGTTGAGATACATTAAAGGCCGATCTAAATCTACGTATATTTTGCCAGATAATAGAAGGATTGACATTAGGACATAATGAGGCACAAAATTTACTCCAACCTTCAATCTTTTTTTGTTTTAATAAGTTTTTAGTATTATAAGCTACTTCTTGATATTTTTTATAGTTATCTTCAGACATGCAGATACAATACTGTCTTTCAGCTATTTTCCTTTGTTTTACTGTAATAGTACACTCTTCGTCCCACCAAGGTGGAGAGGGTATTGTACTAGGACCACTATTTTTTGTTGGAAATGTTGAATCAGCTGCCTCAATTAATAATTTAGCTAATGACAGAGAACACTCTGACACATTGTCATGGGATATTTTGGGTAAAGTTGTTAATTTTTCATGTACTTTCTGTTTGTAGTTGTACCAGTTGGCATTACTTAATTTATACCTCATACGGGGCTGTTTCATCTGCTGCAAGGGTTTTGAAAAAGGAAAAGGAATTAATAATGGATAATGATCACTATTATAACTATAGTTAAGCGGACACCAAACAAGAGATGAAGCAAGATCTGGTGTACATATCGATAAGTCTGGTGAGCTGAGACCTTCAGTGGGTCTTGTGATGCGTGTTGGCATACCAGTATTTAAAATACATAAGTTATGGGAGTCAATTAACTCCAATAATTGGTCACCATAACTATTGGATGAAGAGGAACCCCAAGTCTGATGGTGAGAGTTAAAATCTCCTAAGCATATAAATGGTTTTGGTAGGATGTTGAATAAATTATTGACTTCATTGAAAATGGCATTACTTGGGCGGGAGAAATATATAGACACATAACAAATACTATTCACTATAATAGCAATAACAGAGATATCATCACTGTGTGAAGGCAAAGGAAGAATATTATAGGATAAAGAATTCCTGATGAGTATGGCGACTCCTCCATACCCATCAGGTCTGTCATTCCTTAAACAGGAATAACCAGGGATCTTAAAAATAGATCCCGGTTTTAACCAAGTTTCTTGTAAACAAATTATGAAGGGATCATATTTATTAATGATGTGTATAACATCATGTTTTTTATTGATGAGACTCCGGCAGTTCCACTGTATGGCCTGAGCTTGATCCATTATCTGTGATCTTATATATAGTATCAATAAGTAAAGCTACGTTGGACGGTGATATATTTGAATTCGATTGTTGTCAAAGGTCTAATAATGTTTTTATAATTGCTGAAATCTGAATATTTTTATCATGATTATTATTATTAAAAATGGGTTGAGATGGAGGGAGTGTGGGACTTTTTATGATCTCATTGTGTGCATATTGATCATATCCTCTTGAGAATTTTGGTAGGGCTTTTGGTTTCAGAAATACTGTCTTTTTATATGACCTATTTTGGTTATTTACAGGAACTGTATTTAATGTAGTATAGTTTGGAGATTTGTCATTATTTATATTAGATGGGGAGGAAGGAGCTGTAAGTAAAGCATCTGCATAAGACATTTTATTAAGTGGTGGATGTAATTTGACGGCTTCCATATATGAAATACAACTCTTACTCATAGTCTCTTTAATTGCTTTTTGCCGGTCAAATTCTAAACATTTTTTACTATTTGCTTGGTGAGAACCCTTGCACAAGCAGCACCAATAGTCATTTTCATCAATATTGCAATTCTCCCCTGAATGTCCCTGTCCACATTTAAAACACCTTGGAGTGGCCCTACATTGGCTTTTAACATGGCCATACCTACAACAGTTGTAACATTGTACTGTGGGATATATATAAAGGATTACAGGTAATGCAGTATAACACATATAAACTCGGGTTGGTAGTACTTGTCCATCAAAAGTAAGAACAACAGTGCCTATATTTTCAAATGTATTTGTAATATCGATATTAACTTTCCTTTTAAGCCTTCTCAATTTAAGTATTGTACCGCAACCTGTTGGGACACTTATATTTTGTAAAATGTCTTCATCAGACCAATCAGTGGGGACACCCCTTATTACACCCATACGTGTAATGTTAAAAGTAGGAATAAAAGCTTTGTATTTTTCAGTTGTTAAACTTTGATTGCATAAGAATAAATTTGCTGCTGTGAAATTTGAGAAAGACAAACTAATTCTATTACGACCAATTCGTTTAAGACTACCATTCACAATACCATTAATTTCTTTACATTTCAGAAAGCGACCAAATGTGACGGGATGCAATGTTGTGTTGCTGTTATCATCTGAGAATTCCCTCTGGACATGAATTATATATGGTGCTGCATCTGATGGCTGATACCTAGTGCGAGCAATAGGTGTTCGAGTGATTTCAGTGTTTTGTGTAATATTATTGTTAAGAGCAGTAGAAACTGCATTTTGAGATTTGGAATTGACTTCAGAATCTTTATTATTATATTGATCTATTATTGTTGTTTCATTTGTTATGCATGCACAAACATTTGGTCCCATCCTTTTTGAACCGTGTCTCCTTTTCTTACCTAGACATGTACTACAAGTTGCACGAGCAACTCTTTTCCTTTTTAATTTTCCAGAATCAGATACTGAACAGTCAGTATCCATAGACGACTCTAAAGCCGTAATTAAGATGTCCATTGGAGTGTTTGGAATCTCATTTTCAAATCCTGGAGGAACTATAGTCGTAGTTCCCCCAGGATCGTCGGGCGGTTCGCCCATATAGAAATAAAATCTAACTTACCAATATGATATGTACACACCAAATTACACACTAAAAATAAATATAATAATAACACTAAATACAACTAAAATTACTAAAAACCAATCCTTAATCTATATGTTATTGAAATAATATTTCCTGAATTAAAAAACGCGTCCGGTCAAACCAAAATTTCCCGCCCTTTTTTTCAAGCTAATAGTTTTATAGAGTACTTTTCTCCTCTTAGTCTCTGGCTTATAGGCACAATTTACACGCTCATCTAACTGACAGAAAATTAGTAAAAAAAAAAACGACGCCAACTTGGCACTATGGTGTAGTCGTCAATTTTAATTCTAATTTGTCAAAACCTTCATAATTTTCTTTATTATTAATTAAAATGGTCTTTAATTTTATTTGATTGCTGTTTCAACTTCAATGTTTATTTGTAATACGTAATTGTGCATTACTATTTCTTTTAAAATGGAATCGGATTCTGGTTTGCAATGTGATGCTCCCGATGGCGCGGAAGTATCTCCCTTAGCCGCAATCCAGGCCGCAGATACAGCAGAATTAGCTGAAAATAATGTATCTAGCCATGAATCTGAAGCTGCTAACGCTGAAGAATCAGGTACGGTACATGTATTAAAATACAATTATGTATATTTAATGTTACTGTATATTTGTGAAAGTTTGGCCTATTGCACGAGTTGTATTTTATATTGTTAATGGTTTTATTTATATATATGTAATAACTTTATAGACCTAAACAGTTGCTACATAACAATCTTATTGATGTGATTTAGATATGATTACATTTTTGTGATTATTATTATCTGGTGACATGCTAGCAATAGGCTATATTGATAAGTGCTCCTTTTTAAATATTAATATAAAATAGTAAATAGTATTTTGAAAGTGTATATTTAATGTGTTCAGTCAAGTAGTAAGGGTTCACTGCCAAAAATCACTACCAAGCTTCACCATTTCTTACTAATTACTACCACAATGTACAACCAAAAGCTGAGCCTACAAGACACCAGAGTTGAGTTTCTACAAAGAATAGAAGAATTTGAGAAGCGGTTGCAAATGGCTTTACATTCTAATGCTGTCACAACTGCTATAGCTGTGGACTTTTCTGCATTCAAAGATCTCACTCTGCAGAGCCTCTCTGCTTTGCAACACCAAATGGACTTGCTTGTACTTGGTAGACAGGCAAGAAATGTGCAGTCGTAGGAAGATTCTGCTTATTCATGGAGTTCCAGAGGGTAAGCAGGAAAACACAGCTGCAGTTGTAAAGGATGTTGTTATTGAGTAGCTAAAAGTGCCAGATTTTACATTTGATGGTATTAGCAGATGCCACCGGATGGGATGAGTGAATTCATCGAAATCTCTTCCTATTTTAGTAAAGCTGAGCAGTATTGAGAATCGCGACAAAGTCTGGTTTGCAAAAACAAACTTGAAGGGATCTAATATCACTGTGTCCAAATTTCTAACAAAATTAGGTCCCAATACTTTCATGATGGCCAGGCAATGTTTTGGAGTCAAGAAGTGCTGGTCACAAGATGGCTTCATTCACATATTGTGTCCCGAGGGTCAAAGGTCCCGCTTTAGCAGTATAGCTGAGTTGCAAAATATTGCGCCACTACCGGACCCAGAACTGTCAGCCCCACAGCTAAGGGATAACATTGCTGCATCCAAAACCAGGCGAGCCAATATTAGAAAATAGGTGCAATGAAGCTGCATGATAGGTTTTTTTTGCATCCATTCAGTATAAATTCAAATGTAGGGTACATTTCTATAGAACTCTCTAGAACTGGTGGTACATTGTATATGTGTTTCCTATTCAAACATTGCCAATCTAATTAACTCGTCATACCCATTTTTCTTTAATATTTATATTACTTCCTTTGAATTCTTTATATTTATCTTCTAACAACAATTTCTATTATGACAATTAACAGTTTAGTAGAATTGACTTAATTGATAAATCTGTATTTATGTCAATGTCAAAAGTTAACCGAGACTATAGACAATCATTCCTGTATAGATTAAATTTTAGTTTTTTTTCTCTTATTTGTTTTATGTATTTTTTGTAATTAGATACTAGCGGTTTAATACACATTATAGTATTTCCTGAAGTTTAAGTGAAATAATATAAAGTGTTTTGTTCATTCAGCCGGTGGGTGGGGTGCCCAGATATATATTGTAATATTTAATTACAATTTTTTTTTATAATTGTATATATTTTATAGAATATTCATATATTTTAGTATCTGAAGTATATTATATAAGTGTATTTTATATATATATATATATATATATTATTAAATGTGTGCAATGCAAAATAGTATTGAAAGTGACTATGATGAAGACAACTTTTTCTCTGTATCTTCGCATAATTTAAGCAGTAATAGTGGTAATAGTAGCATGCTCAGTTTTCCTTCTCTGTCCGATGTTTTAGCTGGTTATTTTTCAGATGTACCTAATAAACTTCCACATTATTCATATTAATGCCCAAAGTATTCCGGCACATTATTCAGATTTGTTGGCGACCCTCGACCATCACAATATACACGCAATATTACTACTCCGAATCTTGGTTAAACCCTTATCGCCTCTACACATCTTACTGTCTTCCAGGATTACGTCTTATCCGCAATGATAGGACCGGCAGCGGCGGTGGCGGTGTTGCCATATATTTACGTTCACACATTCCTTTCTCGATTATTAGTATGTCTACACAGCCACCTCCGACAGATACTGGTGAGTGCAATTTTGGTGGCATGGATACTGAGAGGTTGCACAGTGAAGCCGGGGAGATAGATTGGTCACCTGTTTTAGCAGCTAAATGTATTGACGACAAAATTAACCATTTTAATATCATAGTAACAAAGTTATACGATGCACATGCCCCTTTACGACCCATCCAAATTAAACATGCCCCAGCGCTATGGCACACGGAGGAACTTAAGGCACTAATGCAAAAAAAAGTTTTAACTAAAGCGAAATTTAAATGTCGTCCGAAGGCTGATGATAAATTAAAGTATATAGAAGCCAGAAATCGCTGCAATAGTTGACTCTGCCAAAGTTTGGTAATTCCTTCGATCACTTGGAGTAGGAAAAGTCCGACCGAATAACTTGCCTTCTAATTTAGACATTAACTCTCTCAATCAACACTTTTCGTCATTTTCTACTATGGATATAGATGACAAAACTAAAACAATATCACATCTTTCATCACTTCCAACACCAAATTTTTCTCCTTTTGTTTTTAATAAATTCACAGAGTGTGATGTTAAGAAGAGCATTATGTCAATTACTTCTACTTGGTTGGTTCTATGGGAAGGATCATGTTTCGACTGTCGAAACATGATCCTTCCCATAGAATCGTCCCATAGAATCCTCGATGAGATCTTACCATTTGTTTCCACATCCTCAATGAAATAATATTAACAAGTGATTATCCCAAAATCTGGAAAGAGGTACAAATAATCTCGCTTCCTAAAAAGGCCAACCCTACTACCTACTACCGTTTCCGTCCTATCTGTATTCTACATTTCCTTTCTAAAGTTCTAGAACGTTTAATCCAAATATCCAATTCACCCATTTTCTAACCAAAAATAACCTTGTAAACCCCTTTCAGTCTGGCTTCCGATCTGGTCAGGTACAGCACAGTACAGGAACAGCACTCGTCAAAATCACTGATGATATCAGATCGGGTATGGAAAATGGCCAGTTAATTGTCCTCACCCTTCTTGACTACAGTAACGCTTTCAACACCGTAGACTTTCACGTCCTCGTGGAATTACTGCGCTCTCTTAACATATCTCCACCTGTAGTTGAATGGTTTCTCAATTATTTGTATGGGCGTCGGCAGAGGATTCGCACAGGTGACACATTTTCATCTTGGTGTAATACCGTTCCTCAAGGTGGCGTTTTATCTCCTCTACTTTTTGCAGTCTTTATAAACTCAATCTCCGATTTATTGACTTCTTCCTACAATCTACATGCAGACGTTTTACAAATCTATTATCAGGCCTCACAAGATAAAATAAATGACGCTATTACTGATAATAATGACCTCACACGCATAACAAAGTGGAGTAGATCTTTTGGATTGACAGTCAATGCTACAAAAACTCAAGTCATTGTAGTCGGCAGCTCAAGGCAGATCAGCAAGATTGACTGGTCCATGGTCAATAAAATTAAAGTAAATAATGATTGCGTTTAGTAATTTAGTTAAAAACCTGGGCATCCATATCGATACCTGTCTATCTTGGGGACCTCAAATTCAAATTGTTAGTAGGAAGGTGTTTGCATCTCTGGGTTCACTGCGGAGGCTGCGCAAATTCCTGCCTATTGCTACTAAAATTGCGCTATCTCAATCTCTTCTTCATCCTATACTTGATTATGCTGACACTTGTTACTCCAATATTACAGAAGACCAACTTAATAAACTTGAGACTTCAAAATACGTTTATTACATTTATTTTCGGGCTTCGAAAATATGATCATGTCTCCGAGTATCGCGCTAAACTCAAGTGGCTTCCCATTCGTTTTCGCCGGAATACTCACATTCTTACCCTTCTTCATAACATTCTCAATAACCCTTCAACTCCTTACTACTTAAAGGAGCGGTTTGATTTCCTTCATACTTCGAATACCGTTGATCTTAGGTCGTCAGAAAGTCTCCTGTTAAAGACCCCAAGACATAGCACAACGTTTTATGACAAATCGTTCAGTGTATTGGCTGTTCGTCTTTGGAAAGAACTACCAGTATGGATTCGAAGGATAACATCGTTGCCAAATTTCAAATCACGTATTAGAAACCACTACTTCTGTAAGGTATAAGTACCGTCATAGTAATTGTATGTATTTTGTATATATATATATATTTATATACTTTATAATTATATGTGTGTATTCGAAATATGTAATTTGTATATACAGTGGGTTGCCAAATTAATAGGAACAGTCACGAAATATTCGTTTTTTGTAAAACATTGGTCTATAATTAATTAAAAACGTCACTTTAGGCTATAATTATATTTAATAATATCAGACACATATCTTATAATGAATTTAGACTATAATAATTTAATATTTGAACAACTAGAAAATATAAACAAGTATAATAAAAATGATGATGGGAAATTATTAGTATTTTGTCACATTTCCTTTTGCTTCTATCAGTGCTTGAATCCGCCTCGGCATACTTTCAATACATGTTTATATATACTATTCTTTTATTTTGGGATTGTGAAACCATACATTTATTAATTTTTCAATTAGTTTTACTTTGGTAGTTATGATTTCCTTAGCAATTTCCGCCTTGGTAATTTCCCACAAGTTTTCTATGGGATTCATATCAGGAGAATTGCCAGGCCAAGGTATAACTGGAATGTTGTGGTCTTCCAAAAATTTGGTTACACTCCTCGCTTTATGACATGGAGCTGAATCGTGCATAAACATAAAAAACGAATTTATCCCCATTCGGGAACCATTCCTGATTGCGGCAGCAATTTCTAATACTTGCTTGTATTGGTCCTGTCTCATGGTTCCCTGGACGATATAGAGGCGCCCAACTCCTTTTGCGCTGATGACAGACCATACCATTATTTTTACAGGGTGTTTAATTCGTTCCACTATGCAATCAGGATGAAATTTCTCGCCTGGGCGCCGCCTCAAGAAGTTACTTTTGTTGGCCAGAATTTCAAAAGTTGACTCGTCTGAGAAACATACCTAAAAAAATATAGAAACTATTTATAATTTTTGTAATATGATTTTATATAACACAAATAAAATTAACCATAGAACTGACCTTATTCCAGTCTTCAACAGTTTTCAGGCGGTAAACGAGCCCAAAAGCCTTTTCTTTTTCATCGCCTCTGTTAATCGGGGTTTCTTAACTGGACGATGATGTCATTAATTTCTGCCAAAAACGCTGTACAGTTCTTTTTGAAACACGTATTCCAGATTCCTGTACTATCTGAGTTAAAAATCCAGCACTTTTCTTTCTGTTTTGCAAGCAGATATCTCGAAGTTTCCTATCGGAACGTGTTGTTGTGATACGTTTTCTGCCACATTTGCCTTTTCTTTTGGGCGAAAGTGGCTGATTTTGATCTAAATTTATTTTTATTTTATTGACGGCAGATTTCGATATCCCGGCCAGTTGTGCTATCATCCTCTGAGAGTGATTTGTGTGTAGGAGAAGGGCTTTAACCTCGGATTTTTTTCTCGTCAAATCTATCGACCCATAGCCAAATGAAAATATAAAAATAAATAAAATTGTTCTAAAATCCGCTCCAAAATACTTTAATTTTAATTATAGTAAAATATTACTTACTTGCAGGTATTGATTATTTCACAAAACCACTAAAGAACTGTTTAAAAGAATAATTTACGTGTTTCACTTTTACACGTGTGAACGACTGTGTCTCTCCCGTCATTAAAATATATTTCCAAAATAAACAAATCTCTCAGCACTTGAAATTCACTTTGAATTTGAGTTATAGAGACAAGGTGAACATAAAAACATATCAGCAAAAAACTTTTACCACTTAAAAACGTAGTCAAGACCACTTGAAGAACAAAAATTATAAAAAATGTGACTGTCCCTATTAATTTGGCAACCCACTGTATACAGTGGTGGACGCATAATTAGAAACACTACAGACGGTCCTTGACATTTTGTAAGATACTTCACTGCAATCAATTTTATTTTTAATTTAAACAATAAATAGGACAACAATATGTTCAACAATTTATAATTTATTATAAAAACTATATAAATTCCACTACATAGGTGTAGTTTCAATATTACATTACCGGCAACGATTTAAATCAGTTCTAAGGTATGAGCAATAATGGTCAACTAATTAGAAACAACAACAAAAAAAGTATAAAAAACTATATTTTTTCAAGTATTAGTAATTTGTATTGTTATTTACGAAATATCTACTACCCACAGCCTACAATGGTTATAATTAATATAACAGTACTGCAACGACATGGCATAGATTCAATCTATTTCATACATTTTTCTAGGAGGATTGAATTCCATGCTTCTACAAATGATTCATATTGTTCATTTTGACTGGTGTTACGTTTCTTTAAGACTGTTTTTTTAACAATATACCGCAGATTTTCTATCGAGTTTAAATTCTAACTATTTTCTGGCCAGTCTGAAACGGATGTACGCGGTTCGGTAAGAAAATATTTGGCGCTTTTGACCGTGTTTTAGGGTCATTGTCATGTTGAAAGATCTATTTGACAGCCAAACGATCGTCCGAGTATCATTATCATCATCATAGAGAATCATTGTGTGCTCTAACATATTTTTGTACTGACATTGAGTCATTGTACCTTCAATCTTCCAAATGGGATCAACTCCACATCCGGAAAAACATCCCCAAACTATAATGTTAACGCCACCATGCTTGACTATAATCCTTGTGTATTTATAATTAAAAGCATTGTTTAAAGAACGTCTAACATGGCGCTTTCATTGGAATTTACCATATTTATTTTTGTTTCATCTGAAAATAACACTTTTTTTCATTCTCGTACTGTCCAATTACTATATTCTTTAGCAAATAATAATTGCTTCTCTCGGTGTTGCTTTGTAAGAAGCGGTACCTTTCGAAAGGTTCATCCAAACAATTTTGCTTCCACTAATCTTTGGCGTATCAGTCTTGACGAGATGTTTCTCGGGTCATCAGACAAAAAACTTCATTTTTAATCTGGCTGGAGCCTTTAAATTAGTCTTTATTAGCAACACGAACGATTAGCTTATGCTCTTTTGGAGAGGATTTTCTTGGCCGAGCCTTTCTAAGACCATTTTCAACTGTTTCATCATTTCCATGTGTTTTGTAATGATCCATTGTATTAAAAACTTTCTTAATAGAACAATGCAAATGCTAAGCTATTCTTCTGTACGCCCATTTATGATCTACATGTGAATTTACAATTACTTGCTAACTAGTTGACGCAACACAATTTTTATTTTTGCCCATTTTGAACAAAATAGAATTCAAAATAGATTAAATTTTGAATTGCCGCCAAAATAATAGAAAAAGGCAAGAAAGAAATATTATTCTTCAATTTCAAAAAAAGAACGAGTTATGGATGCTTTTTTAAAATGTTTCTAATTAAGCGTCCAAGTGGCAAGTAACAGTAAATAAACTCCTACATGTTTAAGACTCATTTTATTTTATAATTGAAAGTAAAATATGTTTTATATTTTATCCATTTAATGAGTTTTTAATTTGAGTGGCTATATTATTGCATGATTATTAATTATTGAATGTGTATATTTTATTATGATAATTTGTACGTGGAAGTTATACTTTCTTTATTCATAAGAAGTGTTTCTAATTATATGATCACCACTGTATATGTAGCTATTTTAATATAACTCCTCACTATTTATTATTGTTCACCTCGACCAGACCCAAGTCAATCACTCCTCTCCATCCTAAGGTTTCCTGAAATATCGCTTTTCAGCGATAAGGCCGCCCATTGTTGCCTCTTCCTTTAGAGAATGTTGTATGTTTATACATATTTATGTATTAATAATGTATATAAATGTTTGTTTGGATACTAAGAAAGAACAATAAAGAATTTTCATTTTCATTTTCATTTAAAGGATGGGGATGTTCTAAGGTCCTAATGTGTACAAGGATAAACTTCAGGATCCATTCAGAATTTGGTAAAATGCTAAATATCTACTTTAGTATCTCATATATTAGTACAGTTATGTACATTATACTGTATGAGCTAATCTGAGATAAATTTTATTAAGTTTATTTATTGTAAGTACTATTAAACTAAAATATTACTACTCTCAGTTGGTAATAAATTACTTTTATCTGAAAACTGTGTGAGTGTGCGTACTTCAAATTAGTCAGTCACAGTAGAGCAATTCCTGTTGAAAAATTATGGGGTGAAAATTAAATCAGATGGCTTGCCCCATGGCTTTTAATTCAACTATGTTGAATCATGAGTAGAGTTGGAGTTTCCTTCTCATCCCATCTTCCAAACCCTTATATACAGTGACATTGAATATATTTTATCTAAATAGAAAAAATACTGTAGGATTAATCAAATTATGAATATTATATGTACCTAATAAAATGTTACAAAATTATGTACTATATAGTGGCAAATGGGGGTGCTCCAACAAGTAGCAGCGATGCTTTGGACCTAGAGACTGGTCCACCATTAGCTGATACTGAGGATCTGCCTGCTACTGAACAAGGTTAGTAGGTGGTAATAAATTAAATATCTAAAACATTAAACAACTTTTTAAAAATTAGTACATATATTAATAAAATATTAATAAATATTGGGAAACTGTATGGTAGGGTTAACAATTGTGCCAAAAACTAATATATGGCAAATATTTGTCCTACAGATGTAGCTTAACTAAAGAGTTGAAATATAAGAATTAATGTCTTCTATTTAAAAAATGCTTCTTTGAAGATTTCATCTTCTGTTTAAATACCTGAGTTTCCAAAAATACGATGATACATTTTTCTTTTAATTGTACTAAGAAAATAAATATCTTCGGATATTCCACTACCCAATTTTTAGAAAGGCAGTAATCCAATAGTAATAATTCTCTCAGTATGAACCATGATGTTTTCAAATTAATAATTAACATAATTTTATATGCACAGATAAATATCTTCGGATATTCCACTACCCAATTTTTCGAAAGGCAGTAATCCAATAGTAATAATTGTCTCAGTATGAACCATGATGTTTTCAAATTAATAATTAACATAATTTTATATACACAGACATATGTTTCTACACTTAATTTATATTAACGGAACAGATATTTTTAATTAGTGAATAATTTATTCATCAGTATTATTTATTACAGGCAACCCAGAAGAAGAAATGGATATTGATGATACTACTACTGGGACTGTTGCTGATGAATCTGCTTACATAGGAGATAATTGTCTATCTACACCAGTAAGAAAATTTCATTACTAACTTGAATTTCTGATGATCTATCATGGATGTATTTGTAAATTAAATTAATTAAAAATTAGTAATTAGACAAAGCTAATTGTGAAAACAACCACACTTCGAAATATACATATTTAGCTGTTAAAAGTATATTTTGTGATAATTGTATAAAATCTTAGTATTTCGGAAAGTGTCTGATGCATCAATCAAATATATCTGGAATATGCTATGTGTACCATGGTACACATAGATGGATCATGATCCATCTATGTTTATCGATCTATGTTTAGTGATTATTAAGTGATTTAAAAAGTTATTTAGAAAATATAATTAAAGGTACAATAGCAAAATGTTAATGTTAGTTTGAAAGTGTTTTTATTTTTTCTATTATAGGTAGCCACAGAAGATAATTCACCTCAAGAGATTGACCACCAGCTAGAACCAATAATAAAAGAGCAGGGCCTAGATGAAACTGAAGGTGTAGGTGCTGTAGCTGAGGAATCTCCTGATCAGTCAATAAGCTCTGCTATGCCTATTGATAGTGCTGTATGTGAAGGAGATGGAGCTCCAATAGCTCAAGACGGTATGGGATACTATATATTATTGTTATTTCCTAAGGTGTGCACACCAACTGACAATTTGTCTGCATATTCAGCTTAAGTAATACATATTAATCATCTTATTTTAGACGAATCAAGTACAATGGATGAAGATATGGGTGGTGGGGAAGGTGTCGCCAGTAGTGACGACGTCAATGACATAAGTAGTGCTGCACAAGAGTCAATCAGTACAGGGATTAGGTTAGTATAGTCAAAATATTTCCATAAATAGATATTAAGCCCATGATATGACATAAATTGGTAATTTTAACTTTACACAGTTCAAGCACAGCGGAGGGAGGAGCCGATATTAGCAGCAGTGGTCAAAGTGAAGCGACTCTCATATCGTCAACAGCCAATGGCCCAGCAGTATTGCACTCTTTTTCTCTGACTCCACAGCAACAGCATACTAACGAGTTGGTATATTTTACTACAAACCTTATCTAATATAGTTAATATTACATTTCAATAGGTTTTTGAACTTTTTGTCATCTAGGTTCGGTGATGCCGACACTTCTGAAATGGAGGGCACCGCCGACACAATGCCAACAGTAAGCGAGTCTATGCCGCTACTCACCATGACGGCAAACGGATCCGCGTTGCTCTCGCCTACCTTATTGCAAGGTAACCTCATGTTTCTATTTTATATAGAGCGCTGCCGCATGCAACTTATTCTGCGCCAAATTTAGTTTACCGTCACTTTATTTTTTACACTTTAGCACAAACTATCATGTCACCTTTGAGCAATATTTGGATATGAAAAGACGAGTTAACTCGTTTCTGATAAGCAATGTCTTAATTTAATGTCAATGATTTATTCTTTATGATTTATGGTACTGTTTTACGATTATTGTAGTATAAAAACGGCTATGTGAGCGTCATTGCTCAGAGGTTTACCACACCATCTTTTGGAAGTTACAGGAGATTCAAATTCGCCACTCAACTCACTAGATGATACCAGAGATCGTATCGGTTCGGAAATACCATTGCATTGGAAGGTAATTCCACAATGTGGTTGTGCGAGGCAAAAAGTTTCTAGAAAACCGCACTGTGGAAGACCGCCATTCATCCAGATGATCAGAATGGTATTTCAGTTTCTGGCGGGTGGTACGGTGGTGAAACTCAGCAGCTGGTATTAATCCGAACAATTCCTCAGAACACTCCCGTGATATATGCGGTAGAAAATGCACAGAGATGCAATATCTCGCCGCAAAGCCAATGGGTCGAGTCTGTCACATAGACGTTGATTACCAATGATTCTGGCTGCTCGGTTCTGAATGCGGTCAAAGGGAAGTAGCTGGTATTGTGGTGCTCCCACCCAGAGATGAGAACAGTATTCCATATGCGGCTGGATCTGCGCCTTGTATAATTGACTTGTAACATGTCATTGATATGCAGAAGGAACAGAGTCGGAGATAGCACACAGCCTTGTGGAACACCAGCATTCACAGAGTGTGGGTCGGAGCAAGCACCATCGACAACGATCTTGATGCTCCGATCAGCGAGAAAGCTGGCGTCCCATTTGCATAACTTCGCAGGCAACCCAAAGGATGGTAGTTTTGAAAGAAGAGCCTTGTGCCAAACCCGATCAAAGGCCTTCGTAATATCCAGACTAACAGATAGGGCCTCCCCCTTACTCTGAAATCTGTCTCATCACAAGAAGAATAAGCAAGAAACTTGTGTGTTGCTCTTTTAAACAATCCTTGTAAGTTCACATTTTACAAGACGAAACATGTGAATTCAAATTACCAACCAGCACTAATTTATTTAGGCTCAAATATTTATATTTGAGCCTAAATAAATTAGTGCTGGTAAAAACACAATAAGATTAAATCAGTCGTAGTGATAAGAGCAGACCAGTCCCTACAAGCAGCACTCGTTCACGAGTATGACGGATGAGCCAGCCATCACTGCGCTCGACCATATTTTTTAGGGAGCCCAATGACCCGGCCTACCACGCCGTCACATGTCTGGATATTTTAGTGAGCATGACTACTCATATCACAGGTACAAAGCCGCTACGCTATCATATATCAAGAAAGTAGTATGAAAAATAAATTACAACGTTGTCCGCGAATAAACTTATTCTTGCTATATATTGCTATCATCTATAAATTCATCTATCCTATATAATAGGCTTTTTTACATAACATTTGTTTAATATAAAATTTGAATTGCCTCTCTGTCAGATTTAGCGTAGATTCTGGCAGTTTATTATAGAATCTTACGCAATTACCATAAAATATACTACTTTGTGTAGACGGCATTTCAAATTTTATTTGAAGACAACGCGTGGAATAGTGGTAAGCGATGTATGCGAGCGGGAGGTACAGTGAGAACTGTGTGCAGGTGAGGAGGGCGGCGCGGGCGGCGTGTCATCGTCGGTGGCGGCGGGTGCGGCCGAGGGTGCGGCGGAGGCGGAGGGCGCGGAGGGCGCGGTGAGCAGCTCGGTGGCAGCCGGCAACGGTGCGCCACCGCTGCCGCCAACCGACGCTGCGCACGCACTCGCCACGCTCGCCAGCGCTGCGCTCCACCACCACCACGAGCAGGTGAGCGAACACTACACTCACTACCTACTTTAAAGCAGGTACACTCCACTCTCCACTACACAACTACTACCTCAAATCAAATCTAATGTCTTTTATTCATATAGGACATTTTAGCCGCTTATGAACGTCAAGATTGTTACCCTACCGTCAATTCAGTATACAGATTCAATTGAAAAAAAACTAGCAAGAAACTCAACAGAATTCTTTTTTAAAGCCTATTGACGTTGTGTACTTATATAAGTTTCTATATCTAACACTAAATGAAAATCCCATGCCTGAACAACTATTGCCATGCATGCTTGTCATGTTTGCCTGCCTAGCGATTAGGGGAAGGCGCGGCTATATACATATAATTTCTAAACTCCTCCTCCTGTCACAGTTGATTACATTTGTAAGACTTACTCATCCTAGTGGGACGTCACTATAACACAGAAAAATACATATATCACATATGTATTTTTCAATTTTACTCTAGTACTATTATACTAATTTGTTTTGTTAGCGAAGTTACACTCTGAGTGTAACTTTGTTAACAATATAAATTTAACCTTTTTTTATTTTTATGTAGATGAGGTTGTGGTATAATTTATTAACTAACTAACTTAACTAACTTTAAAGTATTAATTAAGGTTAATGTAACAAAAACAATTTGCTATCAGATACAATGAAAAACGCATTATACAATCGGTCTGTTTTGTAGCCCTATTTTTTAAATTATCTTTTTAGACATATGTTATTTTAAAGAAATTATTAATTTGTTTCTGATTAATTTCAGGCCGAATCTGAAGAGTCGAAGCAGCAAAATGATGAAGATGCGTGGTATACTGTTGGCATTGTTAAGGGTACCACATTTACGGTACGAATTTAATATATAATAAAGTTTTAATTGCAAATAGATTAAAATGACTTCATGAAATACTTTTACAAAATTAGTTACTATATTTATGTTTTGAATTACGAATTATATGTGTTATATAAGTAACGTTGATAACTATATCGACAACGAATTTTGCATCATAAACTGATTCAATTTTATTATTTGTAGGTGCAAAACTACATATCAGATCCCAATGTAGACCTCTCTACCCTATCACTAGACAATGTCCCCGATTTGTCGGGTTTGCCGACTACAACACTCGAGCATGGTACTGCGTACAAATTTAGAATCGCTGCCATCAATTCTTGTGGCCGTGGAGATTTCAGTGAGGTAAAGTTGCATTTAATTTAACATATGATAATTTTTATAGAATTATCTAGTTTGGAAAGGTGCAAATCTATTGAATAAGTGTCTTAAGAAGTCTGTATAATTTTTTTTGTTCCCACTTTGTTTTTTTCTCCTTTTAATGCTAATGCTGCTGTCTTTCACCGGACAAAGCACTTTAACAATATACAGTATTATAACATTTTTTTAAATGTACACATATAAGTGTATAAATCTTAATATTTTAGATATTTAAATGTGCTCGCTTCAGTCCTATTAACCTTACGTCCTATTTATACAGTTCTTTTCACAGATATCTCTGCTTTGTGACACATGAGAATTGAATTTCAACAAGTATATAAATAATTCTCAGGAATCGGCGTTTAAAACTTGCCTACCAGGATTTCCGGGCGCACCCTCGGCTATCAAGATATCCAAGTCTGTGGAGGGGGCGCACTTGTCATGGGAGCCGCCTCAGGTGGCAGCTGAAGGAATCTTTGAGTATTCCGTTTACCTCGCTGTACGGTCTAATTCACAACCTAAGGTAAATAGTGTGCTTTATTTTACTTTTATTCATTATTATCATTCCTAGTTAGCCATGTCTTGACCCATTTTTTCACACGTTATACATATTATAAACATTGAAAATTTGTAGATTGTGATTAATCAGTATAAAATATAATCACGGGCACAGAGTTTTCCAACGATTATTGTTTTATAGTCGATATAGAAGTGTGTTGTAGAATTTTTTTATCTAGTATACTTATAGCACAGATAACATAATATTACATACAGATACCCCATCCCATACAAGAAAATGGTTCCTTCCTAACTCGGGCTATTCTTCGGGCTATTTTATTTCGCCACCGTAGCCGCTAGATGTCGCTAGATCTGAAGCAGTTCGGATTACTAGTGGGTGCTTAGTAACAAAGCATGAAAATAGATGGCAGTCAATTCAGTCTACATGACATCTGTTTTGCAAAGATATGTATATAATAGATATGTAGGTAACTGTATCGTGTACCTCATTAGGGACGATTCAAGATTCAATGTAAATGTGTAGGTATAATATCGTTAGCCGACACTCTGCAGATATGGCTTATGTGCCAATGTATATACCTATTATGTTATGGTTTATTTTACATTCCATGCCTATTTTTTTGATATGTTGTAACGCGTTTTAATGCTATATGCGTATAGCCCGATTTTGATACTTTTATACTCGTACGTATCAAAATCGGCTATATGATTTTTTATTTCAATCGTTATGTGTAAGAGACTGGTTTTAGCTACTTAATTTACTGGTATATACCTCATGTATTCTACGATGTACCCCTCTTTTCCCTAATGAGAATTCCGCTATATCTTATATATAAATTTTGTATCACAGTGTTAGTTGCCATATTTCTCCCACATTTTGATGAAATTTGATATGTATACTTGCCACAATCTATTTTTTATACCCCTAAGTCATAGGGGTGGCCTACCCCGAAAAAATATTTTTTTGTATTATGGACAATTTTTTATTTATTTATAATGTTACATTAAAAATACACACACGCCTAAATTTTCACCCGTCTTTCACCAACCCCTATTTTTAATAGCGATATTATTACAAATATTATAAATGCTAAAGTAACTCAGTCTGTCTGTTTGTCTCGCTTTCACGCCAAAACTACTGAACTGATTTAATTGAAATTTGGTAGACAGATAATGTAGACCTTGAGAAAGGCTACTTTTTAATGCGAAAAAGTATTGAAAGGGGAAATGAAAGGCTATATGAGGACTTCGTAATTTTTAAAGTCAGATCTTGTAAGATTAAGTGAACAGGGTTGGTCTAGGTTTTTCATTATTAGAAATGTGTAACGGGGTAACACGTTATTTAGTGCGAAATTGTGTATATTACAATAAAATTTAACGAGAAAATATTATAATGATGTCACTGGGACACTCATTGCCTTACTACTATATCGTCCGTTGAACTTTCTGGAAACACGAGAGGCGCGCTCCTATTGGTTAGTAGATGAGGTAGACGAGTCTCACGGCGCCGCAGCGTAAGTACTTACTATACATACGTAGTATACATATGAGTGTTACAAATGTTTTTATTACGAGTAATATTACTCTGTTATCTAAGCAAGTAATGTGTGCTTATTTTGAACTTGATAACATTCTGAATTACTCGTATATCTTTCAATATCTTTAGCGGTATAAACCAGGTTATGTACTATTACTAGTATTGTTAGTGAGGGATAAAGTTGATGAACAAAAATAAAACAATATTCGTATTAAAAATATATTCATCTAATATTTTTGGCATTATTTTTAAGTTTCTTCCAAATACAAGGGGTCTGACATGGGGTGTTATGTACCTACATTAAAAGATACTTTTTGAAATGTATGATATGTATGTACCTACATTAAAAGATAATTTTTGAAATGTATGAAAGAAATGTATGTACCTACATTAAAATATAATTTTTGAAATGTATGAGATGTATGAAAGAAATGTATGTACCTACATAAAAAGTTCATTTTTGAAATGTATGAAATGTATGAAAGAAATGTATGTACCTACATTAAAAGATAATTTTTGACATGTATGAAATGTATGAAAGAAATGTAGTACCTACATTAAAATATAATTTTTTAAATGTATGAAAGTAATGTATGTACCTACATTAAAAGATAATTTTTGACATGTATGAAATGTATGTACCTACATTAAAATACATTTTTTAGAAATGTATGAGATGTATGAAAGAAATGTATGTACCTACATAAAAAGTTCATTTTTGAAATGTATGAAAGAAATGTATGTATGTACCTACATTAAAATATAATTTTTTAAATGTATGAGATGTATGAAAGAAATGTATGTACCTACATAAAAAGTTCATTTTTGAAATGTATGAAATGTATGAAAGAAATGTATGTACCTACATTAAAAGATAATTTTTGACATGTATGAAATGTATGTACCTACATTAAAATATAATTTTTGAAATGTATGAGATGTATGAAAGAAATGTATGTACCTACAAGTTCATTTTTGAAATGTATGAAATGTATGAAAGAAATGTATGTATGTACCTACATTAGAAGATAATTTTTGACATGTATGAAATGTATGTACCTACATTAAAATATAATTTTTTAAATGTATGAGATGTATGAAAGAAATGTATGTACCTACATAAAAAGTTCATTTTTGAAATGTATGAAATGTATGTACCTACATTAAAATATAATTTTTGAAATGTATGAGATGTATGAAAGAAATGTATGTACCTACATTAAAATATAATTTTTGAAATGTATGCACCGTATAATAACAGTACACGTTAAACATCATACCACAGAGTCATACGCAAGTTAAAAACAAACTGCTATGATATATTAATGAGGAAGGAAAATCAACTTTATGGTATTCGAGTTAGGGTCGATTTGTCTCTTTTTTTTAAATACTATTTTAATCTTACCAGTTGCCAGTATTCGAAGACATCTACGATTCGTACTCGATATTTTAAATTATTATGTAATCGATTATTCAGTACAAATGTAAATAACCAACGACACTAATAATGTACTACTATATTCCGTTCTTTGAAACGGAACACTGCTATAATACATAATAATGAAAATTTACTGTTCACAACGACTCATTAAAAGCATCATCGAATAATGCGCTGAAATAAAATCCTGTTATCGATTATTAAAAAAAAACGATAATACATGTATTTATTTTTAATATGACAACACTTCATACATAAGTATTATTGGAAATAGTATTACTTGCTTGTTCGGCTATTTTTAATTTACTTAAAAAAATTTATATGTTTAATTTACAATAATAATATATTAAGTGCTTATTATTGGAAAATATAAAAAAGACATTTAATTAGGCCGATACAAATGACGACAATGCCATCTATGAAAGCATTTTGAAAACATTGATTAAAGTGTAATTAAGTCGAAATATATGAAGTGCATTATTTCATTTTAACGTTTTGTTTTTTAATTTGCAAAACTTCGATACCAATCACGCCATCTATATGCAACTTTTAGCAATAATAATGGCTACTTCCTCATTGAGTGCCACTGCTTATAGTATACTTGACTTAGTATTATGCTTTCCATTAAGAGAAAAGGATAATAATTAATTTTCACAAAATTATTATTGAACCAACTTCTGGTTGGTTCAATAATAATTTTGTGGTAAACTACTTATAGTAACAAAGAACCATCAAGATATAGCAAGGTATTGCATAGCATCGCACAAAAAATATTTGGTTAGTATTGATACCCTAATTTTAGCCAATTGAATATATGGTCCACGTTTATTCCTCTATACAGGAAGCGTCTAAGTCTCAGCTGGCGTTTGTGCGTGTATACTGCGGGAAGACGAACACGTGCGTGGTCCCGCAAGCATCGCTGAGTGCGGCGCACGTAGACTCATCCACGAAGCCTGCGATCATCTTCCGCATCGCTGCCCGCAACGAAAAGGGCTACGGACCGGCCACGCAAGTCAGGTGGCTGCAAGGTGAGCTTTGTATAATCAAACATTTTATATATTACTATGAAGTCCTTGATGTGTTTAATGTTATTACGTTACTACACCTGAATGCCACAAGTTCGATCAGCGCACAACACAATTTTTTTATCATTATTTGGTTTATTAAACTGATGCCCAGTTTAATAAACTAAATACGTACGTACGTACTTGAATGTTATATATTTATAGAAATATATTTAGGTAAAAAATTTAAGCCCTCGACTTCATATCCGTGCGCCGTGGTATTTCGAAAACAAAAATGTATTACTTTTTTGTTGGTAGACTGATTGGATTAAAAGACATAATTTCAAATGAAGTGTCCCACAATACATTGGTGAATACCTCACCCAAATCTGTGAAGCCATTTCTGAAATTAGCGCTCACTATTGCAGAGACAAACGAACAAAATTTCTAACAATTTGTGTTTTATATTGAGGTGCTATCTTTTTTGCGTATGGCGATGTGCACACTACGTTATTCATACGTTATTTGTACCTATCAACATACGACAGGTACAGTTACCAATGTAGTTGTGCATTTACTTTGCATGTTTTTATTTATATTACTGTACCTTTTACCTTATGTTTGCGTCCTTTAATGCAATTTTTTTTATCCATATATAGGTCTATAGTACAAATGAACCGCTGCATTGTTTGTTGCAAAACGTGTTTCTATCCTGACTTAATTTATTTCGCTTTTCAGATATAAAGTCTACAGGAGTGAAGAGGGCGGGTGAGGGTAGACTACCCGGCGCCTCACCCTCCAAGCAAACTAAACAAATAATACACTAAGTGTTTACCAATTAAGAAAGCCTTGACTTTTTACGTAGAATAATTATAATACATTAGCTATATGTACAGTTGATGATTAAGTGAATCTATTTGTCTTCAGGTGCGGTTAATATTTTTTTATCAACTGAAATACTTCATTACGTGAATTATTTTCATTAAATAATATTTCCTAGTGAAATGTTGTTAACATTTCTGCAGATTATGTTCTTATTGTGACCTATGTGTTGATTTATATTTTCGGCATTCTTAAGCCTACTGAAAGGTAATCAGATTGACTGAGAGTAGTAGGTGAGCATGCAATTAACAAGATAAACTTGACTGGGTGCAGTAACTCTGATGGTATCATATAAATAACTGTGTCTTTTCTCTTTGCGATATGTAAAGAATGTAGAAAGTACTTTCGTAATAAAAAAATATGTAAAATTTATGAACCAAACTTGACCATAAACAAAAACCTTTAATATGTACATAATTTATAGTGCTACACTGTTTTGTAACAATACTTCCCCAGTTCAGTTCTATATTTGTTTCCTAGTATATAATTGTTATTTATATAATGTTCCGTTAAAACCAAATGTATAATCACTAAAAAGGAAAATAGGTTATCGAAATAAAGAAATATCGAATCGCATTTGGCTTTTAATACTTAATTACATATTATTGAGTACACTATACATTTGTTTCATTGCTATAAAATGCTATCTATTCAAAACTTCAGTAGGCATTCCAAAAGAAAATAAAAATACAACTTATTATAATACCATTCGTTTTATAGAAAATTTTCCTATATTCAAGATATTTTGCGTTTTATCATGATATTTAAAGCAGTATCACTAAATGTATTACTTGGACATGTTTTAATTTTTATTGTGATGATGTAACTTCTCCAAATACTCGCGTGGACAGTGTTGATTCTCGGTTACTGAAATTAAGATAACATATTTCATTGCAAATACGTGTTAGTTAACCTGTTAACCGAGCGGGCCGTATAAATACGTCTAATGTCAAACGTTTGTGTACGTGTAGGACATATGTATACCTATATTTTTTAAATTTCCGCTGCGCCCTGGAACCTGGAGCGTGTAGAATATTTCATATAAAAATATATACATTAAATTATATTGTGCTGACGTACTGACACGTCCTAGTGGAAGACAGTGCCCGTTATATGCTGCGTAATTAAAAAAAGAATTCCTCAGTTAACAGGTTAATATTATGGTATAAATTAATATTTATAATAACTTTTATTATTAAGATAAGAACTTGATAATTTTAAATTATAATTTATATAATACAACTATTATTTTTAAGAAATCTTACCAAGCTTGTAGTTCCGAAAAGCTTATACCATCCAATGACGATATTGGAGAGGTTAAGGTCATCGAGCATTATTTGGGCTACACCCATGAAGACTTTCTTGCCCTCAATGCGACCATAGTCGCCCCACACTGTTACCTGTCCACAATTAAAACGAACTTTTTAATGTATACTCTTATTTACATGTTAATAAAACAAGAATTTATTTTTTTTATTTAATCAACAAGAGGGGAGACACTTGTTGATTAAAATAAATAGTAATAGCATTAGTTCAGGATTATACAGCAATCTAATAGTTATAGAATTAATCGCGTAACATATACCAGCATAAGAACAATGGAATTGAAACCGGTTTTAACAAGTCGCATGTTTTCAAGAAGTGGGGCGTATAGTCAACTAATGGGTTGAAGAACTTGTTGACTAATAAATTACATAGTGAAACGCTTTCAGACGTACTTGTAAAACACATCCCTTGAAGTTCTCTCTGAACGTAAGTGTCTGTTGATACAGAGGGTCGAGCGTGCGTCGCGCAGTGGTCGTCTTGGCCTTGGCGACGCACCGTTTGCCGCTCACGAGGTACACTTTTACGTAAGGCGCGGGTAGAGTGCGGCAACCTTGTCGCGCTTGCAGTCCTCGCGCTCGTATTACTTCCACCTTTTAAAGAAAAGCATTGTAAAACGTATCTTCCCCAAATGCTCGAGCCTCGTACCCGGCGGCCCCTATAGGAACCGCAAAAAACATTGTGGCTTAGTGATTTCCTAACTTGAGACAGACCCTAAAGCTCATGTGTTTAAATATGGCCGACATAAAAATACTTTAAACCGCTTCTTGTGTCTGATTGACTTTCCGTTGCTAACATATGATTATAAGTCAAAATTAATATCAGAGTGGGCGGTAGGTTTGCTAGCAACCATAACAGCCACTTTGTATTCAAACATACAGCGAAATATGGCAGATATCAAGTACTGCGTTCACCTAGTTGTCAACAGTTGTCAATGTCTGTCTTTTTATTCCCTATTGGGTAAAAAGCCTTACTAAGGTAGGTAAGGTATTCGCGTTAGTATAGGCGACACACAGCCAAAAGTAAATTTTTGCTCCTAAATGTAACTTACTTCAAGGAATCCTTTTTGGTAGCACATGGAGAGTTGTACATCGCCCAAAGTTGGCGCGCCTAGCAACTGTCTACCGACGAGTTGTCCCGGGCCTAGGCCATCAATGAAGTCAGACAGCCCTCCGCCGTCCGACCCCGAGGCGCGCATACCCGGCGACCACCTGGAGAACGTGACCCTACTTAATACGCAATATATTACATTGTTGTACTTTTAAAATTCAAGAATTTAAATTATATAATATTCAACACTATTATTATCTATGCTCTCCATTACTATTAATAGAAGAATCATAATTATCCCTAAATTATTATGCATTTATTATTAATTTAATCTGGTGGCTATAAATATGTAATGTTAGTTTAAACTTCAATATTAATTAATAAATTGAAAAATATGTTATATAAGACGGACTTACTGCTACAAGCATTCTCTACTAGGTAACATCTGGAAATTGTAGATATAATATTTGCAGTTCTTCCACCTATAACGTTCTTATTTCGTATAATTGTACGAGGATATACTAACTTTGTTATATTTTAATTTTATGATTTCGAAATACGTATTTTTTTTATTGTTTTTGTTTTATTTAGTAAGATTTGTACAAATCTTTTTTGTATGTAGGTATTATAATTTCACTACCTATCTAACATTTAGTAAGTAAAATTACCAAATAACGCTAATAATGGACAGAAAGTAACATACAAGTAGGTAAGTACATCTTTATGCTATGCATTGGCTATCTATTCAACAGATACTTAAACATCGATTACTACTGTAACTATTCTAAGAGATCAAAATGTTTTTTTAATATAAATATGAAATTTTATCAAAGTCCAATGCATAACAGCTAAGTAATAGCGAAAAACGAAAGAAATTGGTGTTAGGTACTGAGTCTAGTTTCTATGGGAGTATTATGTAACTAAATGAATTAAAGGTAAATTTTATTCACCAGGTGTCGATTTTCGCAGCTATCTTAGGAATTTATAAAATATTAAATAGGTATACAACAATAACAACATTGATACAATAGTGAAGAAGAGGGCGGTAGTCTCGGATGCATCCAGTGATAAAAGTTAAGGTCAATACGTGAAAATTAGGTAGATACTACCTATATGATTAATAAGTATACAGAATTTAAAGGCATCTAGTAGAATATATAGTTATAAGAAATATATATAACTGTATAGAAAGGTGCTAAAGAATCATTCGTTACTAATTAAAAAATAAAAATGATATGAAAATTAAAGATGCTCTTTATTTTGTTTCAGCTGAAGATATTCCGTAACCGATAACTTTTGGCTAAGTTCTAAAGTATGAATAATACTTACGTAAAAATGGCTGGTATATCGTGGCATACAAACAAGCTTAGTCAATATAAATAGATAATTAGAATGCCTGTTAACATTTTAGGTATATGTACCTACCCAAAATTTACACGTAGGTAACCAAAAATATTTAAACGTTACAAATCATAAATAATATACATTTAGGATTAACTCCTACGAATGATAAAATTAAAGATGATTTTCTTCAGTTAACATGCATGGGTGTTGAAATGTGTGTGTATATATTAGACAAATATCGAATTCTTGCCGTATATTTTTTACAAAAGTGCATACATCATAGGCTTTCAGGCAACATGTATATCGTTCAAAGTCGTGCATTTATTGGAAGCTCTTCCTGACCTCCGTCATCGGCAGCCACCCTACCGACGGTCACTATCACTGCTGAAAATCTGGAACCAACAGCGTCTAATACCAGAGATAAAAATAGGGCAATCTCAAGGATTCGAGGGTGCGTTGCCTATGCGAGAGACGACTCGTGCGTGCTGAACAGAAAAAAGAATGAAGTGAATAACACCAATATAAACCGGCATCATGCGTTTACAAGACGAAAGGCATAAAGAGGGGCGGAATGGAAGACGCGAGCAACATCGATGCACACATAAAAGAGACCTCGGCGAACTGCTGCACAGAAGGGGTAGACGAGCGAGCGACTTACGCGGATGCCTCCGAGCTACATATGGAGACTAGGCTGGTGGCCTTGGCGCACACCTCGTGCGAGCGCTGGAACGTTGTCGTCGCGGGCCCGGATCGCTTGCGCCGCGTCGCGCTGCCGCCGTCAGCGCGGGCGCCCGCGCGAGCTGTTGGCGCGGCCGGCCACGTCAACGGGCAACGGGCGGCAACACATTCAGTACCCGTCATATTTACATTATACCATAGTACCACACTATATAACATTGCATACGATTTGCGTAGATATACGAATACATGTCGAATCCACAAAACATGAACATGGTTATGGATGATGCAAATGTGGGAGTGATATATTGATTTGTTTCCAATTGAGGAATTTATTTATTAAATACCTGTAATTAATATTGATTAAATTTCTATATATATAAGAAAAGTCGTAATATTAGCCTTAGTTATAGAGCCAATTGTTTACATAATCGCCTACACGTGAAGTAGAGTTATTTTGTCTCTATATTAATTCAAAAGTGACGACTTTATATTCATATTTTATACTATCTATGGATTACAAAATGATAAAGAAATGGCTAAAAATTTAACAATTACCATTCATTTATAGAGATTGTCATTCAGTTCATATGCGCATCAAACATTATCGTGAGCAGACCTATTTGCTTGCTCAGAAAGATTTTAATGTACAAACCAGTAAAAGCTCTAAAAAATGCTAACTGCACAGAAGCAACATCACACATACATCTACGGCTGTTATGAATTTTGTAACATGCTGTGTTATAATTTTACGTCGCTGTAAATGGTTATCGCGCTTTTTTTATCGGTTCGATACTATAGTCAATGTATTGACTATCTATTTATTACAATGAAACTTGACGATCTGCCGCGAGAGCTACCGCCGCCTGAGCAACCGCACTATTGTCTCAATGTTATCGGTAAACAGCGGCCCGAACCTGTCGTCATCGTTTTCACTGGATGCGGAGGAGGCTCGCGACACTCCAGACGCAACTCCACGCATTTCGCCTGGCACCACTTCTTCGCTGCGTTGTACCGTAAACGAATTTTTTCCACGTTTACCGAAACCTAACCTCCGTTTCCGTCCTGTCGATCATTTAATCAATACATTTGAGTCATATTATACTAAATAGGTACTATATAAATCGCTAGCCTTTACACATAGTCACGTTATAATAATTTTTACAACTATGTTAGTGTTGCGAAAGGCTAGCGAAAGTGGTGAGTAGGTGCTGTAGTGGTTAAGTTGTATGATATGGTAAGGATTACCTGTGGCCGATAGCTGCGAGGTAGAGTTACTCTTCTTTCCCATTCCAGTTCCGAAATAATCTCGCGGCTCTGCTTTTAGTAGCACATCGTCCGCAGATGGCTCCATTTCACTGGCACCGCCGATAGCTGTGTCACTGAGGCTGCCGTCTTTTTGAACATTCGATTAGACTTAATTATTACCTAACAACTGAACATTAATTCTATGCACTTATAATAAGATAAAAATATTAATTAAATTTTTTTTTGTATATAAAATTTAATATTATACAAAAGGAATACAAGATACTTAAGCAACTCTTTAGAATAATATGCATTACCTGCTTTTTCGTCGGGGGGTACATCAGCGTTGCTAAGGCTACGTGTGAATTGTCCACGTCTGGATTCACGACGCTCTATTGGCTGGTGTTGATTATTACCACGGCCATTCTCGCGTCCACCGTAGTCATTACTAAATTTTGATTTGCGTCGTGTTTCGATTTTTCCGGATCGTTTTTCATTTAGTTCAGTGTGAGATTGTCCGTAATTCCGTTGCGCCGGCAAATCCGCAATTTCCATTACAGCATGTTCATTGGATTGCCCGTATAATTGTTCCATTTTTGTAGTACAAGGGTTGTAACAGGTATAGTCAGATGGCAGATGTGAGGCAACAGGAGTGAGCGCACGACGGGGCGAGTCGAGTTTTGAAGGAGAGAGAGTAATAAACATAGAATTAGCCATTACACTGAAATCGCTAATGAAATGGTTAGTAGATGATAAAGAATGTGATCGTGGACGAGCTCTTTTAATAATGGAGGGCAAAGATTTCTTTAATGATAAGTCTAAACTAGGCCGCGGGGAAAGAGCACATGGGGAATGATATTCCTGGAATGTAGGAATTTCATTTATGCTAACTACATTAACATGTTTTTTATATATTTTAGTCTCTAAATCTTTTGTGGATGTGGTTGGTTCATTTGGTGAAACGACTAAGATATCTATACTAGGCTTTGTCGTAATGCTCATTTTTTTGAAGATATTTTTAATATCAGTCAAGGATGTCTGCGAGTCGGGTGAACGTTTCAATAATATTAACGAATCTGAATATCGCCTTTGTACTGTTGTTATAGGATTTGGTTTTTCTTTAATATGTTTTACAAGATCTGCATTGTTTGCAGATTTGCCGTTCTGGTCAGTCGGTCTGTGCTGGTTGAGTTGAGATAATTCTGGTGATTTATTTTCAGACATATTACCATCGTAACTCATTTTTAAATTAAGAGATAGGATTTTTTTTCTATCGTTAATTAATGAACTCTTTGAGTCGTTTTCTTTTATTTCTGTTTGTATTTTAAATGTTTTATCAATTTCGAATCTATTTTTATTTTTATCGGAGCTATTTTGTCTATCTATACTGACATGAATTGTCGTTTCCGCATCACTTCCTTCGCTATCATAACCGTGATACTGATTGGATATTTCTTCTTTCTTTATTATTTTTGTATTTGTGATAGCAGTAATGTTATCAAAATTACTTTTAATATTATTGTCTGCTACTTTGATAGATGGTATCAAGGTAGTAGTAGCAGTAGGTTGAGATTTGAAATTATTAGTTTGAATATTATTAATGTCTGGTAACTTTCTATGCTTAATCGTTGTTGGTTTCTTATGACTATTATTGTCACCGTCTGTGTAGTGTGGAATTTTAAAATATGATGAAATGTGCTTTGGTCGGATTACAGCTTTTGTTCTGTGCGTATGTGCTTTTAGCTGAAAAGTTGTGTATGAATTTGATCCTGAAAAACTTTGTTGATGGCCTAAATACGACGGACGAATTGTATTCCGGTCTATATCTTTTACTATATGGGATGACGCAAAGTGACATAAATAGTCTTTTCTGTTATCTGTTATCTTGTAGGTATTATATTGTACTGAATATTCAGGACAACTGTGACTGCGTTCGTAAGCATGACGATGAGAGCATTCTGTAGTATATGAACTATCCGAGCGACTTCTAGCTAGTAGACGTCTAAGGCGCCGAGTGGGACGAGCGCGGTGCGTCGATTGTATGAAGCTTACATTCGAATTAAAATGGGAACGAATTCGTCGTCGAACCGCGCGTTCCGCACCCGGCGGCATAAGTACGTATGGCAATATGCGACCTGAATTTACATTATTACGTCTATGTGGATAAAAGGCAACATTAGCACTATCGCACGATGAAGAAGTACTATTTGGGGAAAGTATTCGCTGCCTGTAAAATATTTATGAGAAAATAATTTCAATTGTTGCTTCAGGACAAAGGAATTTGATTCATTTTTAAGCATTTCAATTGTCTACTAAGTTAATTTAAATAAAGTATACCTGAGCATTCGAGTGGGCCTGGGTCTTTCTGACTGCGTGCTAAATGCGCTGGATGTGACAGATGCTACCGATTCCAGGTCTGAGTCAGCAGCGGTCGCGTCGGGCGACAGTCTCCGGCGTGGCGCCCAACCGCCTCCTCCTCGCGCCGCCAACTCGGAATCTGATAAGCCAGCGTAATGTCGCTCCCAACCTACATTCATTATTGTATACCTATAGTTGCAAGTAGTTATGATTGACTTCGCGAAATAATCATCTCTAGGAGCTCACTACGTACTAGATTCTACATACTGTACAGCCTAGTAGCTTTGTAATGCTATTCATGTATGATTCTAAGTGATAACAGGCTTATGAAGCTTTGTGAAGGATAATGTTGCTTACTTGAGGTATTGTCTAAATCCCATTGGAGATCATGGTTGGATATTGTGATGGATTGCCTTCATAGAATTACTGGCCTTGATGCTTTTAATAAGAATTTTTGTTATTTAGAGGACAATAATGTGTGAAAGTGGTACATTGATGGATTTGGATATGGTATGCGTGTATTGACCTTGTGGCGTGCTGCGGTAGGTAAGTGTGGCGCCAATGTGATGCGGGGCGATCCACTTACGTTCCTCGAGGTCTGCGGAGACTTGCGCCCGTACTGCTCGCTGTGCATTCTGCCATTAAAGATCAACAAAAAATACTGTTACGTACACAATAAAAAGGAAAACTTGAAATTCAAAATCGGTTTTCATTACTCCGTAATTGAAATCGAAATGTAGGAATGGATTTCTACTGAAGACTCATAACATTTTACCTGGTGAGGTATTTGTGGTAGTTGTCGTTTCTTTGGACTGGTAGTGGGCGTGGCAGTGGCAGAACGCGACTGAAACCGCGGCGCGTATGCATGCGTAGGCAGTCGCGACGCGTCACCAGCACTTCGTTCATCACCTACTGCAACATACATTGTTCTCTTGTTACATTTTTAGCCTAATAAGTAAATTTGATGACATTATAAATGTATAATATGTAGTATCTTTCAAGACAAAGAAATAATTTTAAATCATCAAGCATTTGTTACAATCTCAAATCGAAATGGATAGATTATAAAGAATCATGCAATTTTTAATTTATAGTAAAATATATTCCGGTATGTTCCTTTATTTTCATGCAATTGGTATTCCATAAAATTAACAAATGTTTAATATCACAACTATCACACGCAATCAATATTTTTAGACTGCATTAGAGTTTGCGACGGCGCATTCTAAATGCAATCAGATAGATGACACACTGCGTGCTGTTATTAGGTAGAAAGGATAGGGTGAGTGGAAGATTTGAAAAAAAAAACAGTTAGGTGGAAAAGAGCGAGGAAGTTAAAACAGTAAGTGGCAGTAAAGTGGTGATGAGCGGACGCGACGAGAAACGTGCGTGTCTCGGCGATAGTGTTCCGTGCGGGGTCTTGGCCCGCTGTCGGTACGACGTCCACGGACCAATCCATACGATATGTCAGGTGTCGTTCGGATTGGTGTGTGGGTGCGGTGCCGATTGCGGCACCTGTGTAACGCCAGCCGTTGCGATCGGCGGGAGGCGACAACGACCGTCGCGGCGACTTGCTGCGCGCGCGCTGCGGTCGGGCCACTCCCGCTGCAGACTGTGACCGCGCTACGCTGTATCCTCCGCTCTGTGCGTAAATGGTATACATATTTTTATTATTATCAATGTCTCAAATGCACCTGACACCTGGGCAGTTAATGTTCATTGTCCACGACGTCACTGAAATAATAAAAATATCTATCTTGTTTCTATTGTGTTGCATTTTTTATAAATATATTTTCTGCCCTTATTAAATTTGCATATTTTATAATTTAAACGAATATTAATCTTAGTCATAGACTTACTATTTGACATGCGAGTAAGAGCATTGCTTTATTAAGCTTTACTAAATTGTTTAAATGAATTACTGCAATCTGTTTTATTTATTAGCTTAGAACTTGGTTTAAGCACTATTCTATACAGTGATAAAATAATTTATCCACGATACACCCGCGATGCTGTGTTGTGGTGTTGTTGACAATGAACGGTGGTATTTTATCAGATTATACGAAACTTACTCGTTCTCTGGTCATACCGGCGGCACGTATTCTTCCCGCGGGGGACATGTCACGTCTACTACTACGTGTGTTGTCCATATCCATTCGCTGTGAACAATTTTTAAAACATAACTGCATGTAAACTTTAAAACCAAAATGTAGTTATTAAATGTATAGACTTTTGCAAACTATCTATGACAAGCTAATTAATCCAATTTGTTTTTATTTGAATGTTTTAAGTATTTGGAATGACAAATAAGTTGATGACTGACAAGTAGGTGTACCCTTAACAGTAAATGGTAACTGTCCCCGCACAGGGAGGACGAAGAATTGTTAGTAATGTGGACCGATGGCCTCATTGCTAGCAATGAGCATGTCAGGTTGCCCGCTACGCGGTTAACTCTGGTAAATTCAACAGGAATTTCTTACGATGGGCCAATTGATACGTTGACAATGCAGAGGAAAAAGATATGCAATGTCTCTTATCCTGTTATTTGACTGCGTTATCATATCATATGACTGAAACAGTTTACAAAGTAAGCAGCTTTACTGTTGAAAAAGGCGAGACTAAGCACGCAGAGGATTTTTCAAAGACTACCTCGGTAGTTATATTGTTATACATAATGATGAAGAAATAATAATATTATATTAAGGTGTCATGTTATCTCTCTCTCTGCCTAGCCATTTCCCATTTCATTTGGGGTCGGCTCTCCTAGTCTTTCTTCGCCAGGTACATCTGTCCCGGGTTTAAGGTGTCATGTTATGATATTTATTAATAGAAGTAATAATATATTATTATTACAGACAACTCAATATAGTGACAACATTGGTTTATATCATTACATAGTATAAAATAAAGTCGCTGTCGATGTCTGTCTATCCCTATGTATACTTAAATCTTTAAAAATACGCAACGGATTTTCAAGCTTTTTTTGTTTTTTTTAGATAGATAGAGTGATTCAAGAGGAAGGTTTATATGTATAATACATGTACACCCGGGCGAAGACGGGGCGAGTTGCTAGTTACATATATTTTAAAGACAAACATATACCGAACAAATAAAATATAAATTTAGTGTCGTGGTCATAATAGTTACCTCATGTGGAGGCGGTGGACTGGAGCTGGACGCGAGACTAGAGAGCGAGTGGTGACGCCGCAAGTCACACTCACTGGGTGTGTCGGAGTCTGAGAGCCGAGACGTGGAGGTTGATGGCGGCGAAAGGTGTTCTCCATCCGCCTCCTCTTCACGGTATCTCTTCAATACGAATATTACACGATTAAATATACAAGATCAATGATAATTAGTACGTACTAATCTATAGTGTTTTAGCCGCCACTAGGTCTGCTGCTGCTGTATTTTTGAGATAAAAGGTGGCCCGTGTCCGTCGTCTTGATACAATCTGTATTCACGTCAATGTTCATCCGTTCAGCCGTGTAGTTGTTAGAAGATACCAAACGGACAATCATATTTTTTCATTTTAGAATTTATACATTAGTATGAATTAAGATCAAGTACAAGAGCATAGTTAGTATTCATGAAAATAAAGAACAGCAAAATTTGTGCAAAGTATGAAACTTTTCTTAAAGTCATGCATTATTTAGTAGGTACGTCGGTAAGTAATCTATATATATATATATATGTTTAAATATTCTTACACTAAAATTAGCAGTTTCCTCGTGTGGTCTAAGATTGTACCAATTGGGTTCGTGATTCATCACAACATTATCAAGATCGAGTAGAACTTCACCAAGAAAATCATTTGGACCGTAGCGATTTAAATCCCATACTGTCACCTGTTAGAAATATAATGTGATGTAGCTTTTACGTGACAAACAAATTATATGATACTTTTAATTATTTAGTTCAAATCTGGCCGACACTGGAAAACTTAGTATGGCTATTTATATTTCTGACTGATTCTTCGGTGATGGAATTACCAATAAAACACCAAATCAATGCAAGTGATGGTGTATTAAGCGAAGCGTGGGTAAATAAGTGTTGTATGGGTATATAATATTATTTACTTGCCTCTAATGTTCTCTTCTTGATGTCAGTAATTCGTATACCACAGTAAACAAAAGTTTGATTCCACCGTGGTTCTAAAGTGTTTGCCAATGTTTTGGTTCTACGTTTACTTTTTTCACTTTTATCGGGTAAAAGAAAAATCTTCGCGTATGGACATCTTGTGGTGCCATCGGGTCGAGGACTTAGGCCACTTGCAGATACTACAGTTACTAATAGTTGTAGAGCGCTGATGTCGAAGTATATTTTCAGCTTACCATACATGAAACAACAATCTAATTAATATCAAAGTTCCCAAATTTGTGATACTATAGGGAACTAAAAATAAAATTTATAAAGGTATATAAAATTGTATTTAAAACACTATTTATTTCTAGTAAATAATAGAAAAATGATAATAAAATAAAAAAAAATCCGTCTAATATTCTATACATCTATGCCAATATTCGAAACACGAAAGTGTGTCTGATATCTGTATGTCTGTTTATTACATTTTCACGATTAATACTGAACGAATCATAATTCAAATTGAGATATATAGATAGGTTGTCACGAGGACATACATTTTTTATTTGAAAGACCACATGATATCACTAGTAGTGGGCTCTATATAGCTATTTTAATCAAAGAAAAAAAATTGTTCTGTTATTTTAACTAACAGGCTCTTTATCGTTCTGTGGCGTAAAAATATTCAATGCACGTTATTAGAATTTTTTTTGATACCTGTATTCGGCCGGCGACGTTGGCGTTATGGTGATTATGTCTCGCCGGTCGACGACGAGCGTGAACATCAGGCGAGCCGGGTGACGTTACAAGAACACTGGGTTTTTCACACCCACCCATAACCTCTGTATATACTTCTGCACAACCCAATCGACCTTTGAACAAAAAAATATGTATATATGATAATGTTATTTAATAGCGATTTATTTCATGTGACTGTGATTTTTTTCTTACCGTCTGGTGGTTAAGACCCACGTGATGGTAACCGGTAACCGTCGCCTATGTACATTTATAACAGAACGTTATTATGTGACACCCGTGATATCATACATTATAATTTCATAGGACTAAGATGTCATATCTCTTATCAAAATTTCATTGCCTAAATTGCACCTTACAGCTTACAAACCAAGCTACTTACTAAATCAAGCGGCTATAATAGGTGAAACTTACGAGTAGGTGCCAACTCACAGAACTCAATTTTACAGATTTTTTACTTTGGTATAAAAATGCATGATCTGCCTACTAGTAACCACTTACTGCGGGTGGCCTATCTACACCTGCAAAATTAATTGATTAATTTCAATGTAATATCTTATTCACCTTTATGAGTTCGCCAAGGCTGTGCAGGTGTCCTCGTGGCGGTTATAGGTCGAGACACTACCAATTCCACATGAGAATCGTGTTTACTATCCGCAACTATAGCTGCCACTTCATCTGAGCTTCTGCCCTGAAGGGCTACTCCATTCCATTGCAAAACTTCATCTCCTGTTAAAAATATCTTATATTACTATTTTTATTGCATTAAAATAATTTAGAATTATGGGAATAATATAAATAGCGGAGTTATCTTTGAAATAAATCTTATCTAATCAATTTAAGTTTTTTAGTAAGAAGGAGGGTATAGCGGACCAAGCAGGGTTTTATGTTCGGAGACTGCCTGTTTCACAAGAAATGCTGTGTAAATATCTTTATCCGGATGGATCATGGATCGGTGAATAAGATAAATACAACTAACAAAACACATCATCATCATCTGCTTCTTCCTTATACCTTTTATGTGGGGTCGGCGTAATATGTTTTTCTCACCATATCATCTTTCACACAGTCCATCCATCTCTTTTTAGGTCTTCCTCTACCTTTATAACCATATTCATATCCATATTCATATGTAACACCGTCCTTAGGGTATAATCTTCATTCCTACGCATTACATGCCCATACCACGATAGATGATTACTCTTTAACCTCTCCGACGAATAAAACACATCACGTACAAAATATGTACATGTATGTAATGTAAATGTATTATAGTTACGAATAATAAATATGAGAACTAATTTAAAAAAATAGTAAATTATCTTACCTATTCTTAATTGTCCTTCTAAATCGGCTATAGAGCCCTTTTTAACTTTTTCTACAATTGCACCTCGTGTACCATCAGGCAATAATTTTCCTCCTACAACTTTTAGTCCAAGAATAGCAGCAGAGGAATGTGTACTGCCCTCCACTACACTCTTGCGCAGCACCATGTGACCACACATCCGAGTACCGTCCGCCGACACTTGCCAACTCTGTGGGAACTGTCATATTATCAAGACGTCAGTACAACCTTACATTCTTACTTTAATGAGTGACCGATCAAGCTGATATATGAAACAATATGACCTTCAATGTGTGGTTATAACTCGTTTTATGGTCTCAGCAATTTTATTATTGAATATAGTAGATAGCTACAAAACACGAAGGTGCACATATAATGTAACATATTGTTGCATGCTCGCAAATGCAACCATGCCGCAGCCAACACAAATACATTAAGATCTTCCATTCATCTACATTGTGTAGGCCAAGTGTTACAGTTATATACAACCATAGATGTGCAATAAATAAATACACCGACAAAAATAATATTTGCAAATACTTATTTTCAAGATTATAAGTATATAACAATTATATTTATAATTTTAAGAAAAAATACATTAATTAAGCGACATAAATATTAAGGCAATTTTGTTGCAGAGTTATATTGTTATGATTCCTGTATATTTTCTAACTCATCTAATTTTACTGCGTCTAAGTAAATAATCCGTTATAAGTAATACGGAATGCTTTGTACCTTAGGGCAATCGCCTCTATTTGAGTCTTCACTAGACGTGAAGGTGCTAGAGGTATCGATGCCCGAGTCTTTAGTAGCGGAGTCTTGACTGGTCTGGCGTTCAGACTCCCAGCGGAGGGAAGCCCAATCATGCGGCGCCGCCGACGCATCCCGTCCGCCCCGCGGGAACGTCGCTGCGCCCTCGTGTCCATCGAAACGGACAGTTTTTTTTCTCCTCTCCGTAAATCGTCTGTTATCAGAGGAGTCTTCCCACAAATAGGCACTCTTATAGACAGCTCGATCAGGGCGCGGGCCCTCGTCCGGAGCGTACGGGCGCAGGTACGCGCCCTCACCGTCGTCGCGAGCCCGCCACCGACAGTCGGTCACAGAGTCAAAGCTGCGGCCACCGGTAGGCGCTGCCCTCGCTGCTTCAAATGGACCGCGCGCCTCTGCCTCGTAAGCGGCCGGTGAATGATTAGTTAAATTGTAATAATTGTTGACAGCTACACTGGCGCTGCGCAGGTGCGGGTGCCGGAGTGCCTCAAGTTGTCCTAAGAATTATATCGAATGTATAACAGCGAGAACCTGCTCGTTTACGTCGTCCGATCGACGCGACTTACGCACCAGTACGCGCCCGGAACCGTTTACAGTACTCTAACAGTCTAACGTTATATCTACATCTTCTTACTCTAAAACCGACTGTGCAACCGTTTATTTGTACAAGCGTCTGTTTTGTAATATATATGTAAATATGTTGACCTCAGTGCCTCCCTCCAGCTTAAAAAGAAATTAATCGAAAGCAGTGATCACGCACAAGCGGAAAGAACGTGTGTCAACTTATCCAAGTCATACAATAACAACAATAAAAAAATAAAGTACACGTTCACAAAATCTAACGGGTTTGTAATAGAAATGTTAACAATACACTTCTTTTCGCCCAAGCATGCGATAGTTATTTGACCCATAAATTAAAATCAAAATTTCGTATGTAAATTATGTATCTTTTTAATTTATACTATTTAGAAATACTCAATGAATAGTGGTAGAAAAGTAGGTTATTTTAACTCTTTTGCGCAATCAGACAGGTTTAAGGTTGTAGAAGTGAAAATACTTCTACGACTTCACATCAATACAAATGTCATTGAAATAACTAGCCATTATTTAATTTATGGTTCAAATAAGTCAACGAGGAAGTACATTTAACGTTTATAATCGATTATTATGTAGGTATAAATGTCTTTTAGCATAATTTAATAACATCTATACTCTACTTTGATACCATAGGTACTATATTGTCGACTTTGAATACGCGGTAAGTATCTTATAAACATAAATGTACTTTCTGAGACTGTTTCTGAAAGATAGAGTTCAAACAGCCATGACAGTTGGTCAACCAGAGGAAGAAGTATGTTGCGAAAACAGTTACAAACATACTGAGACATCTAATTCAGCAATAAGTATGTTACAACGCATATTTCCCGATAAATGCGCACTCTCACCGCTAAAAACTTTTGCATTTTCTCGTTTAACATCGCCTGACGCTGACTTCGGGAGCTGTCCGAACTGCTCCTATCTTTATTACCTGCGAACAGTGGGATGGCGAGGTGAGCGCCGATGCAACGATAGTACTCATATAGTCGACGATCACCTTATTTCGCGGCACGCAGCGCGCGGCTACCGGGCGCGTATTTGGGCACACAAGACGCATGCGGCGGCAAAGTATTTTACTAATTATGTTTTACTCAAGTTTGTGATTGTGTAAGTTTTTGCTTCAAATCTAGCGCCTATTTACAAAATTAAAAATACGGACTGCGAAATTTGAAGCACAAAGTCTTATACAGCTGTCTCTGTCTGAAAAGAAGAACTTGATTCGATGTGTTTTCTTGAAAGAGATGTAGCAATGACACATATTATTATACTACATGAACAGACATGATGGAAACATAGAGATAAGTTTAGGTGCTCAACACTATCCGTTTCTGTGAAAGATACCTAGAAAACATTAACTTAGGTTTACAACTTAATGATAGTATTTACCTGAAAATATTTTAATATAAGATCGGTCCTTACAAATCGAATACCTCGCACGGAACACCTTAACTTTATCATTTTCTTAATATGGGTGAATATGACAGACTTAATGTACAATGTTTATTGTTTTCACAGGGCTAGAGAAGTTGCGTTCGCTGTGTCGTGTAGAATGTTTTGTTGTGTTGTATACGCATGTAGGAACATGATAAACAAAATTAGCCTTGGGATAAGGAATTTGTTGTGAAACGGATGGTGGGAAATGGACGGGCGACAGGGCGGCGAGCGTACTTACCTCGGTCACGATATTCATCGTTCTCGTCGGAAATACACTCTGCTACCTCATCGTCTGAGGACGACGATCGAGGTGGAAGTGGAGGGTGTGATGCTGGATGAGGCATCAGCTGCGCAGTCGGTGGTGGTACATCCTCTACCCCATATGCGGCTTTCTGTCTGGGGTGAACTAAATGCGGATGGGTTCGAGCCAAACCCTCTAGTTCCCCATAACATCGTGGCTCTTGTTGACTGTATTGCCTGCGCAGAGCGCTGCCCGTTCTCTGCAGAGGAAGATTTTCTTTTTCAGCAGCGCTGTGGGCTCGCTCTAATTTAGGTCTTTTATCTAACGAAGCGTCGGCTTGAGGCGGAAGGCCTCGCATATCTGCCTCCATTCTCCATAGCATGGAGTCTTGTCCGGCACTTTTATGTATCCACTGCCCAGTTTTCGACAGCAGTTCTTGTTTTTTGCGACATAAAATGCACACCCATATAACCTGTAAATGTAATATATTATTTAAAATGTGTGTATCTATCTACATTCATTGTTATTATTATGAGTTTGAATAAAATAATATTTCTGACATTCGAAATAAAGATTGCAGAAATAACCATTTGTTCAAAAAATAACTATGAAGTATCTCCAAGGTATAACGTGTTCGGATTTTATCGGATCTTGTTACACGAAAATTATTGATATTATAGATATATTTTTTTTAATTTTAATATATTTTTGAAAATAATTGTATTGACCTTGTTAGAGCGTAGTGTGACTTTTCCGCCACACCTGGCGCAACACCTCACTCGACAGTAGTGGCAGGAGTGTCCGACACCGTCGGCAAACTTTGTCTTGAGACAAATGTGGCAGGTGGCTGCTAGTTCGACGCCGGCTGCCCGCTGCATTTCATTCCTCGTGCGTATTGATTGTTCTAAGACTGCAACTTCGTCTTGCTTTCGCCTGTTATTGCAACAGTTATATATAGGTATTTATTTATGAAAACGAAGAATGCTAGTTCTACTGGGTTTAATATTATTATTTGTTAAATATTATTATATAATTGTTAAAATAAATACGAAAAGTGAAGCTGATAGCGCACTCAAACTAAAGGGATTTTGAAATACAAAATTGCAAAAAAGCATTATGATTAGCTATCAAGTTTACTTTCATGTTAAATTAAGCAACTTAAAAAGTTTCGGGCTCATTTCGATCATTCATCGATCCGAATAAAATGAAGATAAATAAGTACATAGTTCTAGTATGAAATACAGATAGATTAGTCAATCTATACAGATAAATACGGTGCAGGTCAATCTTCATGAGTCATAAATGGAAACATGGGAAACTTGTGGTCAGCTGTAGAAAATTAAGATATTTTACTTTTTATTATAATTATAATTATTATTAATTTATGCTCAGGGCAATAACGATTTATGACGTGTACAGAAAACGTACACGTAAATAACGTGAAAAGTAACACAATTAAAGAGAATGATTGGTGGAAGGTGGGAAATTTTGACACACGACCCTAAAAACAAGCACAATATCGGAGCAGTGGTGGATATAATCCTGGATTGTTAGTTATATCTGGATTCTATATAGTTAGAAATAATTATGGGCCGTATTCTCTCCAGATGTTAGACCCGCCATCACTACTCTAGTGTTGCTCCTGAATTTCGTGTGTAGGACGTTTTAGAGTTCCTCGGTGTTTCTATGTTCTGTGCATGGGAACGTGTTCGTCCTCAATCTTTTTATGTTTAATAAACTAGTAAAGCAAGGTTTAAAATGTTGTTAAAATTAGAAGAATATGTTTTTTTTGTATTATTTGTTATTGACATCAATTTTGATATCAGCAGAGGTATTCTGATAGGCCTATTCAAGTTTGTAGATATGCTGCTATTATACTATAAATGTATCTTTGTCAATCTGTCACAGAGTCTAGATCTGCTTGAGGAAACCACACGAAATTCGAAAGTACTAATTTAAATATATGCAAGTGAATGATTTGTCGTTGTCATGAAGAATTACTTATAATAAAAAATACAAGAGTTATCATCCACCAATGTGTATAATGATCTATGGAAAAATTATTAAAAGATGTTTCAAAGAATTACTACCTATAGCACAGATAACATAATATTCCTATAGTAACGGTAATTTACAAGGAATAATAAATATTATGATATACCTAATAAAATTAAAATGTCATACAATTTTCTGAGACCAAATTAGTAATGACAATAAGAACGACAATTCATTAATTTATTTTTCATTAAATACGTTGTGTCATGTGATATTGCATTGTAGATATAAAGTGGTGAGTGAAATAACCACGTTGCTAGTATTGATCAGATTGACCACCATGCGGTTACCCCTATAAATCTTCACGATAAATTTGTCACAATGAACTACATGACTTACGCTCATTATATCACCCTTCATATGTCTAATGCCCCGACAGCGTAAACCTTTAGCGCAGATGGGTGCACTATTCCAATATATTCAATTAAAACATATATATAAAGTGGGTTGGTATGTATATGTATTAAATATATCTACATATATTTCATATAAGACAGACCACCAGAAACAATTGTTGATGTCAATCCAATAATTAATGATCCAACATCAAGTTGGATATCCGCTGGTATTAACAACTAAAATATAATTTGTGAGGTCAATATATGACATTGGAAATATTTTATTGGAGTTAAATAAAGATCCTGTAATTAATTAATAATAAAGATTCTTTGGATGTCTCTCTCGATCGATTATTAAAGATACGTAAAAATAAAAAACGTAACATCAATGTAAAATGGAATGAAAGTTCGATGTAGGTTACAAATTAATCAAAATTCAATAATGCGATTATTTATGTATGTCCTGTCTAAAACTCCAACTGCCATAAACTGAGATTAAGAATATATACGAAATAGATGCTAACCTACCTTAATTTTATAAACGTAACTCATAAAAGGTGCAATACAAATGCATCATATTATCGACTACTAGCTAGAGACTAAGAGATATAGATATAAATATATCTAATAATGATAGTTTGACGTCATCGTAGCTACCTACCTTGGGAACAATACACAAGGTCAATTTTTATCTAACTGTTTTATTACCACTACAAATAAAACTGCAAAGCTTTATTTTCACTAAATGCGAATATCCGCGTAAAGTACAAATAGTTCATAATTAGATTATAGCATTATTGTTTATATGTATGCAAATAATGCGTCAGTCATAGCGTAAGTATGTAAGTACCTACTTTGCTGTCCTACTATGAAATAATTCGTACGCATAGATTTATCATTAAAATTATTCGAAACGAATATCAATTTTGTATATGACTAAAAACAGTTCTCGTTACATATTAGTCATAGGATTTGCATCACGGTGATAGATAGGATGGGTATCTACGTCGATATCTAGATCATACATATTTAATTGTACTGATATATAGGTAACATACCTAATCCCATATTCCATTTTGCACTGACTTACAACAAAGAATAAATATGTTTGTACATATACTCGATTAAGAGATATATACAGCACTTCATTAAGTTACGTTTAGTTTTAAATAATCAGCTAGTAAGGAGTACATAAACACCACACTTTCACATTTATTTTATAGCGCATAGGACAAGAGACATGATGGCGACTAGGGAAGGACTAGGGATTTAGCGGTGCGCGGGGTGCGGGGCGCGTACGTGAGGCACACCTCATGATCTCATGTTCGCGTTGCTCCTCTTGTCGCTGGCGCATCATGACGCCCTCGATGATGGCGCGCTCCTCGGGCGTGAGGTGCGAGAGGTCCGGCATGTCGGCCATGGCGGGCGGCGGCGGCCGCGAGCGGTGCGCGGGCCCGCCGCGTGCTGCGGTGCTGTGCCCGCGGCGCGAGCTTTTGCGCGCCACCCCGTACGGAGGTTTATTTAATAATGCCGTGTGAGCCAATGGCACGAGCCCGTCCACTGACGTCAGAACATCTATTGATCCAAGTTCCTGGCGCGACGCCGCCGCCCGTTGTCCTAACGCGCCGCCGCGCTTCGCCCCAACTTGAATTAAATGCGTGCGCATAACAAAGACACAGCCGTCGCCGTATGCACAATCATTTTAGTAAAAAAGTTCTGTCAGACATGTAACCTCTCTGCATTGTTTCATATACCTATGCTGTATATCTTGCTATATGTACTTAACGTTGGGGAATAGATTTCTTTTGAACATACATACGTAGGGTGTTGCCCCAATATTTTGCCAACTTGTTCACTAAGCGCGTATATTAAAAGAAATTTAAAATCAATAATATGGTGTAAAAATAATAAATACTAAGATAGAACTCGTAACTAAGTTGGGCTATCGGAAACTCATATAATTATTTATCTATAAGCTAAGATTCCTTGTTGGGTATGCAGTCTCTATACTAAGGATTACCTTTTATTTAGTCAGCTGATCCACGTTCATAACATCATCACATAGGTACATATGTACAAATATGGTATAGTGAACAATCGGCACAAACATGCTCTATTTGGCCAATAAATGTGCAGTATACAGGGCCTAACTTTCATACCTCGGTTTTCGCATTGTAGGTACAAATTTCGTTCTGTTGAATTGTGTAATTAGGCATATTTTACATTTACCACATATATAACATAACTTATTAATATTTCAGCGCGGCTCATTGAGGTTACTTGTGACCCGAGAGCTGGTAGCTATTTTGCCCAAAGGCTAAGTATGGCCATTCAAAGAGGCAACGCTGCCAGTATCTTGGGTACGCTGCCTCGATGTGCCGCGTTGGATTACAATGATTGTTTTTTGTAATTGTTTATATAGAAAATTGATATTGAGGAATTATGTATATTTGTATGACATTTATAATAATAAACACTTATTAAATATGTAGGTACTTACTTAATGCTTCTGGATACTTTTGATATCTCCTAGTGTAGCCTTCGAGTATTGCTATGAATCAACTAAGGAATACAATAACAATTTAAGAGAAGGTATAGATTGTTAACAACAGGAACACTAGTGGCCTCATTTTTAGGAATATCTATAGATACGAGGTCAGGTTGACCTCCAATGGTTTCGAGGTAAAATCGCCAATCGACCTGACCTCATTTTGTCTTCATCCTATCATCCTTTACTGGTGCCCCGTCAGTAGGTATATACTGTTAGCGCTTGCGGGTTATTATTCCATGTTCATCTAGATATACAAAAAAAGCAAGTATAAGTAACTTATGACACAGTATCTTGGCCTGCAGTTTACGGAGATCACTATATCTTTTAACATATCGTAGACAAAGACATAGGTATAAAATACGGTGGGTAAAAAAACTTTGTTTCGATGGTAAAGTATCAGTAAGGGACAAGCATTGATAAAGTAACTTGCTTATACTGTAAACAATCAAATGGTAGGTAATTGTGACAGGGTTCTGATAGATTCCTTATGCACCAGTAGCGATCGATCTTTCACTTGGCGTTTATTTCATCAAAAACTACATTTTAGCAGGGAAACTGCCCATCTCAGGTACATACCTATTTTTAAAAAAAAGTTTAATAAATTATCCCAATCCCATAGGTTCTTAAATACTTAAATACGTGATAAACTATTGTTATATAATTAGATTTCGTTTCGAAACCCATTATTTAAGAATTTAATAAAATAAAATACATATCATTTATATTCAGGTCACTTTATTTTATAAAATATGACAAAACAAACAGTCCAGGTTACGTCTAATTTATATATAGAGTATGTTTAATTCTAATCGCAGTCTAGAGGCGGAGGCTCGCAATCACCAGGCAAATGATTTACGAGGTCGTTATGGAAAAATGTTTTCTCGCCAGTACCCCACGGGAACCTTTTTGTACGTATTCGCATGTATTCATAATCACGACAAACGTCTTTCTGATGTGGTTCATTGTTCAAGACGCGCAGTCCTTGTACTATGATAAGCGGCAAGCAAACGAACAAAGCAATATACTTGTATTTTTTCCAAGTGTCTTTGCCGTGGTAATGTTGGGGCATGCAGGGATTGGCAGCTATGGGGCCGGGCCTGCAGTTCGCCGGGGGCACAATGCCTCGACCGCCCCCTGGCACTTGTGACGGACACCCACATTGTCCCGGTGGAGGCCGAGGCGGGCAGCACATGCTGTATCTTCTGGATCCATTGACCTTGCCAAGATAAAACTTAACAAGGTTATATGTTACACATTTTGCGCGAAATAACATTTTATTCTTGCCAGAATTATATATTTTTTGTATTAAGTATTACAGTTTTAACTAAAACATATTTCAAAATTTCTCCATGACTGATCGAAATGACAACTATTACTTTTACAGTCTAACAAGGTTTGTAATTTTTTTAAAAATTTAATATACATATAGGTTTAAAGAAAAGTTTTTATGTGGGTACCTAGCTAACTATATATACCCTAAAATAAAACTATAGCTTCATATATATACCTATCATCATCTCATCTTACGGCTTATCCATTGAAAAATATAGGCCTTTTCACTCAGGTCGGCTATAATCCTCATTTTGCATGTATCAAGAGTAAAATGCTTTACGCTATATCATCCTGTAAGTCACTCCAAACCCGTCTTCCTTTCCCCCATCTTCCAACCTTCGATAAATCTACGTATATAGTCGGTCTAAAATAAATACCTACTTATTACCGATATTTCAAAACCCATTCAAAACAACAAGTGTTATTTAAATATACGGTGGACTAGTGCTTTAGCACATTACCTGACATCCTATGGTTATAGGTTCGGCAACACCAACATTTGTATTCAATAGATAGCATCCAGAACTATACAAACAGGTAACTTCTGTTTGTATTGGTCTAGATGCGTTTATACAGGTATGTGGTAGTAGAAGTGCGCTACTACTATTTGCAAATTAAATTGATTTACCTATCTCTATCAGTTGTCTAGTGCCTATCTACTTAGTTTTAAACTAACGCGATGTGAGTTGTCAGAATTAAGTAATTGTATAACCTATTGTATAATTATGTATTCTGAATATTTTATCTAAAATAACATTTTAAAATGTCCTAACTTATCTTATAGTAGGTACTATGAAAACTATGAACTCGTCTACAGAATATAAACGTTCAACCTGGAATTGACAAAGTAGGTACTCCATAAAAATATTATTTATTTGAAAATATATCATGACGTTTTTAATAGAAGGAAAGTAGGCAATTGTAAAGGATTACTTTACTTCTATTATGTTATCTGTGCTTCTACTATGTATCATGTCGTTCCACATATAATGTTCAGCTTCTGCAAAAGGTGAGGTTTTCCAAGGTTTTCAACTTCGCCCTTATGTCTTTGAGCATAATTTTAACCACTAACTAAATATAGGTACCTAACTATTTATTTTTAGGACGTTAATGCAGTCACTCTCCTATAGCGATAAGTTTTAGGTGCCTACCAATATAGTACAAGAATAGTTTATTTTAATTTATTTTAAGTAACATGGTTAATTAATTATTTGTATGGATTTGTTAAAACTATAAAATTTTATGTTAATTTATAAATCTACTGAAAAGGGTGGCTGATAAAAGTTATGTTTTTCAAAGATGCAGGAATGCAAGTAAGTATTTATATGGTGATCAAGGTACGTAGTAAAAGCAAGACTTTGACGAATTTTTAATACAATTAATACAATTTCTAAATAGTAGAAATATTCGAGTATTATGGATATTCTTTATAAAAATCGATTACTTAATCAATTATTTTTAAAACCATTGTTTTTTTAGATAATATTAGTTGAGAAATGTGATGAAAAAATCGTCCGTAATTAAATATCAATTATTTATAATCTCCAACAGATAAAGTTATATTTATTGAGTAATAGGCAAAATTTTGGATAACCATTTTTTTTTTCGTTCGATTTTTGCCTTTTTGCCTTTACTTACATTGACATCCCTAATTTAAGTGACATCCTGCGTCAATCTGACAACTCCGAATGACTTTGACTTGATTTGTTTACAAGAAATAGCTGATACGTAATACACGTCACTCAGGCAGGTATAATAATAAATAAACACAATATTTTTATAACTGTATGTAAACCATTAATAACAAAAAAATTTCATTTAACTAATCTCTCACTTATTCATATCGTATAAAAATTACAATAGGTAATAAATTGTGCAAACTTGTGTTCATATAGAACATATTAGTGTGTGATTGGTAAATTAAAATTTACTTATAAAAATAGATTACAGATATTATATCTACCCACTATCTTAACATTGTTCGTATTGCTAATCTATTCGATGCGTACTATCTATACTTTGGGTAAGTACACGTACGCTTCTATTTATGACTTGTATAAAACATTGGTGTTTGAAAAAACTGACCTTGGAATTAGAATGATTCATATAAACCAGGAATGGGCAGTATGCGCAACGCACAGTGATTGTTAGCCGGCCGGCTGGTGACATCATCGATAACAATTTTAGTAACACCCCATTTTTCCTATACTACTAATTATAAAAAGCTATTTCAAGCAAAATTAATAACATCTCTTTCAGTTTCACTGTTGATAGTATTACAAAGCAGCTTTTCGTCGACGAACATGGACGCCCAAAACTTATCAAGGGAAATAATTAAATTTTCAGCCAAGTTCTGTAATGTGAGTATGAGATATATTTTATGATATTTAATTATAATTATGAAAAACTATATGCATATCTTAGTTCATGGAATGTATTTTAATGATGAACATAAATATATGTATTAATTATATAATTATTTGATAATATTGGTTAATATTTATATAAAATTTATTAATTATTATTTAAATTTGACTAATATGTGGATTCCTGAGTATGTGTCCAAGTAGTATAATTTAAGACAACTAATACATGCCTTTTTTGCCTTATAAATGTGTAAAATTTTTAGTAGTTTTAAAATAATTTTATGAATGTATCAATATACTCTAATAATTTACTTTTTAATTACAAAGACTGTTAATTATACAACTTTATTTTGAATTGGAATATGTTGGCAAGATATTATTGAGAATTTTGATGGTTTAACAATAAGGTTGTTTGGATGTAAGCTTGGAGCAAGCTCTGAAAATACAATAAATTTTTTTTGCCTTGTAAAATAATTTTGAGATACACTCCATACATTATAGATAAATATAAAAAAATATCAGAAGAACAAGACATTGCCTATGCCATAAGACCATATTTTGTACCTTATTACTTTAAGTGCTTTATCATTTAGTTCTAATGCAATAAAGATTTATTAAATAAGAGAAGCCAAAACAACAGGTTTATTCAAACATCACAAAAAACTTTGTGTAGAATACAATATAGTTTTCAGTTATGTATTACTTTAACATTAGTAGGCAATACATATAGGCATTAACTGAAGATTTGGCTCTATTTTGCCATCTATCTTCTGGTCACTAGTACCTATTATGACCAAAATATTATCTGCTTGTTTCTAGGAGCTTCCTAATAATGTGAGTGCTATTTCATCACCTCTGTCTGCAGAGTATTTATTAGCACTCTTAGCCCTGGGCACATCTGACATCGCACACACTGAGCTACTTACTTCACTTGGAATACCGGATGATAATTCAGTATGTATCACATAATAATCTGGTATTTAGTTTTTTTTATATTCAGCATATCAGTTATCATAATAAAAAAGTAGGCAATTGAAGTTACTTATTAATTATCAGTTGATTTTAAAAAGGAGTAAACTTTTTATTGCATTATTATGCTATTAGAATATATAGTAGTAAGGATTGACTAAGTATGACTATTGAAATATATTTCAATTCTAAGTAGGTACATAAATATATTACCTACTCCAATTTTTGTATTATTATTATATTATATTATATATTTTTTTTTTTGCAAAAGATCTTTAGCTTCTGATATTTAATGTTACTTAACACTATTATATTATTGTATAGGAATTTATTGAATCCAAATCATTTCCAGATTCGTACAGCTTTCTCTTCGGTGTCATCCAAACTGAAATCAATTAAAGGTGTAACTCTGAGTGTTGCCAATAATGTGTACATTATGGAGGGGCAGTATGACCTAAGTCCCGATCTCAAGACTGATGCTATAGATGTGTTTGATGCTGGCATTGAAAAATTGAATTTCAATGAGAATGTTGCTTCTGCAAATCACATAAACCAATGGGTAAATATGAGACTTGATATGTACAAGGTTTTACCCACGTCATTACTCCCATTAATGTCAAATTTATTCATTATAAATAGTAAACAATGAGTCTGCTATGTTTAAAGACAATAGGATAGAGCAATAAAATTATTCATGTACTTTTTTCCCCTCTTTCATCGAACCTCTTATAAGTGTATCCCGAAAAAAATTGCCTATAACCATTTCCAATGTCCTATATAAATACTATAAAGCATCATAATCGATTCAGCGGTTTGGGCGTGAATATGTAACAAACTTGTATTCCTATTTATAATATTAGGAAATATATACTAATAAAACACAATGTTTCGCCACATTGTTTTCGTTTTTGCACCATGCACAGTTGTAAAGTAAATTGAGTGTTAGTGTTGTAAAGTAAACTGAAAATCGGCTACTATCTATTTTTCATACCCCTAAGTGGTAAGGGATATCCACCCCTAAATATATATTTTTTTTTAGACATAATATTTTATTTTCATTTTATTATTATTTAGGATTGAAAAATACATACAACCCTAAATTTTCACTCTTCTAGCATCAACCCCTATTTTTTAATAGCCTTTTTAATTTATATGGCAAAACAATGTTTGCAGGGACAGCTAGTATTGGTATATAGGTATATATTATAATCTAATGTCTTTTTTTTTTCAGGTGGAGAGTAAAACAAATAGCAAAATTAAAAATCTGATTTCTGCAGATAGCCTCAACAGCGACACCAGACTTGTGCTTGTTAATGCTTTATATTTCAAGGTATAATATCTACATATGCATGTGTAATATTTTTACATAAGAGAAAGTTTTCTAACCCTTTATAATACTATCTCTCTATTTATATAAAGTTTATGTTCCTTAAACATAAGCACCTACCAAATTATCAGCATTCCATACTACAAGGTTTATTGCCGTAACAAGTTGCGACTCAAGTAGTTAATATTATCAGCCAATGAGTTATTAAACACAACAGAGAAACAAATAAATTAATAAAAAAAAACTACAAGGTTTAGTCTTTGTTAAATATATTGTTATAATAAATGTTATATCTAAGTACAAATAAATTATTTAAAAGAAAAATTTCATATGTGGTATGAATTCAAAAAATTTAATTGTAAACAGCGAAGTGCCTTTAAGTAGGTCTATATTTTGTAGTAAGGTAGTTGTTCGCTTTTAGAAGCTACCAAAGCATACTGTATCTAATGGTCCAACAGCTGTTTACGGTCAATTTACACACAAGTATCTATTTGCATTTAAAAAATATGTATTTTTTTATGTAAAATAAAGCATTATGGTGCACCCACTTTATGTATCCACATCTTGAGGAGTTCTGTTATGAATATTTAAATAAGATATTGTTTTAATATAACGACAAGGATCCCTATGAAAATATCAATAATATAATAAAACGTGTGAAAAAATACAAAAAAAATTTGGCTACAGAAATTATTGACAAGAGAGATTTACGACAGTTTTATAATGGACATTAATATCTACAGAAAAGGCCACGATACGAAACTCACTGTTACAGTTATGTCAAAATTACTACTTTTGATGTTAAAATATGCAATAGTAATGCCGGTACAAACTTAGCCACAAATATTTTGGGGTGGATCTCAACGACATAAAAAATAACATTAGATTTGAAAGAGGTAACTATTATGTGAAGCAGAGATACTATACGAAAAAGCTTATATTAAAAAAAATTCAATTATATAAGTATATTTTTACCACTACTAACTATCTACGTGCTACATAACCAAATAAAACATTTCTCAAAGGCCATTTGAAAAGAAATAATTGATGTCCATCTTGTTAGGTTGTCGAACAAAAAGTGAAGGAAGTAGGTAGTAAGGAGTAACATGAAACACTAACAAAACTGCTTATAAAAACATTGGAAAACAATTAACGCGCCCGAGTGCAAATCATCGACTGACATCTGTTGGCGGAAAAAACACATTAAATTCCATCATTATAATTAGATTTCCTGATCCTAGATGTAGATTTCCTGCTAGCAAGAAATCTAAATTTGGTATCTCCGACCCGATACAATATTGAAACCTTCTAGGAATCAGCCTATTTCTTAGAAGGCTGGCAACGCACTTGCTATTTCTCTGGTATATGCTCATGGGCGGTGGAAATCACTTACCTTCAAAGAACCGCAAGCTCGTTTGTCCCCTATGCCAGTGGTGCGCGACCTTTCTTCCTTTGCGACGCCCATTTTTTTTTTAATTGTTGCGGCCCCTGTGTATACATTAGAGACTTTTTTTTAATAATCAACGTAGTTAAAATGAAACTATTTCTGAAATTTCCTTTTATTAGAGGTTTTTACACAATAAACAAATTTGTGAAACAATGGTTTTATTATATTTTTTATTGTTATATAAAGTTCTTTAAATTTAGCGAACCGGAAAATTTTTCTCGTGACCCCTCTGGCGGTCGCGACCCACGTGTTGCGTACCTCTGCCCTATGCTAGAAAAAAAAAACTATAATGCTCAATTGTCTTATAGTTTTTAATGTATAATGACATTGTTTATGTATAATCATATAAAGGTAATGCCGATTATTTTTGTCCGCAGGGAACATGGGCAAAACAATTTGATAAACAGCTTACTTCAAATCAGCCATTTGACGTGAATAATAACACAAAAATAAATGTGCCTATGATGTTTAAAGAAGATACATTCGTGTATGGAGAGAGTGCGGGGCTGCAGGCTCAGGTATGTCATTGTTTTGATTTGCAGTTGTGCCAACAGTGTCATCCACAGAAATCTGTTGTCATCCAGTAGTTTTAGCTATATATATTACTAGCTGCACTACGTACTGAATTTAACTTTATTTATTCTAAAATAAAAGTAGTCTTAAGTTACTCTGTATTATATTAGCTACCTGCCAAAAAAAGTCCCATCAAAATCGGTCCAGCCATGTCAGAGATTAACCGGAACAAACAGACAGAAAAAAATACAAAAATGTGATTTTGCTTATGTTTTTATATTCATATGATCGGATGAATATTACAAACAACACCATCATTTGTATATAGATGAATATAAAATGAAAATGTAAAAAGGATATAAAGCATCATCATCTGCTATATTTTTAATTTCATTTATGTTAGAAAAGTAGGATCTGCTCGCGTAAAATATTTATGTTTTTTCAACTTGACCATTCATCCACATTTGTTCGAAACAGTCTTTTACAATTAGAATTTTTACTTTGTCTACCCTTCAATTTTAGCTAAATAGGTATAATACTTAAACCATATGGATAGTATCATCTTTCACACAGTCCATCCATACAATGTGATGCTTGTTTAGATCGGATGAATTTACCAACACCATCATTTTTGATGTAGATTGGCCACTGATTAAGATATATTTATTTATTTAACTTCAATGCATACAATACAATATATAGTACCTACAGTACATTTGGCGGACTTAATACTATGCGGCACATATATCTCTCTATGTTATTATTAATTCTTATATTATTAACACATGAATACTGTGTTAATACGTAAGAATGAATAAAACTATTCTACGTATGCAATAATTTATAAGTTTTGATAAGAAATTTTATAAGTTGTTAACAATATCACCTGATAAAAACCGATCGAAGCTCGATGTACATCTACGAAATTATCTTATTCAAGATGGCTACAGTCTCGTAGTTTGTTAAAACTTGTCAAAGTTTTAAACTGAGAGGATGAAGTAGCATATGGATAACCAGGTACACCATAAGACATTTCCTGGAGTCTGTGATCAGTACTTTTGTAATGCACTTTTTAACATAAAATTTTTGTTCTTTATTATTTTTATGATAGACACATATAACCACGTGGTCTGTCAGTCTGTTTTCGAATATAGATGGCATTTCAAAAATTTGGACTAATAGTTATATCACAATTAAATTATTTTTTCCTTTCCAGCTATTACGAATGGATTATATTGGCAAAGAGGCAAGCCTGTTGGTTATACTGCCCAATGAAATTGAGGGCTTGGGTGGTGTACTACAGAAGTTATCAAATGGTTATGATCTACTGAATGATCTGAGTAAAATGTATTCTACCAAAGTGCGCGTCACACTGCCCAAGTTCAAAATTGAAACGGAAATAGATTTAACTACTCTATTACCGAAGGTAAGAGTGCTTGTATTTGATTTGTTATAGATTCGTTTAATTATAAATGGCCTTTGTTAACGTTAACTAATACGAAATTGTATTTATTTTAAAGCTTGGAATTAAACAAATATTCAAACAAGAAAACTCAGGTTTAACTAAGGTGTTAAACACTCCTGAACAACTTTATGTATCTAAAGCCCTACAAAAGGCATTCATTGAAGTGAACGAAGAAGGAGCCGAAGCCGCAGCTGCTACCGGTAAGTGTCCATGCTCAATCTCAAATCACTGTTCATTCAACAATCACAATTTCATGGAATCTGTTAATATGAAGTTACATTAAAAAAACTAAAACTATAGAATAAGTGCTACAATATACAACTAAGAGGAGTTGCTTGTAAACATTCTTGTGCAACTAGAATGCTCGTATATATATAAAATTTATTTATTTAAAAAATAAGCTAATATAATGTGCAAAACAAGCATTGAGCGTATAGTGTAACTTCATTTTAACATCCGTTTATCAATAGTATTTGAAGTCTTTTAGCTGATTCAAATGTGTTTCGTAAATTGTTTTTCCAAATTATACATAACAAGTTTTTATGAACATTTTATTTATGACACAAACATACTGATTTAAAACAGTATATATGCAAAACAATGTTATTGAAAATCTATGAATATAAAAAAGGACAGTAATCTCTTAATTTTATCGCATCCGACAGACTCTTTGAGTCGATATTAATTCAAAAAATATACAAATGTTTTAAAAGGCGATCAAATGCTATTGAGTTGTAAGACTGGTATAATTAGTTATAAGTGAAATAAAAAATGGCCCTACTTCTTTATAGTGACTTATTAAATAAGAATGTTTCTAGTTTTGGAATGCTTTATAATAATATTTATTGCACACCTCACCATTTACTCCACTTGATAAGCACAAAAACTCTCTCGAGCAATTTAATTAACGTTTCTTAAGTTTACACAGAGTAAGTTTATTAATAATGAAATATCATTTATATTTGAATCGAAAATTAGAGACATAAGTACACTAGCCTAGTATCACTGTTGTCACATATGCAAATATTACGAAGTATATGAATTCTATCTAACAAATATTTAACATTGGTACTATCGCCTAATTGGTTATGGGACGTGTTATGCGTGCATACAGTGTGTGGGTTTGGTGTTTATATTTTTTATTAAATAATAGGATAGTGCATTAAATGACATAACATTAACTGCCATTTCTCTAAACTCTTTAAGCGAGATAAAGACATTATATGTGATGTTTCGTGTCTTTCAATCTCATATTATATTAAACATCGTTATAAATATAGACGTTACTTATTACAAATTTTACAAACGGTACATTAAACTTAATAAATGTATTAACGGACGATATTCAGCTCAAACTTGTTAATACTGGCATTATAAATAAAAACTCAAAATTACTAATGGAAAAGAAAGACCCCAATCAACGCAAATACCTAATCCAAAGTAGTATTTCTATTTAGTATTTTAACATAAAAAAGTTTTTATTAAAATAATATAGAGTATTTGTTCTCCGTTTGCACAAGAAACAGTGCATGGGTATTTAAAATATTGTACTCAATATAGTGTTAATTTTTGGATTCTACTTTTAGGTAATTTATTATGTATATATGCCCATATTTTATGTATTATTATGGTATTGTATTACTTATTTTAAACTAATTAATATTTTATAACTTAATTGCTTTTTTCAATTCAGTCAAGAGAAATTACTTTATTTTCAATATCGAAAAGAAAGGCAGTGTTCTTACAAAAACAGTACAATACTTTCAAGCACTTTTATATAATTTATATTGTAAATATGTCTTTTTATTATTTTAAATATAATTTGTATTTATTATATTTCTATTTTCTACACACTTGCTATTTGTATTACTTATTTAAAAAGGCTTTATAAAAATATTTTGTCACATCATACTATAATAAAATTATTTCGTATAATAAAGTTTTGATTTCCTCGTTATATAAGTTATTTTTAATAAATTCCTCTAGTAAGGGGTCTTTCTTATTTTGTTTGGGTTTATATCTTTATAGTGCTAAATACTGGTTGACGTGTATATAAGTGGGTTTGCTACAAAAAGGGACGTGTGGTGTTGCTTGTTATATTTTAAGAGTTTTTTGGGAACGGTACTTATAAATGTTTGATCGTGGATTGTCAATGGGCTATATATTTGTGTGCGTGCACGTGGGCAGCCGGCGCAGTGCGTGTGCGTCGCTCTTTAGCCAGCGTGCACGTGTTCGCGGCCACCCGGCCGGCGCTGTGGTGCGTACTGGTGGATCACCACGTGATACTGGTGGCGAGCTACCAGCCGCCGGCGCCACCGCAGCGCGACGAGCTTTAGTGGTGTATGTCCGCGCAGGCATGGTGTTGATGATGCGGTGTGCACCTCTGCCGTCCCCGGAGTTCCGCGCCGATCGACCCTTCCTCTACCTCCTCCAAGGCTCCGAGCAACCCACACTTTTCATCGGTGTCTACCGAGGACAAAACTAAAAGCACGCGATCAACGATGAACTCTGCACCTCGCACGTTGTTCCAAAAAAGAACGGTAGCTTTCGATTATATAGATGTACACAATAAACAGTATGTAATACTATTGTTGTTATTTTAAGCTATTATGAATATAAAATTTTCATAAACATCGCACAACATTTGTGTAGTATTCCTATGTAAAATCTGTATGTTTTGGGAATAAATTAATGGAAAGCAATTCTATGATATTCTAAAAAGAACTATCACTATTCGTTCAAATTTGTCGAGGATAAACAACATATATTTAACGGAAACCGTCCAATTTTACGTATTGGCAGTCTGTTAGAAAATTATAGACATTTATGCTGTATATCTATTTTAAACAGATTTCTATATTAATGTTATATGTAAAGCATATGTGGCGATAGACTCTAAACATATAACATTAATATAGAAATTCACCAGATAACGTTTCAGTTTGGGAATATTCTTTTATTTGTTTATGATAATACAAATGATATGGTACAAATAATAATATGCATTGCGTTTCATGAGTTAAGCACTAAATCTTTATTATATGTAGATAAATGTTTAATTTAAGAACTGTCTTTAAGATAACGCCTAAATGTAGGCTAAAATGAAAATCGTAGCAGTTTAATGTTTAAAAAATATGCTATTACCACACTTGTGGTATATATATAATACTTTGTGCGTTATTATTGAACACTAATAAAATTGTAGAAAAAGGTAATTTATTTATTGATATTATATTAATTTTTAATCCGAATGTTTACAGTGAAAAAACTTCAAATTTTAGTTGTCACCCACATTATACGCACCATTTTGTATTTCTACACTTATCACATTACCCGAGTATTATATTTATAGTAAACCAAGGCAGACTAAAATAGTTCTAAACATAAGGTCTAATAGGATTAATAGCTAATTACACAGACACAACCGATACATACTTGCCTACTTATGTGTCGTCTATGCTTGAGGTGGTTGTATTTTTGTAGTACCTAATCATTTTTTTTTAATTGTTTGGATATTATAGTAATAATTTATATTAAACATTAATAGGTACAATAGTATAGAACGAATATTTATTTGGTATTTTTGTATATTCAATGAATTTCAGTGATGGCTGTGATGATGTGCTCCGCCATAATAGATCCGCCGCCAGTGCCTAACTTCTGCGCAGATCGACCATTCTTGGCTGTTATTTTGGTCGACGACGTACCATTCTTTTATACCAAGTTCCAAGGCTTGGAGTAATAATTATGCTTGATAACAAAAAATACTGCTTGATTTATTTATTACAGGTTTAATATATTATTATATTAAGCATATGGGTTTGTTAATGTAACTTGTAGATACGTAAGAATTAATTATTGTTATCAATATTGTTTTAATACTATAATTTGTGAAAGTCTATAATAAAAATATTTCTCATGACAGCAGAGTATATAATGTATCACTAAGATTGTATCATACCTACTCACTCAGAATCATACAAAAGGGGTGTATGCTTAACGTCTGATTCGCTGATAGTTATGCTGAAGTGACAAACTATTGTAAAATTTCTTTATTGGCAGATAACAATACTGCAATGTGTTTATGTTTGATAGAACGTATGTTTCTAGTTTGAAATTGTAAAATTGAATAACTTTTCTATCAATAAGACAGCCGTTGCTGAATTCAATGTTAAATGTTTCTAAGTAATTTGCGCGGTAAGCAACATAAGTCATTCGACAAAAAGCATGCTAAGTAGAAGAAATATAAGCGTCTACTGGAAAATGTTTTGGAATATTAATAATTACTTATTAAGATTTTGACGATTGTCAATTTATGCACCTCAAAAATTGTGTGGGAAATACCATTGTAATGAAACCAAAATACTAATGAATTTATGTCCTATTCATTTTTATTTACATGCCTTGGTTAAAATATCCATATAAAACAGATAAATAGTTTATTGTAATCGTTTTATTAGGTTAAAAATTTTAGTAATTACATACAAAGTTTTTTACGAGAAGGTTAAGAAGCTTCCCGTAAATGTTTGAAGCCAATATCTATCAGCTTTAGTTTTTGATATGTGTAATGGTTAATTTTGTAAAAAATGTACTAGTAATAATAGTTTCAACAACAACAAATGATCTGTACAATGATTAAGATACATAAGATGTATAAGATAATGTGTATGTGTATAGGTCTCGCTTCAAACTGTAGCAGTAATATTTAAATCCTATCTACTGTTATATCTTTTCTTCAACAATTCCACCAATTATACCTTACAATTAGTGGAGTTATTCTCCGTATTCATCATAAAAGTGGCCAAGATCTTCACAAGAGTAGTCCAGATCAAAGTTTAAATCAGAGATGGTCAAAAATCGCGCTATTTCTTGGTGGTAATATTGAGTGCTAACTTACTGTTTTTCTAAAAGCGTGTGACTGTGACTGCTTTTTTGTCAAATTAAGGGCTCTCATTAACTAATTGATTTCGTTTTAGACAAAAACTCGAGTATGTATATGAAAAACAAAAGCTGATATATTTTATTATTGAAATACAATTAGAAGGGATTAAAATTCGGAATATAAAGGTTATAATTAAATTTGTAACTATGTATACATCTATTTCAGGGTTCGGATTAGAACTGCTTTGCTATATTGAAAAGCCTCCAGTGCCCGTCTTCTGTGCTGATCGACCATTCTTGGCTGTTATTTTGTTTCAAAATATGCCCTTCTTTTGTACCACGTTTCATGGTTCAAAATTTCCAGGCTTTATTTAATTAGGTTTGTTACTATATATTATTTTGCATTTTTTACTGACGATAAGTAGGTAGTCACGCATTTACTATTGTATTGATGGATTGTCCCTATATTCGATATCTGGATGCCTTTATTGTAAAAGCTTTAAATTTGTCTAGTAACAGTTTTTTAGTCTCTATACACTGATTGTTAATGATTGTTAAATGCTTATTATATTTACCGTAATACAAGTATTATTTTATTACTCACGTTTTCATTTACAAAATAATTTACATACCTCCACGAGCGTTATCCCTGATGAGGTAGTCAGAAGCATTGCCAACTGTCAACGTGTGGTGAAGGCATACTTACCATACCTAACATTTGAACAATACATAAATGAATACATAACATTTTGAATAATACATATTTGAATTCGGCAGCGTGTCAAGTGAATGTTTACAACCGTGTCTCGGTTTAATTCCGTTTATTATCGATGTTTCCATCAGAGAGACAGTCATATCTATAAATATAAACACACAATTGTTTAGTTGTGGCGAATACCTCGGTATTAGAAGTGTGTTATTTAGGTGAGTGAAATAATATATTTTACACCACATGATATTATGACAAATAAATTCTTTGAAATGTATTTTTTATACCGACCACAACTTGGAATAAAATAAAGGCGCTCGGGCGTCAGTGCCGAGCATATGGAGTTATCAGCATTTACAAAACATAATAGAAAGAAAAAGAATAACTTGACACAAGAAGAAAATTACCAGAAATAATTTATATAATGCGTAACAAACTTAGAAAAATTTAAACTCGATCAAAATGATGATATTTCTAAATTTATTATCAGGAATAATACCATACCTACCAGGAGATTTTTTTTGTAATGGCAAATAAGATGAGAGACCACCTGATGGTTAATGGTAACAGTCGTTCGTGTACATAAACCACACTAATCATGTCATATGACGCCGGTGACACCACTTAAGCGCTGTCATTGGAGTCTAGTGGAAGGACAAAGTGGTTATGCGTCTTATCCTGTAATATTTCAGACTTTACTGAAACACATCTCACAAAGCAAACTGTTTTTTAGAAGGTCTACCTCGGGTAAATATCAAAGTGCTTCTACGTATTAACTAGTATATCCCCTAATTTACTCAGATCGGTAAAAAACATCATGGACGTGGGTCCAATTTAACGTGTATTTCATTGAATATCTTGAGTATAGGTACCTATGTAGGTATGCCATACCTACCTTTTGTTAATTATCTTAAATACACATATACTAGTACGTCTTATCTATACAAAAGCCCACCTTATGGAACCTCACCATGGATACAAACCCTCAGCATATACTGGAAGCTACAAACCTTTCCTTGGACTAATCTGCAATGCCTTGAAATTTTCCTATCACATCTTATTATTTGAAACTAATCGTAGCTGCATGGCGGCAGCAATGAAGTATCTCATATCTTGTAGTATCCAAATTACCTATAGGAAGAAAATTAATATCGTTAACATGTACAATTTAAAAAAGCAATAGCTTCGGCGATTCTGTCAACCACAGCTTGCTGGTAGAGCTGCAGATCATCTGCATACAAATGGTAAGAGCATTTGAGGTTAGTGGTGATGAAATTAATGAAAATAGAAAAGAGTAAAGGAAATAGTACCTATATCTACCGCCTTGAGGGACAATATGTCCTTAATATTCACTTAAGGTATATAAATATTTATTGCCGAAATATGTACATAAAGTAGGTGCCTACATAGGCATGTTAATTAAAAATCTTAATTTTGAAGCAGTACCTATTAGGCACTTACTTAGCATAAGCGGAACAGAATGTATTTACTACAGTTATGGCTGTAAACTCACATTGTTTTTAGTTTGATAAGACGGTGCTGGTCGGTTTGCGTGACCGTCGTGTTTTCAATTTAATCGTATTTTCGGTTTAGGAAATAATTACAGTTCAAATAGATTCACATAGGTATCATTTAGCTAAAAAATATTTCGCGATGTAATAATGCAGATTGCCGTTTAAAACCATTAATTATTATTTTCAGTGTTACAAAATTCAAATATAGTAAAAAAAACAATTGAACATTATTATAATGAATAATAAAATAAGTGTGTTAGTTGTGTTATTATATATTAAAGTTGCTAAGATGACTGTTATAGCTTATGATACATCATATTTCAGTACATTTGGACGATGGCCAGGTTTTTCTCGACCTCTAGTGTCTATGCGAAACCAGCAATCGATATCTTACAGATGTTATTTTCCTATAGAATGGAGGAATTGTTTCTTTACGCCCAATGATAACGTATTTGCTACTTCTTATTTGAACGCTGAGACCGGTATTAAACAATCAAGAAATATACAACAACTAAATGGCCTAATTTATCAAAGTAATCGTAATTTTAATTTAGTCGGCAAACTTCAACCTTATATTTCAATGTATGATAGTCCCAATTTTACATTAAGACCATTTAAATCTATACATTCGCACATACCGTATAATAGAAGAAAATTACTAGATGCCAATAAAAATAAATTGTTGTTATCGTTAGCAGCATCCACTCCATCTTATATATTACCTAAAAATGGTAGTATTATACAAACAAGTAACAGAACATTCATTGCGGCACCTACATCAAAAAAGTTATTACCTTCAAATTATACGAGTGAAACAAACGTAAAAACAAATAAAATGTTACTATTAAGTGAATTTAATAAAGCTCTTGACAAATTAGAACGAAAATTTTATATGGTGAGTATAATAAATGACTATTCGTATATAAACACGGTTTCTGTTAATACCATATGGATTTTGTGAATGATGCTTTTTATAGTAGATAGTGTCTGTTTATATGTTACTTCCTTAAATTGATGTGTATAGTTACTAATTTTGGTCCTGGTTAAAATGCGTTGTTTTAGAATAAAAATATGGGAAAGACTTTGATAGACAAGTTGTATAGTGAGCAGATAGGATATGCACCGTAGATCAAATTTTGTACTCTGGTATCTACTGTTCTTTTTAAATATAATTAATACTACACCGACGTACAATGTAAGTTAGTTGTTTCTTTTTGTTGTTTATTAGCCACCAAATATGGTACTAATACGATACTGCTCAAAATAGATTATAAATAGGTACGAAATGGCGCAATCTGATGTCATTGAAAAGGAATTCGTATCTAGAGTAGGTACTGAATTTTTCTTAACAACATAACAAAGAGAAATTATCCATTTCTAACATCACATACCATACATACATCATAACTCTAATTTCTATATATAACTACATAATATCACGTCACGAATACACGAAACGAATCAATTTTCATCTCATTTGTTACAAATAATATAGCTACATGCGTATCTATTGTTATTGAGCATGTCTAATATTTGTAAAATACTTATTTGTATAATATTATATAAATATCTTTACGTTACTTTTCCACATTTATGTATCTTGATACTGTGCTGTCGTTACATACTTTCTCGTAAAGGTTTGGACGTAGATATGTGATAAGAGTATTTAGCGGATTTCATTGGTGTTCTATTACGGGACACTATACCGGGAAGAAGGGATTGTTAGTAATGGAGGTTAATGGGACCACTGAAGAATCACTCCTTGATACTATTTAATGTTGTTAATTTCTGTTGAATTAGCCATGATGAATTAATCATCTGTTTTTACTTCAATCTTTTATTCTTAAATCTTATTTCCGCGAGTGTAAATACTTAAGTCATTCTGTATGTAGGCCTCCTTGATTTTTTCGATAAAATTCATTATTACATTTCTCTTTCTTTATCTTTCGATCCTGTAGCAATTACAAAAATATTAGGTACCTGTGCATTTGCATTACTTTTATTCTGTAAACATATGTAGTAGGTATACACGAATTCGACTAGCAGACTGAATATGAACTAGGTATATCTACATAAGCTTACAATAAGTAAAGATTTCTTATATCTAATAACTAAATGCAAAATGTTACAAAAATTACAGCAAATTTAATTTATTTAATAAACCACCTATTTCTTAAAATAGTTAGAAAAGGTATCTAATATTTGCAAGAAATTGTTTTAGGTAACATTTTTAAAATTATCATCCATAAGTCCAGTAGAACGTCGTGAGAATGGAATCAGCTTTGTCCAATCGGCACTATTTCTGCAACTGCTTCTGATGACTATTTCAACCGAAGTGAATTCCAGTACAAAAACAGAGATTGATGATAGCATAGGACTTCATATTACTGATGCAGTATGTATTTACGTAGATACTATATTGTTGAGTTTACTAATTTAACTGTACCCGAGACTTCATGTTCGAACGGTTTTTTCCTTATGTTTTTTTTTTGTATTTATAGAATTTTGCCACAGTCGACCTCATATGTAAGTAATACCTTTTACCTGTTTGAGACAAACTGTAGTAACATTTTGTCCGTACAAAATTTGAAACTCGTCGCGAATACGTATTATTTTATATAGATGAGAGGTCAGAATATAAATTGTTGTTTAAATAACTACTGAATCAGTTCCGAATGAATTTTTAAAATGTATTAATTATTTCACCTTCGCCGTTCAAAGAGCATCGGAACCTAGTGGTTTGCCGATAACAAAGAAAGGTTGAGAACAAAATACTTTGTGCGTGAAACAGTGACTAACTGCCAGTTCGGTGTTGAAAAGACTGATAGCAAATTATATGATTGTTTCTATAATACACCTATAGTATTATCCCTAGGATAAAATCGATCTTATCAAGGAAATTATTGCAACATTACCAAGTACGGACATGGATCTCGTGTTTCGGTGGCAGTCACGGCTGGCTGTGGGGGCCAATCAAAATGTCAGTGGACAGTTCACAAACGGTGCCGCTGCTGCATTGCAACTGCACTTAGTCCATTTTAATGTCTCAGAGTCGCCCCAGACACTCGCACAGAAACTTAATCGAATGGTAAGTAATTTTTGTATGCAACATGAACTATTATCTATCTTATGTTAGTAATCAAATAGAGCCCGCATCCTTTTTCAGTTCACAATATTATAATAATAATATAATAAAACTATTATGAAAAAGTTAAATAAATACTTTTTTCGAATTTGAATGGCAAACAAGCCAGAGCCAACCTACATTTGTTGGGAAGTGGCAACTATCTACTTTATATAATAGTGTGTAATCTACACAGCCCACCTAATAGTAGACATAGTGGCAACCGTTGTCAGGACTTCACTTCACTTCACTGGCAGGACTTCCTCATCTGACGATTAGTATTCCCCTCAGTATCCTTTCCGGAGAACTAGGAAGTCAGGCTTGTAATTTCATTGCATCAAACGATACACCAATTTAAAAAGTGTAATTCCCGTAATGTAATTAGGTAGAAGAAGATTCCAAAGGTGCAATGCACGATACCTTTGAAGAAGACGAGTTTTCCGAAGGCTTGCGAGCTCTGGCAATGAACACAGTGTACTTCCGCGCCCGCTGGCGTTCTGCTCCCACTGTACTAAATGGCTCACGGCAGTTCCGCGACGCTGATGCCGCCCCTAGCAGGACTGTGCGTATGATACGCATCAATGACATCATGCGATACGGCGACTTGCCAGAATGCAATGCTGAGGTTAGTCATTTTGTCATCTATACCTGTTAATCTGTTCCATGTCATGTTAGGAATGACATGGAACAGATTAACAGGTATAGATAATAGTACGAATTTGTCTATACGCTAGTTTCAAATTTAAATAGTTTTTATTTACTCTCCGATTGTGATTGAGAATGTAATGCAAAATTTGCAAATTAGTTTTTTCTTTTTTTGCAAGTCAGACTTATACTATAAATATTATTATATTAACCTCATACGTAAATATGAGTAGGCTACTACTAAAATATAGTAATTTAAATGAAAACTATAGTCAATTGATTGTCAATACCTAATCATCGCAACAATTCAATTATTATTTAATTTTAATTGTAGATATTTATTTAATTACAATTTGTTTATTCACAAAACAGAGCAATATAATAATATAATAGATTGTATCGGCAGAACTGGATTGTAATCCAACACTTCTATGTAAATTATATAGATTAATATATGATAATGTATTATATAATAAAAAGTAAACTAAATAGAAAATGATATATAATATATATAAATTATCATGTTAACAGAATTTTATTTATATTAAAGAAAAGAAAATTGTATACCTAATGTTAAATATAATTTGTCACTTTACGGTGGAAATTTAACACAGAACTCTAGCGTTGAATGGAAAATATCTATATTTCTATTCGATATATATATTATTATTAAATATCTTACTAGACATATATTATTATTAAATACCTAACTAGACATTATAAAAACCTCAATTGTTAAAACAACTCTTTCCATTCTTTTATTTTCATCAAACTTTGAATAAAAGATGGAAGATTCATTTTTATTTTAAAGTTAATGCTTCATGTGTGATCCTATATAAAATTTACCAAGATATGATCATGTTATTGTGATTAAAGTCGATTTTTCATAACATGAACACGTTATTATTAATTCTGTATATTTTACGACCTCGGTTGTTTAACTATTTAGCATGCAGCCGATTGTCGCTGGTTCAATGAAGAATGTTACTAGGTATACCAAATCGGTCGAAAGTTTGATATAGTCAAGTTTGTATGTATACAAATATACTAGTTTTTGTTTTAGTCAAAAATATCTATTAGTTTTTATTTTATAGGCATTTCAACTTACGATAAATTTTAAGTCCCGCTAACAGTCACGTGACGTGTGACTTAATTTTGTCCGCTCCGCTTAGTAGCGAGTCGTCAGTATTTTGTTTTGTTTTCGTCCGCGCATTACGTTATTATTCTATTAATTAATTAAATGGATGAGGGATTCGAAAAATGGCAATCGTATAATATGCTTAAAATAGGTACATTAATGGTTGCCCATTATTTATCAACAAATAGTGATTTCGTTGACGCCGAAATGCGAGGAATAAAAATGCAAAGGTAAGTTAACTTTTCTTGCTATTTAGAAAATAATTTATCTGTTTTAAACTGTTTTGTTAAAAAAAATACCCAACTGATGTCATATTGTAAGTATTGCAACTCAAATAGGCAGAAGTACCAAACCTTTTAAATTTTACGTTATAGGCAACAAATATGTGTTAGAGTTTTATATCTATAAGTACGTATACGTGAATATAGGTACGTATCTGTGAATATAGGTACCTCTCTTAGTAAATTTAACTAAACACAAATATTGATTTAGAGTGGGTTGAAAATATGTATTAAATCTTTTTTTAATTTTGATTTGTCTTATTAATAAAATACGTAGGCCGTTTTATTTATTTTTATTTGTAACTTATTCCAAGTCGGCAAGAGACAGCTTTGGTGATGATGCTATCGGTTACATACAAGTAAAAAGAGCAAGTGATGTTTGTATGGTCAAATGCAGGATCACGCGCGAACACTGCGTACGTACCACACGGTACCGTTGCAGTTTAGAATGTAATGAAAACAACCAAGAAGTTTTAAACGTAACTTGTTGTTGTTGGATTTTTTTGTGATTATTATAAAAATAACTATTACTTTGGTGGTTGTATTTGTACATTTCGGCACAACACATGATTTTCTAGTATTTGGTTTGGTAATTTTTGAAGATATTTAAAATTTCTAATGAAACGTAAGACGACTCCGTGTTGAGATCGCGAGCGGACTGAGCGAGTGTTGTACTATGACGTCACACCGTCACACGAGTCCGCATCGCACGTTTACTTCTATAAATCAGAAACTACATAATTGACGTATTGAAGTAATTCTTTCACTTATATTTTTTATTTTTGACAGAGGATATGGAGAGCTAATTCTTCATTGTATTCATAAGTTTGATTTTTTGTAGATAATTTTGGGTGTTGTATATTTGTGAATTAACTATTCAAATTTGTAGCTACCTAAATTTACGGTTTATATATTAATTTGTAAGCTGTTGGTTTTCTCATCTATACATAAGTATAAATAAAATTGGAGTGTCTGTTTGTAATATTGAAATAACCGTTTTTTACTACATACCTACATATGAATATAAATACGGCACATGCACCAAAATAACATTTTTTTCAATTTATTGTCTGTCTGTTTGTTCCGGGTAATCCCTGAAATGGCTCGATTTTGACAGGACTTTTATTGGCAGGTTGCAGATGTACCTAATAAGGCTACTTTTATTTTAGAAATATTCTCTAATTAACTTTTTTGTTAAATTCCACGCGGAAAAAGTCACGAGTACAGCTAGTAGGTAATAAATAAAATTATTTATGATAATTATTTCACTATATAGATATTTACTACTTGTAATTTTGTACAGTACCGAATTAAATGGAATGTACCTACATTAGCTTTATAATTCATTTCATTAGCTTTGTAAAAGTTACTCAAAGCCTTCTTTGATATGTTTGGATATAAACAGAGATGTTTACATAGATATTAAATAAAACCATATCAACTTTTTAGTTTTACACAAACACATAGACAAGTATTTAAAATTAAAACAAAGGGGCGTTAATGTATAGAACGCGAAAGAGCATTGGTATATTAGAGTCATACATGATGACATATCTAACGCTCGGAGACAGAGTCGGTGCCAATAACTTGGAATTGGACTAAGAAATAGAAAGATAAAGTAAACATTGTCTTTAAATATTGAAATAATTACCAAATTAAATCTTATGGCGTCTTTAATAAATAAGTTTCAATATGAACACAGATAAGATATTATATAATGATAATTTACAATAATAGTGGTAGTTAGTAGGTATGCTTTATTATTTAATAATCTAAATTTAACAGTATTAAAATAAATTCCCGTAGGTAGTCTATTCAGTACTTATCTTGTATTTAAGTACTAATTCAGAAAACCATCGTCATTATTAAATTAATCACGTCATTTGTTTCTATAATATGTACTAATAAGTTTTAATAATAGATATTTACCTACACAGACGAAAAAAATATTCCTTATATACTACCTACTTTCGATATGTAACATAACATACTACTTATACTTTACTTACTTATACTTTACAAAATAATTAAAAAAATATTAATTAAAACATTAGGTAGGTACCTACCTATAACATTATGTTATAAACACAGGATTTTCTACAGACTATAATAGAATACGAACAAAACACAATTGAAATGTCTTAGTCATACGGGATGTAAATACAAATTAAAATAAAGTAAACTAAGAATATGACAATGAACATGAAACTATTGACTAAATTAGCGAACTGTATCCAATCGGTAGATCGTTTTGTTTCTTCATGAGCATTGCCGTCATCCTCCGCGAGTCTATGTTTGGAAGAGTCACTAGGGTCAAATTCTGTAAAGACTACATACTTCCCAGGTCCACTAGCTAACAGTCGGTTTAAAGATATGATCCAGCCTGGAGCTGGTAGGGCCCGTTTTGTTATCGACATTAGTAATAATGTTACCAATATCGCAGTTAGCGTTACTACCATTGAGTCACGAACAAACAGCAAAATAATAGGGGTATCGGCTCCATGTTTTGGAATATCATATCCGATTTCGGTAAGAAATGTAAAGTGGCCGAAAAGACTGAAGCAGAGTAATATCAGCCTAACATTATCTTTTACGCCAAGGAGCACAGAAGACAATGTTATTAAAACTATTACAATTGACGGTATTACGACTACAGCGGCAGGTCCTGCCGCTTCTCTCTTTAACACAAATGTATACTTCAACATTGGATATGTGTCATTGGGACAACAAGCGTATATTCCTGGTAATCTCTCATTTGTTACTCGTAGTAAACTCCAATCGGATCCATTTTGAAAATCACTCGTGACAATTGGTTGACTGCTATAGAAGGTAAAATTGACTTGTTCTCCTTTATGCATCCAAGATCCGAAATACAAACTACAGTTTTGTACATCATACGGCCAGCGAGTCAACGATGTCCGACAAATACCGGAATGCGCAATATGGGGCACACATGTGACAATTCCTTTGTAATCTACAGTGCAGGTAGTATAAAATAGGTCCGATTGGTACACAGAAGCATCAGCGTTGAAGAGAGCCATACGTGGAGTCCAAATTTCGTGGCTTTCCAATTGCAATTCTTTAATGTCACCGTAATTAGCTGGTTCCCAATGTAAGAACTCATCCAGCCAAGACATTGCAACCCAACTGTGTACAGTAAATGTCTCCTCCAATGAATCGAAGTTTAAATATTTTATTGAGAAGCGAACCTTAACAGTGACTGTTTTTTTATGATCAGTAACAGGACGATGTTCATAACTGTAGGCACATAATAAATCCTTATATAATTTTGCTTCATAATGCATCGGTTCATCGCGTCCTAGTGGACAGTCTTCAGCATTGATGACATGCCACGAGAAAAAAATTATGCAAACACTGATCGTTACGCCCGGATACATGGTTGTTGACTGTGTCTGTAAATTGAAATTCATCTAGTTTTAAATCACTAGTAAATTTGATACGGTACACCGCCCCCTGACGATAACAATTGCCTGATAGAGGTAGATACTTACCATCTGTTGCGTGCTTTATTGTATTTATTTATTTTAGATAGTACCTACGCAAGATATATGCGCTACGCTAAGGTAAAATAATCTTTAATTAGAAAAGTGGACGACCACTTCCAAAACATTATCATATATTCAAATTCACACATACCGGAAATGTCTAATACATTTCTTCCGATGTAGTTCTATCACTATGCCTTTGTAAACTAAAAATTAGCGCTGCTGTGATACTGCAGCACCAGCTTTTCTACATTGTATTATGACAAGCAATGTAAACTGAATAAATGCTTAAATATTCTTCCGATGTAGTTCTATCACTATGCCTTTGTAAACTAAAAATTAGCGCTGCTGTGATACTGCAGCACCAGCTTTTCTACATTGTATTATGACAAGCAATGTAAGCTGAATAAATGCTTAAATAATTAGCACAGGTATTATTGAAGAATACCTAGTTTGTCTTCACGTGTCATAACGTAATCGTAATCACTACGAATAAGTACCTAATGTTCAATAGTCATAGCGATTCTAATACTCAACTAACATTATGTTGAAACTACATTTATGCTGCTATACTTCTGATAACAGCGTACAGCTGTTAAGAATAGAGATGTAGTACAACAGACACATCGGTTCAATTAATACCTATTATTCAAAATATTTCGTGTACCTAGTGTCTGTTGCGGGAGTATAAAAAAAGTTTTTTTTTATGTAACAGGAGTGGCAAATAAGTAGAGGGTTCACCTATTGGTAAATGGTAACCATGCCAATACATGAACAGCACGTTTCGTCATCATGTGAAGCCCGTGTTACCCATTCACCCATGTTGCCATTTCGGAGGGCTATTTACTACTAAGTATTTCACTGCCATATCCTCTCCATACCTTTCCTCTGAAACAAGCTTATAATGGAAAGTACCTGAGCGCTGAAATATATAAGTCAAGGTACCTACGCAAAACAACTTTGTAAAATGTGTATAATATAGTACCTATATTTAAAGATTCCAATAAATTAAAAATTAAAATTTCCGTTTCCAAATATTTCTAAGAATAATATGTTCGTCTTGAGAACTGTTACTGATCGTAGGTACTTCCTTGCCTAAAAAATAAGCACAGTACTCTATTGAACTGCCTGCATTGATTTTACAATACCTACGTATTCATCCAGATATCGTTAACACCTAATTGATATTTTTTTATAGGCTGTAGAGGTATCTTATGCGACGCCTGGCCTCTCTCTCCTCGTATTGGTGCCCCGTGGAAAGTCATTAAGGAAGTTGGCCGACCATATAGTAGCCAACACCCTACATGATATTACAGAAAAAATGATCACAATGAGGTAAAACAAAAATTCAATACTCTGGCTCCAAATATTAAAATAGTTAACAGTAATTCCCTTTACCTTTTAGGATCTCCAATTTTTGATGAATCTGTTTACATGATATTACATTGAAAAATGTTAATCAAAATATTTCACTACAGAAAAAATGATCACAATGAGGGTGGCTGCGACGTTACCGCTGTATACACTGCGCATGACATTGTTACTGCCAAGTAAATTGCAGACAGTAAGTAGGTTTATGGCATTAAATCGATTATCTAATTATTCTAAAGCTGTTCGGTTTCTATGATAAGACTCTTTCAAACGTATTATTTGAAATGCCAGTGATATTAATTTGATTGAAAAACTTGTTTATAGTTAAATTAATAATAGGTACTGTTTCACTAGATATGTATTGTCGCAGGTGCCTATCTATTAACCTGTATCATTTCATATCTTATATGTAAATACTTATACTTCTTATATCAGGTATATTCTGGACTCTAGGAATTCCTTAACTGACGACTACATATACCTAGGTATGTAAAAAATGGAACATAAGTACTAGCTCCTGTGTTTGTGTATTTAAACTTCCCTTAAGATCAGTCAGAACAAGTTATAACATACCTAGGTTCAGTAATGCAAGTGCTAGGAGATATTCCTATATAAGAGAGATAACTATAATAAGAGAGATTACTCATAATTTTATTTGATTGGATTGTAAGTGATAACTATTATTAACACTAGTGTAAATTTCAGATGGGCATATCACGTATCTTTAATTCAACGGATACTGCACAGCTAAAGTTGTCCCATGGTGTTCAGAGGCTGATGTTCTGGGCAGAGGCAGGCCGAAATGCATTTAAAGACGATGGTAAAATATTATTTTTTAGTAATTTTCCTATATGTCTCTAAATCATTGTTGCCCTACTAATAAAAAAAACACTATAGTGCGGCGTAGATGGATATCCCACCTATGTACAAAATTGAAAATTGGAACATTATATTGTATTTTCAGAGAAAATTCAAATTTCTTAATATTTCTAGTTTGACTACTTATGTATAATACGTATATTCTCTAACTCTCTCCGGACTGTGAAATAGGTATATCTATGCAATGGGTTATAAACATATGATTCATGCCCTATTTGCGTTTATGCCTACTTATCAATTAGCCAGTATTCTACATAAATATAAATCTGTAATCCTTTCAGTAGAGTCACTAGTTTATTAGATTTACCTTATTAATCCGTGCTAATTAAGTAAATACTTGTGTAATGAGTTAAATTGCATAGCAATTCCATTGTACAAGTCAATAATTTATTTAATTTTATTCTAGGAATCGAATGGGAGGAGGTACCCGAATATGAAATCGTTGTGGATAGACCGTACATGTTTTTTGTGCGCTGGCGAAACATGACACTTATGAATGGCAATTTTGTACTGTAACTATTAATTTGTATAGGCTAATAACATTATATCAATGATGTAATATAGGTGTATTTATACAAATAAATCAGAACCAAACACCACAAGGATGTATAATTTTTATAGTGCTATAGAATTTTTTTTGTTATCACAAGCGCATGAGAATAAGAGATTTTCTATAAACTCATGCACGAACACTAAGCTTGCATAGTATATTATTCCAGCGGCGGATTTACGCATTGCGAGACTCCAGGCTTTGCGAGGCCCTTTATCCTCCGTGAAGAGTATGTGATCGTTCACGATGCGATTTAATTGATTCCAACATTAAGAGGATGAGGACTCGATCATTCAAGAAAACTATGCCTTTATTTTACATTTTTTTTTATCTCTTTATTTACGATTAAATGCCTAAATCGGGCAGTTTTTGCAACTCGCCACTCGGCAAAATGACATTCACCAGTTGTTTAAACTTCACTTTGTTACGAGAGGCCCGGGGCGATTGCGCTGTTCGCTACTCTCATTACCATCATTAAATATATTGCTAGACAGTAAGCCTACCAGTAAGCGGTAACAATACTATGTGTACAACACTACGGACATCACGTTATCATATGATACCTGTGTTACCAATCATGCGTTGCCATTCTAGAGAACTAAGATGTCATTCCTAAGTACAGTCTACGTCATGATTTTTTAATATTGTCTAAATATTAAGTTCAAAATAAGGCTTATTGGTTCATTCTAGGTCATATAATATCAGCCAATTAATTTAAAAATTAAGGTAGTGTATTTTTCAACCTATATGTTGTATGTTCTCATATATTGAATAGTTTACTCAATAAGTATCTCTAAAGAGAGAATTATTCTATCTATCATTAGATATCTACTCAATGCTGTTGTATACAGTAATACGTTAAAAATAAAATAAAATAAAAAATTAAAGGAATTGCATTATTAAATAAACGAAATTTACAAAACTAAATTGATATATTTTACGTGACAAACATAAGCCACAAATAATAATTAAAAATATAAATATTAATAATAATACAACGAAGAATAATAATAAAACTTAATTTAGGCTTACATCCAGCATCTGTGCAAGTTAATGGTTGTAAAAAATAGTTCCTTATTGCTCTTACAAATTATGTTAGACTAGCAAGTTGTGAATACTTCATGTGTATTTTGGAAAACGGCTTCCTGTAAATAAGAAAAAAAAACTATATTTATTCAGGAAATAAATATTAGTACCAAAGCTCATGCCACTTGTCACAACAAATTACAAATACACAATAACAGAGGGACTGGTAATTTTAATGAGAGATTGTATTTTATTATGTAGGTATTTATTTGACAGAAAGGAATGGAGTGTAATAAACATTTTTAACATTCTTAACATTCATACCATCGTTAAATATCGTCGTTGACTAGTACCATAATATGTAATTATAATACATTAAACTGTATCCCCGCATCCCCCAACTCCTCACACAAAAATGATGTATATTCTTACTTCGAATAATTTTAAGAGTGGCTTATATGTGCACTTTTCTATATAGATTACATACAGTTAATAATTGAATGTTCAATTTATGAAATCATTCAAGGTGATAACATGAACATCAACAAATATTGATTAACATTGTGTTTACCTATGATTAAATTGATTAAATTTATATTTTTAATTATTATGTAAATGACACACAGTTTAATCAAACCAATATTATGATAACATGGTAATTATGAATTTATTACATAAAGTTATTGTTAATTATAAAATTGAGGAGAACTATTACATATTTTTTATAATAGCATAACTTTGTTCAACTCTAAATATAAATCAAAGTGTCCGCCGAAACTATATTTCTATTTAGAACCAATTGTAAATAAATTCGGTAAACATTGTGACGTTCGGATTAGGCAGTAAATTGGCTGAAACTAAAACTATGGCCATAACAGGAAACATAAATGAGTGCATTGGTTACAAAAAAACACGTTATAGAATATCAATTCAATAAAATTTTGTCTATTTGTCCATATTTTTAGGCAAACATATTTCTATGAGTTAACTATTTCTATGACTAAAAGATTGATTTTCTTTGAAGCCTTTTCTTGACTAAGGCTCACATGATATCGATGATATTGTTGATAGGTATACATTATTTAAATAAACTAATCGATAAATTTCTGTTTCGGCTGTAGTTTCGATAGCTTCGGTCGGACACTAACATCTAATATACTTGTAAAAGCTAGAAATACACTTACAATGCAAAATTACACTAAGTGAACAAAATTAGTAGATAGCTAAATGATTCACAAGTTTTGTGTTAGCAATCAATAGTTATAACGTTATATTAATGTTATTGAAGTCTGAACCTTATACATTAGATGATAAAAAATGGCAAGTTACAAATACATCTATGGACTAATATAGAAAAACATGAAATTTAACTTAGTAGTACACAACAAACCTTAATAAATTTAGAACATTATCAACATCAAATATTATTTTTTTGTCTACTTACCTCGTAACAAATCTGATGTTAAGTTATATTTCATTATTAAACTAAAGATAATTAATAGTCTATAAACGTCTTCCTTAAGTTATTATTACATTGAAAATCAATTACAAACACGGTGAATAATGCTGGACATCAGGTAGAATAGGCATAGGCATGATGACTAACAAACCAATAAAATATCAATTTAAATTCTTAATTCATGGATAAAATAAAATCGAGATTTCTATTGTTTTTACTCCATTAATATGCAAAATTACACCTATGTATTAAATGCAACTTAATTGATCGGCAACTATTATTTGTAGGTACTATCTATCTTCGTATGCGCGTTATCAGGGTGATGTAATTGGAATGGCAAACAAGCTGACGGCCCGCCTGATGGTAAGCGATGTCCATCAACTACATAGATGAACAGCACTGCACTACTGACATCACATTATCATATGACATCCGTAATACCACTTATACGTTGTCATTCCAAAGGAGTAAGTTTTTACTTACTTTACTTACTGTAATTTTATTACCGGATATGATCCTACTACCGAAACCGCTTCTTTGTAATCTAATTGGCGGGTGTTATAAGCGAGACTGAGTACCCACGCAGACTTTTTACTAACCATATCTGATCAGAGTAAATTGAGTAGTAATATACACTTCAAAAAGCTTATAATTAAGTAGATAGTAATAGGACAAACTACCGTGGCTCATTTGTCGATTAAATTGCGTCTGTATTGTGAGTATGTACTTATACACGCACTGTCATAATTACAACGGAAACTTTTAATAAACCTATCTTAAATCTTTAGTAATAAGAAAAAAAAATAAAAGAAAAAATAGAATAACATTCATATATAATATAAATTCATTGGAACAAATTTAAATCAGGAGTCTTCTTTTGTGAAGTATATATTTGCTTTTAAAACATACATCAGTTAATTCAATGAAAGTTTCTTGTTATCCCATAATTCTCAATCCTTTAGCTAATGATTTCATAGATATTACACGTGATTATGGTCCCCAACGAAAATCTTAAAAGCTTTGTACCATCTGATCTCTAATTGCACGGAGAATTTCTGTATGTTATTATTAAACACACAATAGTACATTTACATAAATTATTTTATTAAATTTTTTAAAACATTGATTTTAAACGAAATTAATAGATTTATTTTGGTTACTGCCAACCGTTGGAGTTGTATATGCAATAACTATAGAAAAGGTCATCATGCCTATTACATGAACATCAAATAAGTGTGTATAGTATAAAGTGCAAATATATTTTATATATTACTAGAATCTCCTTTACTTTATCAATAATTCATTTATAATAATAAGACATTATTATATTATAATTGTAACAAATTAATAATTTTGTTTTTGGAGTGAAAGAAATATGTTTTTAGTAATATGTAAAATGGTGTAAGAAAAACTACAAACTTTGTTACAAGGTAGCAATGGGCTGTTTTTTTCATCCAACATTAAAAGATTTTTGTTATAATAGACTGAAATTAAAATTATTTAAAATATCTATTAGGTATAGGTAGAGATCCGTAAAATAATTGAATGTACAGTGTTGTGTTACTAGTAACATTAATTTAGAATAATTTCATGGTATTTTCATATACGATTTTCACTATCCAAATAATAACAGAGTAAAGTTTATAACAAATAAATCAATCTCCGGTGTTTATAATCACTTATTCTTAACTAAAATTCAAATGTCCTTTGTTGTTCCGAAATTAATAAAATTTAAAAATTTCATGTAACATATACTTAACAAAAATATAATACTGATTGAAGATTAAATAGCGGAATTTACGACCCTAAATTATAGTGTAAAGTACAATTGATTGTAATTGATAATATACAAGACTTGTAGGCATATGAATTTTTTTGCTCACATGTTTTATTTACTACTAACTATTACATATACAAAGAATTAAGTATAAACAGTAGGTATAAGCAAAACGAATGAATGATTCACTGCAATAATACCATCATAAACAATAAGACCAATCAACTGGTTGACACACAACACAACAAATTGCTAGCATTCTAATGAATTTAACTTGACGTATTTTCATATTTTTTACAATCTTATCATATTTCATAAGTTTTATTTTTGGTCAATAAATCTTATATATTTTAAGCTAAAGAGTGAACTAAATTTTATATGAATAAGTAATATTCAATTGGACAGAGTATATTTCAATAATAATCAATTGGTGGAAATTATTTATTGAAGATCTCTCATAATAGATTAATACAGACAGATCCCTTGTGTCATTCCCAACAGCAAGTATAAACTCAAACATTGGCAACACAATTTTGAACAATATCAATACTAAAACATCTTTTGAAAGTTAGTAACATTCAGTATGAAAGTTAGTTACTTTCAAAAGATTTTTAGAAAATATGTATTTCATACGTCTATAATATGTCTAGCTAAAGGTGACATCTTTACAACATGAGAAAAATGGAATACTGTGTTTATCAATAAAAATAAAGTGCTAAATTATGAATATTTTTTTTTTGTTACAATAAATTATAATAATAAGTCATTTGAGGATATTACCCAGTAAAAGAATATTATTTCTTTTCCTACCTACTGATTTCAAAATAATCATAAAAAGAAACATTATTATAAATTAGTATCACCTAATATTTGTAAAACATGGATATATCAGATTAAGTTTCCATTAACATTTTTATCAGATTGTGAATATTTAGATTGTTAGGAGAAATTTCAGGTGTCTCTATATCAAGGTTAGATAATATATAATATAATTGTAGTGGTCTAGAATGATAGAGATCACTAATCTATATAGATGCCTTCTTAACCTACTTTATTGTGTCTTGTACAGAATACAGATTGTTTGCGGCAAAAAAAAAAATAGTAAAGTAGTTTCCTGTTGTTATAAAGTATAAGTGCATTTTGGTTAAGTACCTTGGTGTATGTATACCTATATATCTAAAAGTACAAGGTGTATGGAATGCTCAAGCCATTCTTGTTCACTTGCTTGACATTTTGTGATAGAAGTTTAATATGAATATCTATTCTATTATTACCTCATATTGTACATGTCATAAAAATATAAAAAAACCAGCAATTTGTTCAATCAAGAAATACTTCATTACTATAAAATACATAAAAGTATATTCAATTTACTAAAAGACACAAAAGCCATCTTCTTTTTCTGAGATTAGAACACAGTAGAATCTGCTTACAATAATATCAAGGGAGTGATAAGTACATCATGCAAGTGGACACCATAAAGTGCATAATCTTAGACAATAAACATCATTTTTGTTAACAGATCTATTAATTAAAAAGATATGTGAACTGATGACACAAAACAAATATATGAGAAACAAAAAACATTAATAAACATTAAGAATATTATAGGCATTAGATATTTCTTTTGTTAATTTTATATCATAAGAAATAAATAATTTGTTTAGATTTTCCTATAATGTCATGTCACTTTGGCTTATGAAAATAAACTATCTATAGTCTGTTTTTTAATCCCAAAGACAAGGTTGATATTATGGATGTTGCAAAAGTAATATTCAATTTTACAATAAAAGTATCCAATTAAACAAATCAGTATCTCAGGTACATTTTTACCCCACTATAGGTGGTAACATTATTTTAAAATTTGACATTTATACATGTCAATTTAGTCGCTGAGATTAAAAAACAGACTATATATTTATTATATGATATGAAGTGATTGGTCAATAAAATATTGGTGTGTGTGGTATGATAAACAGATTCCACTGTATTTATAGGTATTTCTATAAAAATAAATCATATAAAAGAAATTACATTATGATAATCTTGTTTTTGACATGCAAATAAACTTGTTTTTATTTGTAGGCATACCATGACTGGACCTTGTGTCTTCTATGGTGTCAACAAGGAGTTTAGGTAAACACATCCTTTTATTGTCTACAGACAAATAGTGTCCTAAATACCTGGAATATATCATGTATTTACTATGTCAAGTTTTATAATTTATAAAAGTAGTATCTAACAGTAAGCCATATAAATGTATATTGAAACTCATGAAATTTAAACTAGATATTAAAATCACCATGGACAACAATACACAATTAAGTAATTAAAATTAATAACATTTACATATATTTGTATTTTGTGATTTTCACAAATAGAAATTCAGAGTAGTCTGTATAATCTGAAATACATGTTAGAAACATGTCATGTCAAAGTTACTTAAAATGCATAATTAGGATTACAGTGTCCTATTTTGTTACATAGCTTTAATATAGAATGTTTAGTTATTGGTGTTGTCCAATATTGTCAATCCACCTAATGTGCCACTCAGCAATTCAAATTATAGAGACTATTGTAGGTATTAAACATAAAATTTAGAGAAATTTACATATGGAATATGACAAACATGTGAGTCATACAATTAAAGAAGTGCCAATTTGCTATAGATAAGATAAAACATTAAGCTAGTTATAGAAGCATATTCCAATTATTTTATTTTATGGATACAAACTATTATCTGATTAAAAACACAGAAGATAACCTAGCTCAAACTTTACAAGCCAACATGGACTGTAATGCAAATGAATAAATAGTTTTTCCTAGTTTCAATACAGTCTGACTTTCAGATAGATAACAATATAATATTAAAGTTGACATTTAGTACCATTGAAATTACTTATGTTAATGTGAAATTCCATAATTGACCCCACCTGTGTTGAGGCCTGTGTTTTCGGAAGCGCCAGGCGGTGGTGGCATAGGCATGGCAATGGGTGGCGCTTGTTCTCCCTTTGGACGACCCTCACCACCCGGTTGCACGGTCACCGCTTGCACACCGTCCGAGTCGTCGCGTTCTAATGTATGATAGTCACCCGATTCTTCCGGTGGACGTGGCTTGCATTTGCCGCAGCAACAATTACAGCAACAGCACAAACAACAGCAGAAGTAGCATCCAGTTAAGATACCACACACAAAGAATAACGCTTTGCACCAAGTACTAGTTACTACAAAATAGGCGTTGACGTTCTCTTCGCCAAATTGTTCAGCAATGTATAATCCAAGGGAGCCATAATTATCGTAGATATTTCTTTTAGTAGCGTCGCTTAATATTGTATGAGCGCGATTCACCTCTTTGAATTTATCTGCAGCTTCTGGATTATTGGGATTTTTATCAGGATGGTATTTTAATGCCATTTTTCTGTAGCTTTTCTTTACATCATCTGCGGTTGCAGTTTTGGGAACTTGAAGTATTTGATACAGACTGTCCCCTGCAGTTGAAAGCTTTCTTTTATCCATATCTTTTGTTGTTTCGCTGAATATTTGGTTATTGTAGAACAATTAAGGTTAAACTCGTTAATAATATTCACTGAAGGGAAACTACGCCAATAATATTTTAGATTAGTTTTTTTGACATTTTTATGTTGGTGCCATAAGTTTGGATACATGTCCTTTGGCCATGGCAGTTTTCTACACTTTAACAGAGTCTAAGTGAAAACTATTTACTATTTTATTTAATGTCTACACCAACGTATTGGAAATTTCGAAAATATATAGAAAGATTATTCACTAAATAAAAACAATAGTTAATAAAATTTCAATGTACAATAAACGTTATTTGTTCTTAGGCGCTTAGGAATACATACACATACTTATAGTATTCACACTGCACAGATAAACTATGCGCTCTCTTTGTGAAAGTGATATTTATGGTTAATGGGAACACAAACCGCCGGAACCAAAAAAAAAGAGAAAAAAAGTGATATATCTGTCAGCTGTCAATAATCATATGACATTGACATTATGGCTAGTGTGTTATTGCTGTGGTGGTGAATAGTTTTGTTTTGATATTTCCATTCCAATGTCATGTATGTGTCAAACTTTCAGTTCCTAGAGCCAGAAGAAGAAAACAACTTTGAATTCAAAATCAAAACCATTAGAATTCAATTTACAAGGTGTAACAGTATTGTTTTTTAGATAAGAACACATGAACTCATTTTAAAGTAAAATTTAACTGATTTGTTTTAAAGCTATCATAAATATTAGATTTCTGTATATCATAACGTGACACAATACAATGCGTTTATAAATTATTTTACTGCGACTTTTTATAAATTAATTGGTATGTATTGTGCAATTTAAGATATTTTGTATGTATACTATATATTATAAATTATAATAATAAACATTTAATATTTATGTATTACTAGCTTTTACCAGCGGTTTCCCTCGCATTGATTCATTCACTAGTTTTTTTTAATAAAAAGTAGCTTATATTCATTGTAATACCTCCAAGAACATGTGTACAATGTTTCATGATGATCGGTAGTTTTTGTGTGAACATCCCTACATGCACATTTATAATTTTATATATGTTGAAATTCATATGTGTGCAATAATTGTAATATTTATTAAATTTACTTATATTTTTCAGGACATGCAAGTAGCAATGAGGTTTCGTAATATATTCAAGTTATATCAGCAGGCCCTGGCACGTCGGCCGTATTTGGTACAAGCAGTACAAACCGGTGCTCTCATGGGCGCAGGTGATTTAATATCTCAAACTGTAATCGAAAAGAAAATAATTAAGGAAATTGATTACAAAAGGACTCTCCAGTTTTCTTCCATTGGATTATTTGTGGGTGTAAGTATTCATTATTGTTACTTTTATTTTTTGTTTCATAATATAGGTATAAAATTTCAAATGCGAAAATATATATGTATGGATATGAATGGATTATAGTCTATAAAAACTTCTAATTCAATATCAGTTAATATCCCTTCCGGAAACCTCTCCGAGGACCACTGTCATTTTTTTATTGTATCACTTAGAGCCTAATTAATTTACTACAAACAGCATGATAATAAATAGTCAATGTACCTTGTCTAAACATGATAGGACTGTCTATTTTGTCAGATGTCTTTTCTACAAATGGTTTCAATCATTGATTGATAGATTAAAAATTAATGGAATTGGTAATATATTTATACAATATTTTATCTGTGACATTTTAACCTTACAGTGACTACTATGATCAGATCAGTCATCTGACATGAAATAATATTTGCCTAGTAAATAAAAGATTTTTTTTTTTAGGGTCCTGCTCTACGTCTTTGGTATGGACTACTTAATCAACACATTGGTTCTAGTGGAAAATCAGTTGCTATTAAGAAAGTATTCATTGATCAACTGGTATTTGCACCTGCATTTCTATTTCTAATTCTGTCAGGAGTGGGGACAATGCAAGGCAAATCTTGGAATAATGTTAAAAAAGATATCCATGCCAATTATTATGATGTGTTAAAAACAAATTACTATGTATGGCCATGGGTTCAGATTGTAAATTTTTACTATATACCCTTGCAGTATCAAGTACTGCTTGTTCAAGTTGTTGCTTTGTTTTGGAATACCTATTTGTCATGGAAAACAAATAGAGAGAGATTGTTAGAATAAATTGATGAGATAGACAGATCAAGTTGTGACTGTATTTTGCTTAAACAAATTTGTGCCTTTATGACATAAACATTAAAATTATTTACATACTAGTTTTCTGATAATGTAGCATTTTATATTGAGTTATGAGTACAGTGTCAAAAATGTAACATATTAATGGACTAAGAAGTAGAGTGCCAAATAAAGGTAAATACAAAATTTGTGCCAAATTGCAATTTTTACTATAGGTACTAAACAAATCGTAGAAATATTTAAATATATTTTATAAATTGGTACATACATAGTATATTTCAAAGTTAAAACTAAGAACCTGTATTATATCAATCTGTTGGTAAAATTAGTATATTTGTCTAGTTTCAAAGTTTTTGAGCTCGCATGAAGTTACTCGTAACATATTTTTGAACTGTGAGTAGATTGATGCTAATGCAACTCTTAATAAGCCAGAATTTATATGTACCCGCTGTTTATATGTATTTATATGTACCCGCAATGGTAACATTTTAATTTTTATTTATTTGTCGCTGGAAGAAACTAGTATTTATTATACATGCTCGGCGTAGTTTAGATACTAATGGTAAAATCTCTGAAATATATGCTGCGTATTTAATAAGAATGAAAAAGTTTATGAGAATGACTAAATATCGACTCAATAATTTATTAATAAATTAATAGTAGTGGTATATTTTATCCACAAGTGGATAGGCAAAGGTACGAGACCATACAGCCTATTAATAAATTAATGTCTAAAAAATACTGTGCGCTAACGTAAACATTTGACATAAATTTGACAGTGAGTGGTGATCTTCTACGACAATGTAGAAGTTGCAATTGACTGAAAAACTAATCTGTGTTGTGTGCAATACTGTGAATTAAATAAATAAACTATTACGGAAGAAATATTACTATTATGGCTAAATCTGTAGATTTGGAGTTAAAGAAAGCTTTTACTGATTTGCAAATCAAAATGGTCGATACAAGAAAAAAATTCATTTTATTGATTCACAAATAGAATTACTTAAACGGTGTATGCATCATGTAGACATTACTCAATGTGCCATCAGTTGCTATCCACCTGGAGCAAAAACTTATGAATCAGTGGGTAGGATGTTCCTTCTTACGGATTTAGAAGAGGTTAAAAATAATCTTAAAAATCGAGATACACAGTTAACAAAACGTGCCAGTGACTTCCAAAAAAACAAGGAGTATTTAGAAAACAATTTAAAAGAAAGCGAAGACAATATTAGAGAAATGGTTCAGCAACGGAGAGTGCAAAGCGAAAAAACTAATTAAGGAATTCAAAATACATGTAAAGATTAAGGTTGCTAATAAATTCTCTTTAATAATTTTATTTTCTCTTATTTATTTATATGTACATACAAAGCGTAAGTTTTTTGCACATTTTTGTGATGAGTTTTGCGTTCCGAATGAGTGGTAGAATAATAAATAAAAGTGCTTATATTAATTAGGTTTATTAAAATAAAGGATTATTTCCATTTTTAAAAAATACCCACAAATTAATTCATAAAATCATACTTCTGATTACCATTTGTAATCAGAAGTATGATTTTATGAATTATTGCTGCATATCCTGTGATATTCGAACTATCTACCATCGGCAGTAGGGAGGTTACACTCCCTTAATTTGAGAAATGTTTTGTTCACAAGTTTTTCATTTAGCCAGGGCCTAATTTCGTCAATCATTTCCTCTCGATCGAAAACTTCTAAACGTATAATAAAACCGAGTGATAGTCAGCTGCGGTTCCAAAGGTGGGTTAAGGAACAGGAGTACAGGACCCTCAGAAATATTATTTATAAAAAGTTGAAATTGCTTATTATTGAAAGAATTTACAGTAATATAACGTGGTAGATTGGTTCCGAGTTATAGAAAAATGCGTAGTATAAATATTCCCGTATAACGCGTTACGTATAAATTATTACTATATTAAGACTGAAATATGCACGTTATATTAAAATAAAAACTAAACTATGAACATTCTAAATAAAAAACTTATGCAAATATACTAAAAAAACGAATTATGAACTGCACAAAAGAAATCAACATGAACAAATCATTATAAATTTACGGTACAGAAATAAAATGTGAGAAATCCCAGCGATATGTGGGGGAATGCCTCTATTATACGGGATATAGATTTCCCCATAATATGAAATTTGCGTTATTAGAGTACGTGTTAAAAGGGGGATTACTGTATTTTGGCAGGTCTACTGCTTAATAGATAGTGTTGTTGAAAAGATTAATTTTTCTACAACGCCATTTAGCGCCGGACAAAAAAGTTATTTAAATATACATTCCTAAACAAGATTCAGTCTTTTACGCACTTTAAAGTTGTAATACATAAATGTTACGTTTACATTCAGTCGCTTCCACTGCCACTGGCGATGCCGAAAATATTGCCGCGTCAGCGTCGACGGGAGTCGACGCGAGTGAGTGTCGTTTTGCACTCAGCCCTCATACCTACTTATTTACCGGGCCACTCGCAAACGTGGCGGACGTCGAGGTTGTTGCGGCAACAGCTGCATGTCTACTTAGTGTAATGAATTATTTAAACGTGAAAAGAAATTAAAAAAAAACGCTATCGCCAAAGAAGATGAAAAAAAATCATCTAAATCGAACGACGTAAGTACTCAGTAGTAGTACTTAATATTAAAAGTGTACTTATAGGAAGTTATAGCTTCGTACGAGGGTCATTTGAAAAGTTCTTAGCCTAACATGGTTAAAGTCATTAGTTTTTTTTTATAAGTACCCTCATTTTGTAGTTACATTATGTAGCAACAAGTATGCACATTTTAGTTTATTCAGGACAATGCGCGCGTTCACACCTCTGTGCAATCTATGGCAGAAATCCATCAATGTGGCTTCGAATTGTTACCTCATTCCCCATATTCACCGGATTTAGCACCGTCCGACTTTTATCTGTTCCTAAAGCTGAAAAATTTTTTAGGTGGTAAACATTTTTTCACTATTGAAGAGGTCATAGCCGCCGTGGACGCTTATTTTGAGAAGTTAGACGAAGATTTTTTAAAACGGGTATCGAAGCATTACCGGGTCGATGGAAAAAGTGTTTTGAGCTCGGAGGAGAGTATGTTGAAAAATAAAAATAAACTCAAAATCGAGTGGTTTCATTAAGTATGTTAGGCTAAGGCTTTTTAAAAGATCCTCGTATAAGTACACTTTAAATATTAAAGAGAAAAACCAACAATCGAGGAAGCGCCGGCAGCGCGAGTGGCAGCGCCAATGGCATGGGAAGTGTCGTGTTTACACTCTCGTGCTGCTCACTTCCTCACTCGAGCTGAGTGTGAATTGGGCTTAAAATACAGCTGATATTCACTAGGAACGCAACGTACGCAAGTTGATCTATCACTATATACGCTGGCCACTTATCACAGCAGTCAGGTAAAGTTAGGTTACCTCACTGTAGCATGTTAATTCGGAATTTACTACGTTGTTTGCCAGGGATCACTGCGTGAAAGTCGACTGGATATATAGGATACATTGCCAAGAGTTTTTGATCTGTCTTTCGATAAGTTTCTTTTTGATCTGTCTTTTAAGGCCTCTAGGAGGGTGAAGGTTGGGCCTAGAGGTGTGCCCCTTTGCTCCGGTATGAACTCCCGGGGCAACAACCCTCGAATAACTGGATTGATAGCCCATTGGCCGGCCCCAAGTGCCCCAACTGTCTACCGTCCTAAAACTAATTTAAATTCTAAAATCTAAGCCTGGGATTTTATATATAAAAGAATACAAATGAATACACATATTTACATTAACTTATCGTATCTTAAGTGGTAGTACCATACTTCTTTTTTTTAATTATTATTTTTGTCCTCCAAGTATTGTATATATTTACCTACTTACTTAAGCTACTAAGTTTCCTCTCGCCCCACGCCCCCGTACACTCTGTGGTATTTGGTATGACTTTGTATTGTCAAGCTCACAAGTTGACAGACAGACACTGACTGATTGACTGACTCATTGACAGTCGACGATCTTACTATTATTGTCATAGGAGGGTCTTCGCAGATATACTAAATTAATCTTGGATAATTAAATTTATCAAGTCTCCCCCACGGTTTCCACCAAGGAAATAACAGATTACTTATTTTAGTTAAATTTATCAGAAATCCATTTTACTTTAATTTTTCCATCGTAGTCCACACCGGCTATCCGTTTAATTTAATTAAGTAAGTGAAATATTGAAATTATTCGTAATATTACATTTACAATCCATTAATGCATACTAGATTTACTCTCGATAAAACTATATAACGAAAAGAGTAACATGCGGAGTTAAAATCTCAACTTTAAATCTATCTGCCATTAATATCAAGCCGTTTACTGGCTAGCCGGCGATTATATTAATGGGATGATGTACCTCAAAACTATTAATTTTATTTATCATTAAAATAAGGAGCAAGGTGTGCGAGTGATATATCATCTTATCTAAGGAATAATTTGAATAATTTATATTTTTTTAATTGTTCAGAAAATACAAAATTATAAAATCTACCTTCAGTACTAGCTCATATCTAGTACTGAAGGTTGGTATTATACTTTTCTTTTCAGTATGGGGATGAACAAATAAGAACAAAATAAGTGTGTATATGACAGGCTTGTGAAAGGAACAGGATGTTCAATCTAACTTGTATACCTATCATTTTTATCTTTTGGCCACATTTGTTGCCAACTTTTGAGAATATTTACTCCAGAATTCTCGTCTATTTGTCCAGCATACGCCTGGCTCCTGGAGTATGATTTTAAAACGCTGTTTGCTAAGAATTACTATTTTATAATTATATATGAACTATTTGTAAACCATAGAATTTGGTATTATAACAATTAGTTGTAATCAATTGTCAGTGTATCCTGAAAGTGTTCATTTAAATGATCTACTGTTCTATTATATGAAATAAAAATTGTCAGTTTTATACAATCAAACCACAAATTTCCAAAATACATATGTAAATAAATTATGATGGAAATAAGTAGTATCTTATTTTATTGAACATAATACAAATGAATAGAAAATTTGCTAAACACTGATTATTCACAGTTATTGTTAAGATTATGTTCATAATTTAGTAAGTAATCTAATTGTGCAATATTTATTACAGTAATAAGATGGATTCCTTACAATTAGTTTCATCAAATAAAATATTTGGAGGCTACCAGAAGATATATGCACATGAGTCCTCAGAATTGAAATGCAAAATGAATTTTTCAATCTACTTACCACCACAAGCTGAAGGGGGTGATGTCAATCTGCCTGTGATATTTTATCTGTCAGGACTCACTTGTACTGAACAAAACTTCATTACTAAATCTGGCTTTCAAAGGTATATTTTGTCTCCTGGTTTTGTTTACGAAATATGTTTTAGTACATTTTATATACATTGTACTTTCTAAACAGATATGCTGCTGAACACGGAATTATTGTTGTGGGTCCAGATACTTCTCCTAGAGGTATAAAGTTACCAGGCGATGATGACTCTTGGGATTTTGGAGTATCTGCTGGATTTTACCTTGATGCTGTTACTGATCCTTGGTCCAAACATTATAGAATGGGCAGTTATATCGCTAAGGAATTGTATGAATTAATTCAAAATGCTTTCAGTGATGTGGTAGACCCTGCTAGATTCGGAATTATGGGGCATAGGTAACTTAATAACAGTTTACAAATACTTTAATATTTCACATAAGAATCTATTTAATGGTTTTAATATGAAAGTACAATTGTTTTCATTGTCGTCATTGGATGTCATCATAATGCATTACATAATATCACATAGTCTAAATTGATGGTGTCACCTCATAGGTTATAAGTTTAAGGCCTTATGTCGTAATTTGAGTGTAGATAATACAACAAACGTAATTGATAAGCATTGGTCAAACTTTATCTCAATAATAAAGTTAAATAATAGGTAATTATTGTCTTGGTATATTTATAATTATCAATAATTACATAATTAAATTTTTTATTATATACCATGTGAGATAAAGTTGTTAAGTAATCTTAAAATCCTCATGTATTACAATGATTATACAGTATTTACAAATATACTTTATTACCTCACTGTGCTTATATTTCAGAAACTACTAATAATAATAATTTGTCCACCAAATATATAGTATTTGTATAGAAAATTACAAATTATTTTACCTTATTTTGAGCTAGATGAAAGCCATGAATTTTTAAATTTTATAATACTAGTCTGCTAGCTGAAGTAAGGTGTCAGCAAAGGGATTCATTTAGGCATTCTAAGATGGATTTTGATTTATTATATGTAAACAATAATCAATTCTTTCAAACTTTTTGCATCTGCATTATAGGTTTGAATGAAGGGTGTACAAAACCTCTATTTATACTCAGAATTACATTTATTTCGAACAAAACTGATTCATTTGTTTGACTGTGTCTTGTGGGTAACCATGATAATTTTCAGGGGGACCACATGGAGTTCGACAAAACCATTTCTTTCCAGATTCCATTTTTGTCCAGGTTTATTGTAATTTAAATTAATGTTTTCAGTATGGGGGGACATGGCGCACTGATTTCCACTTTAAGAAACCCTGGTTTATTCAAATCAGTCAGCGCTTTTGCTCCTATTTGCAATCCAAGTGCGTGTCCATGGGGTGAAAAAGCTTTTACTGGATACCTGGGTACGGATAAGAGTCAGTGGGCAGAATGGGACGCGACTGAGCTTGTAAAAAAATACGATGGACCCCCACTCACTATGCTTATTGATCAAGTAAGTATTATTGTTATTATTCTCGACGGCCTCGGTAGTCTAGCGGTTGATATACCTACCATAAGACACATATTACTTCCGATGGTCAAGGGTTTGATTTATCAAATCGTGTATTGCCATTTTTGTTCACGAGTACGATTGTATATATTGTTCTGGGTGATTTCTATATATATATTTTATTTTATAAAATAAAATGTATTTAAATGGCGTTTCTTAAAATATATTTTTCTACGTACAGGGCGCTGGTGACAAATTTTATATTGAGAAGCAACTTCTACCCGAGAATTTAGTAGAGGCATGCCGCTCAGTTGGAGTTCCAGTGATACTGAATTTGCGGGAGGACTATGATCATTCTTACTACTATATATCGACTTATATTGGAGAACATTTCGATTTTCATGCTAAAATTCTTAAAGCATAAGCCTAACAGTGGTTGTTCAGTATTTTATTCTGAATTCCGTCTCTGAAATATAGATCGAACCATTCTCAAATTTCAGATACCCTGTAATAATATATTTACTACATACTATACTATCTAAATGGAGGTGCATTTAAATATTGTTATTGTTTTTTGTAAATAAAATTATGTTTGTAATATGTTTTTTATTGATATAAACATTTGTATTATTGATAAAATTGGTGTAACGTGAGGGGAAGAGAATGGTTAGTAATGTGGACAGGTTGACCTCCACGTGGTTCCCTTTAGAAAACATCGTAATAAATTTGTGGTGAATTTACCACGATGGACTACCTGACCTGACCTCGTGTGCATCTTATCATACTCCACTGGTGCCCCGCCAGCATAAACCGTTAGCGCAGACGGGTGTACCATTCCACTGTCATGCAAAAAAAATGGTGACGTAATGAGTTTTTTTTATGATGGCGAATACCTGTATTTTTTTAGTATTAGGAAAAATGTTAATATGAAAAAAGATCTTGTAGAATATTTTTAAATACAATATTTCACTTAATTAGGTATTATTATTTCAATGGATATGCCGGAAAATACTGATTCAAGTCAATTATAAACATACTGAATAATATATTAATTATGCATATTATGTGTAATCCAATAATTAGCGAATTCATTATTTTGTAATAAAACAAGAAATGAAACGTTACCAACAATTTAATATTTGTAGTTACATTATATTAACCGTCTGGCGTAGTGTTCACTCCGTCATGTTAGGTACTACCTGCTCGTGTCATTTTTCCGTAGAGCGTGATAATACTGAACAAATTTGTCTCTATTTGCCCAAATGTGTGTGCCGCCCCACTCGCACCAAGCGCTGGTAACAAAATTAAAAAGCATACATGTAGTATCCTGATTGTAAATAAGGTGTAGTAATAATCCATTGCTACCAATGCACTACGGTAGAATGACGCCCACGCGGTACCCCCTGGAAACCATCGTGGTAAATTGCCATTTGTCAAAATGGGCTAACCTGGACCTGAATTCATGTTCATTTTATCATCACCACCGGGCTACAGTGGGGATGTGGTAACCCAGGTAAACCGTTAGAGCACTCAAGTGCATCATTCATCATCATTATCATCCATAAAAAATACTGTAAACCACCTTATGACATTTTGTCAATGTTTAATATTTGCTGCCATGTATATTTTGTACTATTCTTAAAACTTATTAGACGAGTTATAACAATACCACAGTTAAAACGGGTATAACGACGCCGTATACCTTTAACTAAATTAAGATTCATGATTTGGGTTCCTGCAGTAACCCAAAATATGAAGCTTAATAGATTTGCAACTCACCAAATCTTGATAATATAACTTTAAATTTTACCGGCATTCATTTTAATTTTTCCACACGTTTTTACAAAATTCTTTTTACACATACCTACAGTAATATTTAAAAATAATTGCTTTATATATTATGGACACTATGTAATACCCGCCATACCTAATTCTATAAAAAAATTACGAGTAAACAGTATATAATATACATACATTCCAAATAAAGCACCTCCGAGATGTGCAGCATGGTCGAAAAATTTCCATCCAAACACTACTCCAGCTAGATCCACACTCATTATTGCTTTTATTGCCTGTAAGAACAAGGTAGAATTACATGCTTTTATGCACATGATTATTAATATATATTTATATATCTCGGGCAATTAAATCGAAATCATAAAATAAATCTCAAACGTTTCGCTTAAATTTTATTCAAACTAGATTGTTTAAATTTAAATAAAACTGACAAATATACATATAAGTAATCAATAGTAGTAGCTGTAAAATAAATCTTTGAGAATGCATTATAACGTCAATATTGCAATATCAACGATATTGAATCATATAATATCAAAAACAAGACAAAATATTAGAATCATTATCTATCGATTTTGAATCTAATATTTATAGATTTATTTACATAAAACTTGCAAATAACAATATATTGATGGAATATTTACCGTTCCAGCGGCAAATGTATACATAGGCAGGAATATTATACTGAGCTTGGTGTCAGGATACTGCACGCATACATATGACAGTACTGCCATGATTGCACCTGACTGCAAAATAATATAATTTTACTATGTAGCTTTGAATAAAAAACTAAATCGCTGCAATCAAATCATATTATGAATAGTAATGGAAATAAATTAATCATTGGTGTAATTTTAAGTATTGTTTTTGTCTACCGCAATGTGAGTCTGCCTGCCGTGACTGTATGTAATTATGGATCCTTTGATCCCAGTTATTTAAATTAATTTTTTTTTTGTTGATTGATCACAGTTAAGTAAAAATATTCATATTATGGTCTTGATATCACAGTTAAAACTTTAAGTTCTAGTCAATATATTATGTAATAAAGAGGGAATAAATAACATTAAGTACAAATCTTACTTAACTGAATGTTCTAATCAATTTAATGACAAACACATTTTAAATTATTTTGAATAAATAGAGGCACATAACTATAGGAAGTATATGGTTACACAATGACAAATACGCGAGAAACAGCTACCTTCAGTAATAAGAGTAAAAGAAAACAGTCCGCTGTCCACTACCCTGCTATTCAAGTAATATAAAAAGTACTACTTACCGCACCAAGACTAAGACCAGGCTGATTCAAAACCACTTTGTAGAGGAAACTAGAGAAGCTACTAATTACACCTGCACTCATGTACATGGCTACAAATTGCTCCTTGCCTAATGATGCAACAGCAGCTGTGGAAAATTATAAAGCCATATATCACATCTGACGAAAAAAGTAAAATGAAATAAACTTTAAATACTGCTTCCATGGGAACAAAACTAATAAAATAGTACAGCCCTATGTAATATAGTGTTAGATATAAGATAATAAGTTAGATTTTGCTGCTGCAGATTTACAGTTATAAAACATGTTTCTTCTTATCCTTACCTGGCATAAAACTATAGAGGACATACATATTTGCCGCCAGGTGCAAGGCTGAATAGTGGCTGAATGTTGACAGAACCATAGGCAAACATTTTGAACCTGGAAATAATAACAAGATAGATATTTTTTTATAATGGTCTGTCATTGCACTGCGAGCAGTATAGATATAGAGATGTCTATCTCATGATATTACAAGATAATTTAATATAATTTTTAAATTCATAACTTACTCCTGAAATTGTTAACTGGTGTATATGTACATTTTTAATCTAGAGGCTAATCAAATCTCAAGCTGACACCATAGAATAAATAAATTTTTAGTGAAATAATATTGTCATATTCCATTACTGATGGATTTTTTTGTTTTGCAATTTAAAATTATAATCAATTTACTCACTTCCTGCAGGGTTTGAACAGAAGTACTTGACCATATAAGGTTGTAGTGCTCTAAGACGCCATGCACCAAACACCAACAAATTTGCAGCAAGAATAGGATAAAAGACCTTTTCATTGTCTTTTAATGAATTCCACCATTTTCTTACTGGTCCTGGCTCAGATTTCTGGAAGAGTTTTAGTAGTGTTATAATATTTTTATACAAAGCATTATAGATATATAATTATAGAACACATTTATTCTAGTAAACTCTTATGCACAAAAAGAAGTTTAGTGATATAATTAGAATGGCAAACAAGCTGACAGACCAGTGTACAGTGGACAAGTGGTAACCATCGCCTATATGTATGATCAGCACCATGGACATTACTTTATCATGTGGCTCCCATGATAACAGACATGTGATGCCTTTCCAGGGGACTAATTTATGCCAGCACTGGCTGCAATTTAACTTCCTTATCATCACCATTCAACTGTATCACAGCTTACAAAGTAAGGTGCTTGGCAGTTGAAATAAGAGACTGAGATACTCATGCAGCTGACTTTTTACTAAGTGTACCTTGGTAAATGTCTAGAACACTACAAGCAAGTTTAGAATCTAATGTGATTATGAGGATATACTGATTTATTAGTAATCTCTTACAAACTGTGCTATTTTCTTTTGCTGTGCATTTAACCAGGCGCTAGGCCTGCGGAGTAGAGATGATGTATGAGCTCGTAGAGTTTCATATTCCCAGATTACACACCCCACAACACTCACTGTTGATATCTAAAGTAAATAAAATATATTTATTAGTAGTACCTTCTGGTAGATGCTAACTATTATTGTACAGAGATAATCAATATTAGCCTGACGTGACTACAACACTATGTTCACCAAAATGCAATCAACATTCGTGAACATAATCTTCAATAATGGATAATTAAGATATTTAGATATAAATTAAAATTATATATTCAAGAGGTTTTATAAAGTTGAGTGACAATCCTTAAACACAATAAAGTAGTAATATTGAGAAATTAAAAAAATCTTACTCCAATTGTGAACAGAAAAGGTTTTAATAACCCTTTGGCATTCAATGGCCCAGACTCAATGTGCAGTTGGGCAAGGGGGTCAGGTTCTAAGCGCTGCCCACGGACACCCCGGCGCGATTTGTGGAATGAGTTGCGAAGTTGTAGACAAGCATAATTAGGTCTATGGCTCTGTTGTAGAAGTAATGATTTACTAAAACGAAATTTATTTATTATGGGTACAGCATCATACATTTATCTCTCTGTCTAACTGATCTATTAATGCACGTACTAATGATTGCAGAAGACATAAAATCTTGTATATAGGTTTTCTTAATAACGCTTAACCACTAAGGATTAATGTTTTAATGTGTAAATTTGTATACCACAGAAGACAATAAGTGGCTCGTCGGCAACAACGTGATAATGCAGTAACTGTTATAATTGGAAATTATTTGTGGACAAGTCACTTTTTTATAAATTTTTGGGTATTACTATTTTTAGTTGTGTAACAGTTCTATAATAAGCAGGTACTTATTTCTTGAACAATTAAGTTAAGAATAGCAGTCTACAAAAAAACCACATTTTTTAATTACTAAGTATGCAGTTTTTGTATGCTTTAAAATATAGTATGTTACTCTTACCAACTATTCGTCAACTCCGCAGCACAACAAACTTTTGTAAAGAACATGTTAATAATTCAATTATAGGCTATAACATTGTCTTACGTATATATTTAAATAAATTATTTTGAAAATTATTTTGGATTTTTTATAAAGAATAACAAATACAAATGATTTTTTTTAAATTATTTATATTGAAATAATGTTGAAATTGAATGGAAGGATAGAATGACAAAATTAATAATCATAATGAATGACTGATTGACATTAGCTCAATCAGTCTAGTCAATTTTCTGCAGGCTAGTAAATTTTGTTATGTTAATCACGTGTTCTTCTCCTGCCCTCTATATGATCGCTCTGAATTCATTTCCCAACTCCTTCTGATCCGTGTCCCACTTCCTACATCTATTAATTGTTTGTTACATAATAGCGATACCAATGTATATAAAATATTAGCCACATTTATTACATATAATAATTTAAAATTGTAAATATATCCATATATCTATAATATATATACATTGTAAACATCATAAACCTGACCAATCCTTTATCCTACAAAATTCCGTTCTATTCCGTAAATTTCTGTGTATATTTCCCTAACTTTGTTATTGGCTAAATGCGAAGGCAAAGCCAAAGATGGAGGAGAAAAAAAAAATTTCGGATTAAGCCGAAGCTAAGGGACAAGCCATAAAAAAATGCATTAAACAGTATTCGAGTTTAATTTTAAATTATTGTTTTTCTACAGCCAGAAAGCTTCCAAGGGGCAGAGAAAGAAGATGCCTAAAAGGGCACCGCAGGAAGTTACCTACTCCAGTCTCGCAATCGGCCGCCGGTTTCTTATGGGCAACGATATTGTCTGGGGTAAAATGATCACGGTCCCTGAGGCTTAAAGAGACGACCACTACCACAGAAGAGTCAAGGAAATGGCTTTGTGCCTCCCAAGAAGAAGGCGTCCCCGCCGCTCCCGTCCACATTACGGTCCGGACCACTCCGCGGTCGTAATATTAACCATCCGTAAGGCAACGGAAATGGGACGTGACATACGCGAATATCCTTTGCGAGGCAAAAGATATGATCGATCTCCGACCCCTAACAATGACCGTACTCTTGAAGTCTCCAACACACCTAGCGATGAGAACGTTAACGCTCAAAGCGACAAACTCTGGGCCTTAATACTGGAACACGTGGCCAAAGTTTCCAGACACACCAAAAACTTCAGAGGGTACCGCTGCGGTTGCGCGGGATGGAAAAAGCAGCAGGGGGGATATTTAGGTGGGTGAAATCTGCAAAAGCAGCACTTATAGTCTGGGGTCATATTGGAACCGCGGCCCAGTAATGTCAACATAAAGCACAACGGGCATCTCAGAGCTCAGTGCACACGAAAGAAAGACCGTAGCGGTCTCTATTATCGTTGGGGAGAAATCCGGAACAAAGTAGCTGAGTACGCTGTTGCCCCAAATTACGCAATTTGCGCGTAACTGCCCCATCTGGTCGATCACTGGATAGGGAGCAAGATGTGCACCTCACCAAAGAGGAAGGGAGGAAGACCGTCCTACTCACAAGCTCCAGGCCACAGGAGTGAGAATCAGGAGGGAACAGCCGATTAACGCCCCTAGAACGCTACCGAGCAGCGGAAAAATGGGAACTAGTGGGTTCTCACTACGTGGGTGCTTGAGTGGACCACCGCTGTCGGAGTCGCAATGAACTATAGTTTCAATTCCGCGAATCCAACATTTGGCGCTGGACGGGTGATATATTAGAGTTTTTGAGGAGTAGGAGTCTCACAGTATCCACTTGTCTCACCCGGGACGGGCGGGTCCTCATGAGGATTTTATCAAAGTTAAAATATAGATTGAAATAATTATATCAGAATAATGTAGCGTCTCCTCTTCAATCTCAGCTAAGCAGAATTTGCGTTATGGTTACCAGATATTTTTTGTAAATACAAACATAATATTACATAGAGGCGGGAAGGAAATTGTTAGTAATGTGGACTGATGATTAGGTACATTGCTAGCAATGTACAATTATAAGTCAGGTTGACCTCCACGCGGTATCCCTTGGAAAACATTGTGACTAATTCCTGGTGAAGTTAACACAATGTGCAAACTGACCTAATCCTCCACTGGTATCCTATCATCCTCCACTGGTATCTCGCACGAGGGTGAACTATACCATTATCGTCGATTAATAAAATATACATAGAGTACCCAGACCGATAACATACAAACAATTTAACGAAACGACCGCCAGGCCGTCGTTTTGTATTTGTTAGTAACAAACGGTTTTTATTTGTATGTTTTCTGTACGCAATATTGAATTATTATGAAGAAAGTACTAGCTGTAGTTATGATGTGGTGCTGATCACGTGAATTCCGATAAAAATACCTATGTAGGTACTAATCTATCTCTGTACAAAATTTCATACAAATCCATATGGTAATTTTAATTTGTAAAACTCTGTAAAAGTAATAGGCATCCATTCATTCTTCCTTACAATCAAGCTTTCACCTTTATAATAATAAACAGCTATAAAATAAGTAGCCGAGACAAATTTCGTCTATGTGTGCTATATCGATACTATGAAGCTATATATTTTATCTAAAACCAAGATTATGGCCGTGAAAAACAAACAATAAATTAAATAAGTTACATTTATAAAAGGAGCTTTTATAGAAGATATTTACATGTATATCATACATAAAGTCTTATGTAATTCCCTGAAGCCGGTTTTAACGAATTATTGGGGTTCTTTTACTACCGAACAAACATTATTATTGTACTCTTCAACACAATAAGGGGGTTTGAGGAGCGAGGCGAGTAATGCGCATGCCCTTCAGTATTTGAGCCGGGAATTTGCGTGACCCTCATCAACTTCAGTGTACAGCTGAGAAGCCTAAGGAGACACATACCCTGTGCTTTAGATCCTTATATTAGGAACATAAAATCCTATATATTTTTGAAGTAAGTGATGTCCTAACCGTATATATATTTCTATTAAATTTGGTCCATAATTCGTATATATTTTAGTGCGACGTCGTTATTGCAAGTGCTTTCTTAGTAGATTTAAAAATAATCAATGGAGCTGACTAAATTAGAAAATAAAGTGACGCAAGCAATGTCGGATATGGTGAAAGATTTAGAAATCACTTATTGAGATAGGAATTTTTGTTTTTATAATAGTGGTCTCTTTAGCAGTAAATTTATCAAAAATGTGCAATCTCTGGAAGCGCGTCTTCACGGAATCGACCGATCGATATATTCGAGGAGACCATGTGGTACCTCTAACAGGCATGACTACTATTGTCAGTATTTTTTATAACATAACTACTATGAGTACTTTCTATGTTATATTTTATACTAAAACGGGAGTAGATACTGATAACTATATAATACACTTTTTTTTTCAGAAATGATGAAGCCAAAGTTGTCTAGACCACATTATCCTCCCGAAAGACTATGTAAAAATCGGCCGTTGTGACGTCCAGTAATTATATCTGGAATTATTATATTATTAATATATTAAATAACAAACAATTTCTTTTGGAATAGATTTATTATAGATCTTTAGATATTTGTCTACTGTTCTCCATAATTATTTTTATATGCAAGGATGAGATATTTGACTGTTTGATATTGGGAATAGGGAGCATTGTTATGGCCAGGTTTACTTAATCTAGGGTTCGTGTTAAATTTTATTTCACTTAATATATTTAGAAACAATCTGCATAGGTGCTAAAGTAAATTCTTATAGAAGTAAAACTTCAGAAACATTAAGTATGACGATGTATTTACCAATGGAACCATATAATGATGAATTGTTATGGCTAGTAGTTTGTGGGTTCGTGGTGGCTTTTGTATTGGCATTTGGAATAGGTGCCAATGATGTCGCCAACTCTTTCGGCACCAGCGTCGGGTCAAAGGTTCTGACGCTCACGCAGGCGTGTATATTGGCTACCATATTTGAGATCGCTGGAGCTGTTCTAATCGGTGAGTGTTTTTTTTTTTTTAAATTAATGTCAACGCGCAATAATAGATATATTATTTGTAAGTATACTGTTATGTTTTTTTATATGTAAGAAGTTTAAAGGTTAAAGGTCGTTAGGTTAAAAAGGTTCAGAATAGAATTCAGAAAATTTAAAAGTTACTTCAAGTTTATATATATTTAATATTTTTGTAGAGACATGAAATATTATTATTATTTTAATTAATATAATAATCTTACTAAAACTTTATTGGGCCTGAGGCACCTTTTCTTTTGGGTATTATATATATTATACTAGTACCTACAGTGTAGGTACCTACCTACTTTTATTTTCTTATTTTTCTAAATAACTTAAAGTTTTATTAGCATTGAAGATTTTATTATACCTGTATAATATCGATGCGGATGAAGAATTGCATCAATATATGTATGTATATTTATAGGTTACAAAGTGTCAGACACAATGCGTAAGGGTATATTGGACGTGTCATTGTATGCCGCCGGAGGGGAGAAGTTGCTGGCAGCTGGTTGCTTGGCAGCTCTGATTGCTGGAGCCACGTGGCTCATCATTGCGACAGCATTACGGCTCCCTGTATCGGGCACGCACTCCGTAGTCGGAGCCACTGTTGGATTTACTCTCACTGCCAAAGGACCAGTCGGCGTGCGCTGGTCGACTCTTGGTGCTATTGGTTAGTATCTAGTTTTATTTCTTCTCATCTATACATGAGTCCTTTTATGTCTATACAAACTAATTGTTTGTGTGTGAGTAGTGAGTATTTTTGTTAAATTTTTAAAACGAAGTATTATTTATTCTAATAGGTTCAGTAGGTTCTGTACTTCAAAATCTAAAAGTTATAATGGTCATTTTGATAAAACAGACCTTACTTTTCTACTTGATACAGAGCTCAATTAGAGTGGTTAATTTAATAATTTGATGGGAACGTACATATAAGCTCGTAACCAATAATAAAACGTATATCTGCTGTCATTTTATTATTATTCTCGACATTTCTTTACATGATCATTGGTAAATTGGAATTATCTGTATCAAAATGAGTCAACAGATTTATTTATTATTTTTTAAATAAGGAGTCATATCTTAGACTATTATCGTTTTCAGTGCTATCATGGTTCATCTCGCCAGTGTTAAGTGGGACGGCTTCTGCTATGATATACTGGTTGGTGCGCCGGTTCATTCTTCGTTCCACCCAGCCGCTTGTGTCGGGC